TTGGCATAAAAGCAAATTAGACAAAGAGGATGTTCACTCAAATATCAGGCTCAATATTAGCAGTTTATCATACGAGTCTAAGCATTTTGAACAAATGATCCCTGTTGACCATTTTAACTAGGCATTATCTTAAGATCTGCACCCAGGCCTACCTCTACTTTAACCACCACAGAACTTCTGAGTATTTTCCAGTGTTCGCTCTTCTCATCTGCATGTGGAGATCATCATTTATTGGATATATTTTTATTACAACTTCCTTAAACTTTCATGCAAATTTAGGAGAAAGATTTGAAAAGTTGGATGGTTTGGAAAATCTAAGAACTCTGACACCAGTGTGACTTTTGTGTGAGTCTAAGTCAGATAGGGAATCCACTTGTGCAGCCAGCCCGTGTTTGTCATAATCTGAGTGTGAAACTTGTGGGTCAGCCACATTATTTTTGTCCAGATTTTCTGATAAAGATGTTCCGGAGATGCATTCGAAGCATGTTTTTGGACAGATTGTTCATTTATGCACGCTGAGATACTTATAGTATTTATGCAAAAAGGAAACATGGAGACAGCATTTGCATTGCGGAAAATTGTACAAAATTCCAATATTAATTTGAGAAATGTCATAAAAGTATCTAGTCAGGGCATTTTGACTAAACTTCTAAGAGATGTCCTACCTCCTGTTAGATTAGTTCAAAACTGAAATGTTCTTGTAGTATAATCAGGATTTATGCACCAAAAGAGTAATCCCAATACTGCTTATACAGCACAAGTTTGAGTCATGGCAGAACTCAAAACAGACTGAAATCAGATTCATACAATAAACTCTGTCCTTCAGAAGCTAATATGCTGGCAGCATGTTAGTTAAACCTATGCACACACTTGCAGACATTGAACTAATATTATTTTGAGCTTTGTTTTTGTTGACACGATGAATGTAATATTTGCTCTCCATTAATCTCTATCATGGTCTTCAACAACTTCTTAAAATAATTGGCATCTTACCTGCAACAGTTCAGTGCGTTCTCCATGATGGTTCTCAGCTTCTTGCTAACTTTGCTGACAGCCATAGGTGCTATTTGAGGGGGGGCAACTGACGTTTAAACTGCCTTCTGGTAAGGGGTGTAATGGAAGAAGTTGATGGGGATTGTAAAGTTTGACCAAAAAAGTAATGCTGTGGCTCATAAAACCAAAACGGAAAAAACCCAAGAAAAGAAAAACCCTCAGATCTGATGCAGCTCCATCAGATTTGAGGATTTACAGTCATGTCAGTCAGCTTGAATTTCAAACTAATGTATTTGAACTGGTTGGTTAAATTGTGCCTGTGTACAAAAGTATTGAAACTCTGTTTTCACTACAATAGTCAGACAAGCACCCTGGAGTTTGCAGTTTATGTTCAAAGCAGGACTTAAAATTGAACCATAAATACAGAAAAGGCAGAAAATGCTAGAAAATGCTAAATGCTGAAATCCCCCCAAAAAACTGAATTTGTATTTCCACTTAATTATTTTACTTAATGTATTATGTGAGATAAATTACCTATTTCGATGCTTTTTCCTAGTTCTTATTTCCTTGATTTCAATTGACTTTTCCTTGAATCCAATACCATGTCATTCTTTGACTCAGGCACCAAAGCCACAGTTAGATTTAGGGAAAGATTCGAGTAAACGTTCAGGCTCAAATAATACAGCAGTGTTAATGTCTCTGGACAGGGTGAAACAGAGAGTGCAATTCCTAAAAACAGTTTGGAAAAGGATGTGTGTCAGTATTGTTTGTTTAGGTTGTACGGATGTGCAAAAAGGCTCACATATTTAGAGCACATAATTTGGTCCACACTTAAATACTGTAGTTTGAAATTCATACTGACTGCCCTTAAAGATGGATGATGTGTCTTCACCTGCTCCCACTAAACAAAAGTGAGGCCAAAACCCATTTGAACTGATGCATTTTTAATACACCAACCAGATGCATGGTATAACTGTACGCCTATTTAAGGTAAAACAGTTAATTCAAGGTAAACTGTAAAATAAACACCATGACATAACTCACTGTCACAACAGAAACTGTGTTTGAGAGAAATTTATTTGGCCTGTAATTTATTTTAAAAGTTTGGCTCATGTCCCATCTGTTGACATGGAGAAGGTAGGCTTATACTCCAACCAGTCACCAGAGGGAGCTCAAAGAGTTTTGGCTTTACTTTTAAGGAGCTGTCACATTGTCCTTCTTTTGAACCAGAGTTTTGCGCCAAGTACCTTTATTCACATCTTTGTGACTTCATCCTGAACTGCCGAGTTTGGGCTGGTAACTTAGAAGAAGATAAAAAAGTTTAATCCAAGTTTGACCAAAAATAAGGACAAAAGTGAAAGTTTTAACGCCTACGTTTTTTGATCTATGGAAAAACCTTTGATCAAAAAACTGATCTATGGAAAAACCGTCAGTGCTTTTATAGAAGGTTATGTGTTAAGTGAAGTTAATGGCCATATTAGTGTGTTAAACATTTATACGTCACACACCATAACTATAATTACTTGAATTGTCATATGCACAGAGCTGATGCTGCATGTAAACATAGTCAATGCTGACTACAGGTTCAGGAAATGTTTACTGTCTCTGAAGAGGTGCCAGTTCACTGTTATCTCTCCCACGAGTTGTTGCTCTTAAGGTTACTCAGTTACAAACCAATAACAAGAGTTGCACCATAGAAAAGCTATTTTACCGTACAAAGGAAAAAGGATGTATATTTTCAGACTGCAGATTTTTTTTACGGATGTTATTCGCATAATATGAACATATTGTTTTGCATTGCATTAAAAGAATTAAGGATCTTGCTCTTAAATCCATTTACACATTTCCGCAAAAGAACTACAAGCAAGACGATAAAAATGATAATCATAAAAAATAAAAAAAATACCGTTAAATATTGCATTTAAATTTTAAAAAAGTCAGTGGATACAGTAGCTGGACTTCACTGTCTGTGCAAAGCAGCACAGCTACACATGAACACATTCAACAACTTCTTGGTCAAAGCATAACCAGCATCTAAGAAAAAGTCATCCACCGTCGACACCGATTTCTCTCCTTGTGTGTTTGAGTGTCTTCTTGTTCAATTCATCTGTTCAACACGTACTGGAAACCGTCACGGAGAGAAAGGGAGAATAGGAGCGTTATAGGAGGAGTGAATCTGTGGCAGCAAAAGCAGAAGACGACAGGATTCTGTTTTCCACATTTACTGCCTTGCACTTGGCTTTTTACTGGAAACCCTGTCCAGTGATTACTGTCCAGCTGTGGACAGTGTCTTTGACATGAGTGAGGAGGACCTCAAGAGGACATGATTTTAGTGCTCATAAATGACGATGATTGCAGCTAATGTGAATTGGCTCTTGAGAATAAAGATGGTTTTGAGAGATTTTGGCTTTGTGGTTTTATTTTCAAAACAGTTAAAAGTGTCTGTGAGCAGTTTAAGGACCTATACAAGCAGACACTATTACAAATACTTCTATATTAGTTATTTATAGTACTGTGTAACCTGTGCTGCAGGGTAGATGTTGAAGTGACAACCAGCACGCTATTAATACTGCAAAGATTTTTATCAAGATTTATTTTTATGCACTTCCAAACACCAAGCTCTCTACGGATCTGAGAGGTACAGCTCTGTCCACAGGGGGGTGCCAAGTTCAATGCAAACTCAAAATTCCCCACAGAAGCTTTCACATTTACTGAGGCTACTTTCAGACTGCAGGGCTTAATGTTCAATTCTGATTTTTTGGTCAGATCCCCTTTTTTTGCTGTTGCATCTGCACAAATGTAAACATGGAGGAAGGTTGTCCGCTAAACTTGATCTGCTCCTCAGAACTTGATCTGCTCCATCATTGCTATCCTCTATTTTTGCAAAGCTGCCGCAACACAGAATTGTGTCGTATGTCGCTCTAAATAGTGAGGTGAATGTATAAAATTTGCATCAAATCCGTTCACAATCAGGTCGCAATGAAAAAAAATCAGATCTGTATCTGATTCATGACAATTTATGGAGGCCATTCTGAACAGTCCATTTTGGACCACTTTGAAAAAATCTGATTTGGGCCAGATTAGAGCGTTTACACTGCCTTTAAAAAATCTGACCTGTTTACTTGACCCCCAAAAAATCTGATTTGGGCCACTTTTACATGCAGTAGGAATGAAGCCTTAGTTATCTTTGCCAATGTTATTTTTGTTGTGACTGGAATGGCTCAATGTTTGATCTTCGCACCCACAGCAGCTGATTTTTTGGCCATCTGGCCTGTTTTTTGATGACGTTTTTAAAGATACTTTTGCACAAATGTTCACCTGGATACTTCTCCTGCACTCTGGAGAGACTCAGGTATATTTAATGTCACTATGGTGAATGCATTCTTTTAAATGACTAAATGCATTAGTATGGTTATTGTGCATCTTCCATAGCTAAAATTAAAAAGCTAAAGCGAGTTGACTCAAGAAGAGCAGCTAGATGCCTGCACTTAAATGATGTGAATTATTAAATGCTGAGTAGTTTTTTATCCATGTTGTTTGCTTAAAATTCTGTGAATCTTAAACCAGTTTCCTGTGTGATGATGTTGACTTACAGTAATGTAGTTTTTGCCCCACTCCAAAGATGTAAAATCATTTTAATTTGATTTCAGGAGTGAGCACAAGTTGGCGGCAGATGGTGTTGGAGTCCCAATGCTGCAGGGAGTGTACTGTAAGGGCGTGGACTTATTGAAAGCTGCCATCTGCTGGTAGGATTGAGAAACTACCACAGCCGTATTGGTGTCTAAAAATTCAGCTGCATGTCAAAACCAGCAGATAAGAGCTTTAAAAGTTAATAATCAGTGTCAGCATATATGTAAATTTCTACAGGTGCAATAATTAGCCAAAGTGTTTTTGTACGGTTGTGTTTTGCTTGTTGATGAGAAAAAGAGAAGCTGTTTAAGGACCAAATTGAGCAAAATCAGGATGAGTGAATGACAGAAAAATCCAAAAACAACCCCACAACATGATCTGCGTTTATAAAATTTATTTATATAGATATATTCATCTATACAGTAATGTATGTATGATAGTTTTTTATACTATATTCATATAGAAATCTATGCATACTGCAATAATCCTTTCACAGAGGAGAACAGAACCACATGTCAACAAAGTTAACACAATGACTGAAGCTCTGGATATCAAAAAGGCCAGACATTCTGAATTCACCGACAGGAACGAAAAGATGGCATTGCGGAAAATATCTGAACACCAGCGACTCAGCTTACAATCACTTCAGTGACATTACAATCATATCTTTACGTAGAATAGTCCTACCTATTCAGTTCATCTACACTCAGCTAGTCTGTACAGTTTGAAGAACAGAAACGACAGAGGGGCTTGCTGGTGACTGCGAGACGTTCACTCTTAGAGTCAGAGCTGTGAGAAATCTCTACACCAACACTGACAGCAGACGCCCTTGGATCTTAGATGGACTTTTTTTTTTTCTCTGTGAGAAAAATTAAAGAAAATGTATCTCCGAGACCTCTGGAAAAGTCCATAGTCTGATTTTTTTTAAAGAGCCTCTTTGTTTCCAATGTGTTGAAATCAGCAAGCAACAGAGCAACACTGAAATCTGATTTGTCACAATGCCCGAATAATTTAGAACAATGACCCACAACTACAAAAACACAGTATAGCATGTAAAAAAAAAACTGCATGAAAAGCCTGAAATTAAACATTTTCTTGGACTTCTTTTGCCTTTTCCCTAATTCATTCAAATTACAAACATTCACCTAAATCTCCATGGACCTGAACATTCATCTCATTGTTCTTTGCTTTTATTCGTAATTGATTCAAAGACAGGTCTTCCTCATCAGTCATTCAGTAGCCAGGGGTCTTTTGAAGTTTTTAACTCTCCCAGCGTTACATCCACACCTCTAGATTTATGTGTACCACCAGGGTGGTACACACTCAGCTCCCAGCTGAGCAGCCCAAATCATAAAAGCAGTCACATATTGCACTATGAATGCAAAAATACCAGTCTACATTATGAGGAAAGTGCTTCTAATGTTTGTACACTTGCAAACAAACAGTAAGCTACACACAAACACAAGAAACATATACATCTATCAGTGTGTCTGTATGTACGCATTACCATCACATAGGCTGTCAGGCCCTACAGTACAGTACAAGAACATTTTATGGTCTTCCTCCCACTAAAAAAGTCACTGGAAATGTCAAGTTCCAGATTTCAAAGCATCATGGGAGAAGTGGTGAGGTGCAGGTTTGGTTGGGGTTGAAGGTGTGGCCCCTGGGTCCGGTCACAGAGCAGTTACAGTTTGTGTCGTGTCAAGTACTACAGGAGACTTCAGGAATGGACCTTGAAGGCGAGCAGCTGCTCAGAGTGCATGTTGTTTAACGAGCGCAGGTCAGGCAGCTTAAGCAGCAGCTTGGTGAAGATGGCCGACTCGTTGGGGTGGTTCTTAGTGATGAGGCTCCGCAGGGCACGGATCAGGGTCTCCTGTAGGGCCTCAACTGAATTGACGTTCTCGATGCCGGAACGATCTGGAAAAACAATCGGTAATTGTGAATTTAAAGCATATTAGTCGCATATTAGACTCTATTGAGTGCGTGAGTTTGGCTTTAAGTGTAACACCACAACCATTTAAGCTGGATATACTACAGGATAAACAAGGCTGACTTCAAACCCACCTGCAGAGACCAGGACCACAGCAGTGAAGAGGCTCATCTCCTCCTCGCTCAGGCCCAGGTTGAGGAGTTTTTCACTGAAATCTAACATGGAATTAAGGAGATCTCCAGCCCCCATAGCCCTCAGAGTGTCCACGCTGTACTTCTTCCCGCCCAGAAAGGTAACAGTGCGGTCCTTCAGGTCAAAAAGAGAAGCAAAGCGAACCACCAACACCTGTGGAGCAAAAACCATCGCTCAGTCAGTCTCAGTACCATAGCTCTGACACTCTTTAAACAACTACAGAGATTCTGTCTATGTTAAGTATGTTGGAAATATCTTAAGTACCTCAAAAGTGCCTGCCTTAAGCAGGCTGACCTGGTCCGGCTGTGCTAGGTCTCTAAAGCCTGGGATCTTCTTCGCGAACTCCACCACCTCCCTGACAGCAGGGGTGAAGCTGTGGGAGAACTCCTCCCACACTTCATGACCGGACTTCTGAGGGTCCACCTGGGCCGAGGTGTTCATAGGACAAACCTGGAAGATGGCAGAGAAATATGACAGACTGGCCTCTTCTAAGATAACCAACTACAAAATAAGATCCTGATATTAACTCCAGTTAATATCCTGTTCTTATCAAGGTCTGTGCAAGTTCCTGATCTCTGATCTTAAAACACTTAAGTTGTTTTTTTGTCGTACCAGGTACATCCTGTTGCCTCCTCTCCACTGGGGCCCATTGAAGCCATTGTTGGCAAAGCCCTCTGCAGGTGGAGCTCTAAAGGCTCCATGGTTGTAGGCTGGACAGTGGCTGGTGGCAGCAGTCCGGGAAAGTTTGAAGGGGCAGTGGTTGGCAGTGTTGTCCTCCTGACGCCAAGGGCCCTGGCTGGCTGAGGAGTCCTGCGCTGAAATTGTGACCATGTTGTTGTGGCGGTTCTTCCAGGAGTCTGCCAGCTCCTCTTTGTGGTTGTTGGTGGAGCTGTGGGTGGAGCCACTGTTCAGGGAACCCATGGGAGGTTGGGCCTCCAGTGTCAGGCTGCTTTGCTCCTGGTTGTACATGAAGGTCTCCTGGTGGGCCCGGGTCACCGAGCCGATCACCTCCTCTTCCCCACTGTCTGATGAGCTGGGAGAGGCCGAGCTGGGGCTGGTGTCCATGGCAACTGTGGGTTCAGGGTCAGAGCTGGAGTCTGATTGGCTGGATGGAGAACAAGAGGGACCGGTGCCTGTGTCCTCTGAGGTAGCCTCTGTGGCACTGCCAGTCAGTGATTGGTCGATGGAAAGCGTCTGGCTGCTGTTGAGCTGGTTGTTGTTCATCATGTTGTTCATGGCGCTCTGCATCTCCAGCAGCATGCGCTGTTTCTCCCTCTTGGGAATCCGGCCGAAGCGCACAGCTAAAACAGAGAGACAGGAACCTCCAGGTTACACACGTATCAACCTGTTTTCATGTTTTAGCTTCAGCAATGAAACCCTGTACTCTGTATTTTCTTAGCTACAGCGTTAGCAAACAGTGTTTGACACGTTAAATGTTGATATATTTTCAGCTGGTGACACACAGAAACTGTTATTTTGAGTAGTGGACAACACTATAAAATAATTCCCTGCAGAGAGGGGTGTTTTTGTCCTTCTTTTGTTCTTTTGAAACCTGAAACTGCTGTATTGATTTTTAGGAGCAACCAGACTCCACTGACAAAAGCAGCAATTTAACCTGGCAGGTTGCAGGACTTTCTGATACCTGGCAGTTTTTCCTGTAAGACTATGTTGCCGCTATTACATTTCATTTTGTAGTTTCTTACTGACATGCAGTAATCAAACCATTTCAAATCTTAGCTATCAATCAGCTAGAAACCCCCAAATTAAAACATGAGGCAGGTTTTAACACACTGAAATCTTCATTCAGGCACTCAATCAGAGAGCAGCACTCTGTCTGAGAATACACTAAAGGTACTTACAATCTCTAGACATCCCAACCATCAGGCATTTCTTGAAGCGACACTGCTGGCAGCGGTTCCTGTTGATCCTCATGATGGGACAGCTCTCGTTCTTAAGGCACTTCTTGTACTGGATGTTTTGCTGGATGCTTCTCCTGAAGAAGCCCTGCGTGTCAAAAGAAACAAATCGTTTTAAAAAAATAATCCTTTTGTGTGTATTCTTTACAGTTTTGGGTCTCAGTTTAACTGAATATAATTAGTTTACTAATATAAAACTAAAATATATGTGTTTTTATTCTTTCACCATAATGTGTGCACAACCCCAGCAGTGATCTAGGCCACGCAGCAATGTGAAATGGAAGAGGCAGCTAATATTAACATAAGAAGAGTGAACTAGTTTCAGTGGTCTCTGCTGAAGTCGTGCAGATGGCTCGGTTGGTGGTGACCCATTTCAACTGACACCCAAAGTCATGGCAGCAGAAATGACTGTAATTCAGCGTGCGTGTGTGTGTGCGTAGACACACATACGTAACCAACAGATGACCTTAGCAGTTTTGCATGTTCACCAACAGGGGACCGCCATGCCATGAGGGACATTTTAGAGTCACCACTTTGGCTATGCTCTACATCATGATGAATTAATATCTACAGCCCTCAAGAAACACTTACCCCGTTAAGTTATATGAATGTGACATAACAATTTAAAGTTGCTTTGCAGATCTACTTTGGTGCCCTCTTGTGGTCAAAAAGGGTATGTCCTCTCACTGTTCATTTTGTTCTATACTTGTGGAAATAATGCGTTCAGAGATCAATCTTTACCTTGCATCCCTCGCAGGCATGGACGCCATAGTGAAAACCAGATGCCACATCACCACACACTTTGCAGAGCAGCACCAGCCCGTTGATTTCTGATTGAAAAGAAAAGATACAGAATATTTCTCAACTATTTCCTCATTTAGTGCCAACACTTTTTGGGCTCAATTAGACTCCAAGACATTATATATATATATATATATATATATATATATATATATATATCCTTTGAAAAGTATAATAATTTACTGTCAAAGATGATGTTTCAGTGTTTTCTAATTGAAAAGTTTAGAGTGTTAAATGAGGCAGTTAATTCCATCAGCTGCTATTATATTTTTTTAGCAAATTTATGGGGGTGGCAATGTTGTGAAATTGGCAGAATGTAGCTTTAACTAAAAATATTTTTTTCTGATCCAAAAAGTGAGATTTTAATGTTATTTTTCGATCATTTCCCCACAGAACTTTGATGAAGTGATACATTTGGGATCACGGGAATGAGTACTTTGATTTCAACACCACAATTCACTTAATCAAAATTGAGCAGTTCAATTTTTGAAAACACAATTCTCTCAGACCAACTCACTTGTGATTCCACATTTTGCAGTCGAGGACGCACGCCCACTTTTTTGAGTCCCTTGAGGGTTTTTGCCATCCACTGGGAGCGAGGGCTCCGCGGGCTGACCCAGATGCTGGCGGCTGGGCGAGGAGCCATGGGACGGCGAGGATGATTGATAGCTGCTGTTGGACGAGTCGCTGTGGCATGACTCTGGGCTCGAGCTGGATGAGCTGATGTAGGCTATTACGCCTCCTTGTGGGCAAGAAGCAGAGAGGGGGAAAAGGGCTTGATGAGAAGGGTGACAAGCTCCAGCTCAACACAGTTTTACTTTTGGAAAGACTGATCGCTGGTTTGTTGGATTTCATTTAAACACTTGATTTTGATAGAAACATAACTCAATTTTTTTCAGCTATGTAAGACATGCATCTAGTGTCTTTTCCAACTTTAATTAATAATTGAGAATAATAATTAAGGATTCATGACAGATGAAGAGTAATATAGCTTTGACTTTTTAAGGTAGCATTTGGAAGATTGGAATGATCTTCTCATTAATTTGCTTTTTTTTGTTGGTATAGTATTTTAAACATTACATTTCCCATTAAATGTCTCGGTCCTTTAACTATCTGTACATAATGTACAGACTTACATTTACATTACGGCAGATGGCGCCTCTTTTCTCTTTGTCTGTTCTGTAATCTTCGCGCATGTCAACTTCCTGCTATGTCCTTTTCTTGTATGAATGATGTGGCCGTCAACAGCTTGGGGCAGCTTTACAGTCGAACCAACAAGCTTAACATAAAGAGGGCAGATCATTTTACGACAACAGTCCCCGCAGCCAGTAGGAGTCGAGCAGACAGACCCAGACACTTTTTCCCTCTCAACATAGGCTGACCTGATTTCTTCTCCTGCCACTCTCAATGATTAGGTAACAAGCATTACATAATGTCAGCTTCACAGGGTGTGTAGTAGGCAGTCTGGCCCCTCCCTGCAGCCATTCACACATTCTGGCTTTTAACAAATAAAACTAATGTCAAACTACATCTGAAAATGTTGGATATTATTTTGACCAATAGAGAACATTATGATGTAACTTGTTTAGGTCATCTAAAGACGGCTATTCAATCTTACTTTCTTATATTTTCCCTTTATAAATTGAAAATATAAAAGAACAGTTTTGCACAAAATGAAAAGAGGAAACTTCTTACATTTCACTCATTTTTTCCCCACATAAGATTCAACAGGTTGCATGAAAAAGGCGCCTGCAGTCAGTTATGACCCAAATAAAATACCACTTTTACCTCAGTCAATTATATAACATCTACTGAGAACATCAGCATGTACGTAATGAGAGCCACATGCACAATAATAAAGAGAGGTTTCATTGCAGATAAGGAGGGGCTTTTATTTTTTTGGAAATAACCATCATCATGACTTTGCATGTGATAGATAAATGAGGAGATAAAATAAACTTTTCAGAGTTGAGGCTGATTAAAGACAGCGTCAAGTGTTCATACTAGAAGAGTATGTAACTCTTAAAATACAGTTTTAAAATTGTACTAAAAAACTCGTATTTTTGAATTCTGATTTCTAAAAGTTGGTACTAATGTTTAAGTCACACATGTCAGGGTCTTTTTTGGTTAAGTCTCAAAAGTGTCTGGTTTGATTTATTTATTTAAACTTGGCAAAGATGGAAAACTGAATACCGTTAAAGGTGACGCATTCAAGCTCCATCGGAAATCTGAAACCTATTGTGCTAGTTTCGCCACATAATGAAACCTTTTTGTGTTCAGTCACAGGATTATTATGCAACAAGTGTCTAAAAGGGAACATGTAATGAAAATGATCCACTCGAGTTTTGAAAACAGAATTTAAAACTAAATAGAGACTGATTTATTTGTACTTTATAAGGCAGTTACTTTCTAAGCATCCATGTAAAACAAACCGCAAGTTTACATCTAATTAAAAGAAATAAAAATTCGTGTTGTCTGACGAAAACTTTGTCCGCAAAGTATCCTGAATAAAACTGAATAAAATGTACTGAAACTCGTTTAACCGGCTTTCAATGAACGCACCATCACTTTAGGCACTTTTTCAGCCCGCCCCCACATGGACCAAGCATGTTCATTCCCCTGGAAAAGTGGGTCACCGCGAGCTGCTGCGAGATGCCGCACGTGTACTGGCGGCGAGGACCCACATCACCTCGATGGGCGGAATTATGCAATGACTGCGTCACGTCACCGCTCGGCCAATCAGCGGAGACGCACGGGTAGCGTAAACACGGGCGCATATGGCTAGCTGTTGGGTCCATGTGAGAGGAGACGACTGCAGTGCTGTTTCAGCCAATCTACTTGGGTAATAACAACAACCTCCTGGTCCTCCTAACCCACTTAAATGTATCACTCCAAACACTCTTTAAAAAACACATTTAACACTATTTACGATGAATTAAGAGGCCTTACTGTGTTTTCTACTGTGTCCAAACGTCTTTTCATTGATTCTAATAGCAGAAAGTGAACACAGCCTGAAGCCCATTCAAACAAGCAACAACTGAATTGAGGTTGAAGAACACTTACCAGCTTTTGTCGACTCCATGTCCTGTGTCTTGGGGGTTTTCCTCCTCCTTTGCTACCTCAGTGCTGAAGCCGTTTTTCTGTTTTAATGATCAGCAACTGCGAAGTCGCTGAACGATTCGGATTCAGAAACTATAACATTTGAATAAACAAGACCTTAACGAGGACAAGACCGTTTCAATTGCGACCGGCTGTCGACGAAAGAAAAACTTCAACGATTTAATCAATAACAAGACCAAAATCACTCTTCACAGACCAAAGTTTTTAGAGACTGGTTTCAACGACGCCTAAAAAGGCTGGTTTTCGTCCTCGGAGGTTGTGTTGGATTCCTCTCAGTGAAAAGATCAAAAATCTGAACTCGTCTGTTTTCACTATAACTCGAAAAACACTGATCGTTTAAAGAGAACACGAGAATAACGCGGCAGAGATAGAGGCGAGACTCCGGCAGTTAGGTGGACTGGTTTTGCAGAGTCTGTTTCGCGGATCGAGCAGTGTGCAACCATGTGACCCAGTTCAGAGGCTCCTCCTACCCTGCAGCCCTGCACTGGTGTCAATGTAACCCACTGACATACTTTCACCAATCAAAGTGAACAGAGACAGTTGGCAAACAGACCCTGCGTTCAAAAAAACGACATGGGCATCAACATGTTATTAAAAAAATATTCAATTTACACGAGCTGCTTCGGGAGGTTTTACGAATACCGGTGGAAAAATGAAGCAATTTTTTTTCAAAGGTTCAATCTCTCAAAATTCTTTGCTGTAATTCTTTTTTAAATAAAAATCCTTCTTTAGCTCCCTAGGATCGTTGCCTGTTTCTGACTATAGCAGTTTTTTTTTATATTGAGGTCCTGTGGTGCCTTCAAAAAAATATCAATGTATCTATATATATATATCTATATATATATATGAATGACCATTATGAATTTTATTTGTTATGCACTTTACATAAAAAAAAAATAAAAATCTCAAAGTGCTACACAAAGATTAGTGGAGTTGGTTGTGAGAGCAAATTTTTATCATATGCCTGCAGGATAATATCTTGTGTGCATGAATTAATATACTGTGCACCAATGTCAATATAGGTAGTTAGTTTATCTTGTGTACTATATGTTTTTGTTTTTTGAGCAGGCAAGGTAACTACCACCCACATAATAATTTGTGTACAAAACTTGCAATCTTGTACGGCAATATTCATTTTGCTGAAGCAGGATTATTTCATGAGTGCAAGTTAGAATCTTTTTAACACAAGAGAGTAAAATGCACCATAAAATAATGCATTTGGGAGAACAAGTTGTTATCTTGTGTGGACAAGTTGATATCTTTTGTGCGCAAGTTTATGTGCAAGTATTAATTCTTTAAATCCCCACAGCATTAGTTTACTTTTTTAAAAGTTTTTCGGTGTATCAAGTAACTTATATTGCAGTTTTGATTTATTTTTTATGTTCTGTTTTGTGTTGACCCTAGGGAGAATCATTGGTACTGTGATAGTAAGAAATTATTGTTCTTTTTTTTTTTAATAACTTTAGTTTGAGGTAAGATAAGGTGGCATGAGAATATACCTTAGGAAATCTTTGAAATATGTCACCTTTGAAAAGTTTGCTGTTTAATGCTTGGATACAATTTTCTTTCTAACCCATTATATCAGCTTTATTGGCTTAGTTTGTGTGCTCATAGAGAAATTGAAGTCAATTAATATTAAACATTAAATATTAACTGTCAAGCCGACAGACAACATAAAATATTAAAGCTGTATAATCAGGGCGACATAAAACATTAAACATACAGTATATACAGCAAAAATGCAAAACAAGCACGCTTTTGTCAAATTCCTGGAAACAAAAATCTTATTAGACTTAATTCACCCATGAGGTAATGAAAGGGACATGGATTGTTTGCAATTGGAGAAAAAGTATCTTCCCATAGAAAAAGATAAAATGTACTCGTCAAGTTTCTTAAATTACTGACATTATTATTTCATAAAATTAAAGTTAACTATCATCTGTCACAAAATCAGCATTTTGACTTGTCTTAGCAGAAGCAGCTGCCCAACTGTTGCTTTAATACATTAGTTCTTCTTTGTTTTTGTTTGTCTTTGGTGTTTTAAATGATCTGTCTGCATCCAACTAGACAAAAAAAACAAACTAATTGTTGGAGGAAGGGGAAGACAAGCAACTCCTGTGTTCTGCAAGGTAATATTTTTGTATATGAAGTCTGGTGGCTTCCACAAGAGTGATATACCTCCGTAGAGACACTTTTAGTATTTTTGTTGGATACCAAAGCAATCAGGCAGAAATCATTAAACTTTTTGCACTTTAACACCATTAAGACACCAAAACATGCTGAACTCTCCTTCAAACTTTTTACAAAAAAACATTCAAATTCCCTGTCAGAGTAGACTCTGTCTGAACATCAGAGTTACAGATATCTGTGCAGTTTATTTCACGCCAGATAACAAGCCAGTGTTTGGCAGTTTTTAAGGTTTATATAAGACACACTTCAGACCAGTGGATCCAGTCGGAGGTGCTTAATGTCACGTGTCTTGAAGCCATTCTCCCCCAACATTAATTCTTACTGGGTCAACCTGACATGGAGAGGCTTTCCTCCCCACAGCAGTCAGTCTCTACAAAAAGACGTAGCACCAGACAGTTCCCAGGGCCCTCTGGAGTTTATGTTTCCTATACTGAGCACAATAGAAGCTTTTAGGAGTGAGAAATCCCACACCATCTCATCATGTTCTCCACTTTCCTTTAGGGGGTTTGTTGGAGAGCAGGTCAGGGGTTACTGCTGCCCCAAAGACTCATAAGCAGAGACAATGGAGAAGGAGTAATCTGAGAGATGGCTGGTGTTCTCACCCCGCCCTGCCATGATTTCAATTGACCCTTTTTACTCTTTGGGTCAGGGAGACACTATTATAGCTAAAGACATGATTATTCTGTCACTTTGACCCAGAGAGTTCCGTTGTTAGGATGTAACACAATGTCAGATACCCTGCAGCACTCTAATGCTTCCTCTACTTCTAAATTGAATGAATAATGTTTGGTTCATACAAAGATGCTGAAAAGAGCCTCAAACTCTAAAGACTGAGTGACAGTGATAGCTGTGATGGAACAGTTGAGAAATGGCATGTCTGTGTTCAAAGAGGACAACCTAACTTCTTCATGAATGTTACCCACTGGCTCAGCAACTACGTAATAATGAAGCTCTCTGTTATTACTGAAACCAGATTTTGCCATCCTCAGTCTCTGTTAATTTTCCTGCCTGTTTATTCCTGTCATTGTTTTTAATTCCTGTTTTGACTGAAAAGTCATGTTCTCTGAGTTAGTCTAACTTTGAACTTTATGTCCTTCCTTGAGCTGTGTCAACCCACCACAGTCCGTAATGGACTGGACTGAGGTCTTGCTACTAACAAGCGGCTGCTGGAGGAGAGTGGGTGAGTTGTGTTTAGTCTCTTTGCTAAAGAAACCAGGCAAAGCTAAAAAGATGTTTGATGGCTAGTGTTGTGGCTCGGACCCTATATATACTGTTGATGAAGTTAGGCGCTGTTCTGAGCATTATTTGTGGCTATAGAGTGGCTTTTTGGTAGAGGTTTGTGAGTGGCTCCTCAGACCGCTGTGTATTGCTATCCTGCGGCCGTTACTTAAGTTGGTATAACTAGAGAAGCAAGTGGTCGGCAACATTCATCTCTCTAGAGGGTGTCTAACTTGGTGTTACAGTGTGTTTGACTCTGAAATAATTTTAGGCCAGAATATCCCTTTAACATCCAGGCATATGGATAAAAGTAAGATTTTGTCTTTTTAGTGGCTTTATCCAATCATGATGATTGAACAGGACATTTTTATAAATCACATGACTACTTACTGCCATTACTACTGCTATAATCTCATTATTAGGCAGTCAGCTAATCTACAAACAAGAAAACAGAAGACAATCAAAAACCAGCATGTTTCAATCCACATGTGCAAAATCTGCAGGTGAATAATGTCAAATATGTTTGGAGTGTGGCTAACAATAGGAAATCTAGCACCACCAGTCTGAGGCTCTCCTTGCAGGTCAACATCCACTCACCTGTGCTGGTTACATATTTTCCAACAAGTGCCAGTTTATCTAAATACATATATTCCCATTTTTTTAATCGAAATACTAACAATCTGCACCTCCACACTACAAGATACTATCCGATGTCAGGTTAGTGGGGCATTATAGCAATCACAATAAATCCGGACTGCTTGATCCTCCAAAAGCAGGATTATCATGATGTTAAAAACATTAACCTCAGTGAATACAGAGCTGATGATAGTCCTACTGACACAAATATCTCCTCACACCTAACCACCTCTTGGATTACACCTTTCCCACATCTCACATGAAATTACATCCTCTTCTCCAGCAACCAGTGACCCACAGTCCACAAGTGCACCACCATAACTGACATCTGCTTCCTCATATTTTAAGAACTGGCTCTGAGCATTTATGTCCAATTAACATGATTATACTTTGGACCAGTTAAACATCTTTAATGGCAGCAGGTCTTCGAGGATAAATAGGTCAGCAATCACACAGAGTACACACCTCCAGACTGGGTCTGTTTAAGGGGAACTGGAGGGGGGTCAAGTTGGAGAAGAACCAGTTTTAACAGCCTTTGTTCGTGAATGTTCCAAATTTGAGTGGGTGATAATTTGAGCGAGCACCATGAGGATGTTGGATGAAATGTAATATGATCAGTCACCCTGGGGTCGAGTGTACAACCTTATTCAACCTTTTTACTGACATCTGCCAATTGGAACATATCTGAGATTCAGCATTAGTGGCAAATTTAGCATATGCAACACACTACACTACTTGTATTACTTTGTATTAAGATTAAAGTTGAGTAACTTTACCATAAATTTGTTGAGGAAATATTTTAAATTTAAATTAAGTTTTTAAATTTCCCTGCAGTTTACATACAAAGAACACATTGGAGTGGATGATGCTGTCCTCTACATGCTTCACCGTGCCCTGTCTCATCTGGAGGAACCTGGGGTTTATCTGAGGACCATGTTCTTCGACTTTTCAAGTGATTCAACACCATCCAACCCATCATACTCAAAGACAAGCTGACAGAGATGGGAGTGGATCCTGCCTGTGTTTCCTGGATCATAGATTATCTGACAGGAAGGCCACAGTTTGTCAGGCTGGGGAACTGTGTTTCTGGGACATTAATGAGCACTACAGGGGCTCCACAAAAGACAGTGCTGGCACCATTCCTGTTCACACTGTGTATATCAGACTTCAGATACAGCACTGAGTCCTGCCATATCCAGAAATACTCAGATGACACTGCTGTTGTCGTATGTATCAGAAATGAACAAGAAGCGGAACAGAGAGATCTGATAAGAGCCTTCAGTTACTGGAGTCACAAAAACTGCCTCCTCCTCAACACCTCAAAGACAAAGGAGATGGTCATAGCAGAGCTGGCCCAAGGCATATAGGGGGGCCCCAAGAGCAATAAAAAAATACATATATCATAATTTTTATTTTTTTTTAATAAAACATAAAAACATTTTAGTGCTGCTGCTGATATAGGCCTATGATTCTTACTGCTGACATGTCAAAGCTCCGCTACCATTACGTGCATTACATTTTGAGATTAAAATCCATATGTGGCACCCTGAACATAATTCATCAGTCATTCATTGGTATTATATGTATTGGTATTATTTGTTATTACCTAGGCCACCCCCTTAAATAGGTAAAGACAGTCATGTTAAATTTATACTGTGGTTGATGTGTAAATGATCAACTATCATTATTGGCAGAAATAGAGGGCCCCAAAATCAAATTTGCTTAGAGCCCCAATGAGGCTCTGGGTCATAGAATTCCATAGATTCAAACCCCCTCTTCAGCCAGTGGACACCTGTGGAGGGGACATTGAAGTGGTGACATCATATAAATACCTAGGTGTACATCTGGATAATAAATTGGACTGGTCTAAGAATATAGACTTCATCTACAGAAAGGAGCAGAGCCGCCTCTTTTGCCTGAGAAGACGCCAATCCATAGACATCTGTAGTAAGACGCTGCAGATGTTTTATCAGTCTGTGGTGTCAACTGTTCTGTTCTACGCTGCAGTCTGCTGGGAAGGAAGCATCAAACACAAAGATGCAAGACATCTTAACAAAGTGGTGAAAAAAGCTGGATCTGTGGTTGGATTCAAGCTTGACTCAGTGGAGGATGTGGTGGAGAGATCTACACTGAGGAAGGTGGAGACTATTCTAAAGAACATGGATCACCCACTTCACAACACCTTAATGAACCAAAGGGCCAATGGTGGTGGACGGCTCGTCTTTCTTCACTGCAGAACAGAAAGATTCAGAAGATCTTTTGTACCAACAGCCATAAGACTTTACAACTCTTCTGTAAATAGATGACTTTTAGAGATATGACAAACAAGACAATTGAATTTCCCTGTAGGAGCCAATAAAATTATTCTTATACATCCTTCTGAGCCTTGTACTCACACAGAAGTGCTATTCGAATTAATAAGCACAATGACTCTTACCAATTTAACTAGTTTGACTGTCGGGGGGGGGGTCTTAAAAGCATTAAAAGGATGAATTAAACAACCAGACAGGAGGCAGGGTTGTCGCCATAAAAAGGGATTTTATTTTATGAATGTACAGACATGTGGCGTGCTCTAACGGTAGCGGTGCAGCTGCAGGGTGTTGCGCCTCTTCCAGGCCGCACGGCGGGAGCCTCCGATGGTCAGGTGGTACTTGTGGCCCTTGCCCAAACCGCGGCTCTTCTTTCCTGCAGATGTCAAGCCACGCATCTCTCTGTGCTTGTGCACAGCCTTTGTGATCCATTGGGTGTCTGGGTTGCGTCTGACGGCCTTGTGGAAGGGGTCGATCAGAATCACCTCGAAGAACTTGTAGGTGGAGTCCTCACCCACCCAGTAGGAGTTGAGCACTCGCAGGCCTCCGCAGTGACGCCCAGCACGCTCCTGGGAAACAAGAGAGAGGGAGGTAACTATTATGACAGAACAAGGTCAGTAAAACAAGCGTGTTTAATCATAAAGTCAACAGCTCTCCCAGGAGGCATCCTCCTGTGTGCTTCCCTGGCTCCAAGCTGCTCATAGGAACTATCCCTGTAGATCTGTGACTCCAGCACAAACAATACCTCTCCCTCTTTGTCAGTTTACACTGCTGCTGCTGCTGCCCTCACACTGGTGGTTTGTAGCAAATAAATTCAAATGGCATAAAAAAAAGATTGCACCTCTAACTTTGACACTACAGCTCATCTGCTACATTTAACTGCACAAGGAAATTGAGCAATTAAAATGAGACAAGGTAATGCAAAGAGATACTGCCTTCCCCAAATTCACAGCACCCTAAAGGCCTCTGTGTGCTGATGAATATTCAGCAGGACACACTCCTTTAATTAGACAAATGCTGTTGCACTTGTTGGTCTGATGGCATTCACAACAGGAAGCAAAAGCTGAAGCCTCTATGAATTTACATCCAACCAAAGGAACTGGTTGGCTGTGCCATAAAGTCTAGTACAGAATTTTAATTTAATGTTTTTTTGTTCCTTTGGGAACACAGTGGTTGGTGATTCATTCTCCTGAGAGGACTGTTGCAGCTAAATTGTATCATATTTTGTAGCAGGAACATTTACCTCCTTAGTGTGTCCATCAGTTACATATTCAATTAACTAAGTTAACACCTTCACATTGTTGCACACTAAAATGTTGAACTGCAGCAACACAACCAGGGCTTATATCTGACCAAATGTTCCAGTTATTCCTTTCAGTGAGGCGACAAGTTCTACTCAGAAGTGGTGATGCTGAAATTAAGGCAGCTTTTAGCAAAATGGCTCACTGCTGCATTGACACTGTCTCCTGTTGGGTGTCTAGGATGTTTGTCTTATTTACGGACCCGGTACTTTTCCCTTTTTTTTACATAATGAGATTAAACTAAGGTACGAAATTAAATTTTTGCTCAACAGGTCTACGCCGCATTGGGAGATTATATGAAATGTGGTTTAACATCAGGATACAGATGGGCTCCAACACAGATGCTCTGACATCAAACCTAATTTATGTGACAGTGCTAAATCAAGTTCACGCTTATGAACTACTAAATGTGCAACAACAGTATATATGCTGCACAGTTTTTAAAAACCTAAAACTTTATCTGACCCAAAAGCAGAAAATTTCAACTATTTTTCACAGCAGAGCAAACAGAAACCGACACAGATGTAATATATATATCAACTTAGAGCAATGGTTCTCAAGTCCAGTCCTTGAGGCCCACTGTCCTGCATGTTTTGGATGTTTCCCTGCTCCAACACACCTGATTCAAATGATCAGCTCGTTATTAAGCCATTACAGAGCTTGATAACGAGCTGATCATTTGAATCAGGTGTGTTGGAGCAGGGAAACATCCATAACATGCAAGACAGTGGGCCTCGAGGACTGGACTTGAGGACCACTGACTTAGAACGTTCAAGTTTGAGAAGTTAGACAAAATAGGAGCTACAAAATGCTGCTATTTGTCACATGGATGTACAAAATCTACTGCTTTCTAGACAGTACAGATTTTTTTTTACAAAGTATTCAATCCTATCACAAACATTAAGACCTCTCACGAGTGACAATAAGACCTTTCAGATTTTGACTTAACTTTCCCAATCTAATTCAAGAGTTTCAAAACTTTTAGGATCCCTGTAAATAATATATCATTGTCAGAGCAACCATTACAAACCGTTGGTGACGACTGGACAAGCATATCTGACTGACAGTTTTTGCAAATAACATGCAGAGAGACCTTGAGTAAAGATACTGCAAGCTTAAATATCTGCCTTATCAATCTACATCTCAACCAAGTTTTGGTTTGTCTGTAAAATGTCAGTTTTATTTCCAAGAGCAGAAACTGAGGCCTAAGTATCTTAATGGAGTTTTTGTGATCACACTAGTTAAAAAAACAGATGCTTATAATGTCATTTGAAAATAATTGGTTAAAAACAGTTCAAAATGGTTCCTTTTAGTTAGACAATCTCACTAGGGCGATTCATGAACTGTGAGAATAGTGACGTTGGAGCAGATGGCTAATTTAACAGGACTCCATCTTATTGTGTTCACATATGCAGTCATAAATGACGACAGATACTGCCAATGCAGCTGAGCACGTCAGCTGTTTCTACATTCAGTCAAGTCAGATAAATAAACTAACTCACCTCAGCAGTGGACTGCAGACTGCGGGCAAACTTGATCTGGTTGACGCCATGGTGCACTGGCTTGCCGTAGGTGGCACCCTTGGGCACGGGGCGTTTACGGCCTCCACGGCGCACACGGATACGGTAGATTACGTAACCTGATTAACCCAAAACACAAACTCTATGAGCAAGAAGTCAGACAACAAAATCACACATTAAGTTGACACTCCAGGCACAACACTCACCCTGCTTGGCCTTGTAGCCCAGCCTGCGAGCCTTGTCAGGTCTGGTGGGTCGGGGAGCACGGTGGAGGTTGGACAGCTGACGGTACTGCCAGCAACGGACGCGGAGCAGGAAGCGCATCACATCGGACTGCTTCTTGCGCCATAACTCCTGCATATACCTATATGCTCCCATGTTGACTTATCTGAAAAACAGAAGAGAAAAAGCATTAAGTATCTAAATCACAAAATTAAACCTTGTTTTTTAAAGTAGAGGGTATACACTGCAACATGACCATTAGGATGACAGCATCTACATTGCAGTTCAAATAAGAGATCAGAAATGCACAGATTTAAATGTCAATTGTGTTAGTACTAACAAATTGGCCAGTGAGCGATCATGTTGTTTTTCATCAATTCAGTGTTGTACACTTATTTATATTGCTGTAAATACTCTAATTCTGGCTACTGACTGTAAATCTGATGGCGCTGCATCCCCAGTAGGAAGAATGAGGATGACATACAACCATACATCTGCAGTAAAGTTTACAAATTTTTGCAGCAGCCTTTCACATCTGTTTTTCTGCAACAGCTCTTTGTAAGTATCCTGTTCTTAAAGACAGTACATATGAGCCAGGAGATCCAACTTATGAAGCTGTCTTCACTCCAAACTCAGTGGAGGATGTGGTGGAGAGATCTGCACTGAGGAAGGTGGAGACTATTCTAAAGAACATGGATCACCCACTTCATTACACCTTGATGGACCAAAGGGCCAAATGTGGTGGACGGCTTCTCTCTCAGAAAGATTCAGAAGATCTTTTGTACCAACAGACTTTCTAACTCTTGTGTAAATATTAGATGACTTTTAGAGACATATTATGAGAGAAAACAGACAATTCAATTTCCCTTCGTGGATTAATAAAGTTCTTCTCATTTGTATTATGAAATCAAAACAGCAGCTCAGGCACTGACAAACCATAACATGCAGTGCTGTAACTCCATCCACTCTTGAGCCTGAATTTACATTGCAAACCACTAAACTCCAATTTCTGATTGTACAACAGTAAACTAGAGGAATTCATGCCTTCTTTGAGCTTCTGCACCCTACGATAAGAGCATGCTGCAAGACAGACACCCTCACCAAAGAAAGACAGCTTACACACAACACTTGTGTCAAAAAGTTCCAATGCTCCGTATTTTCTACTTCCACCAAGTTCTCCCCTCTAACACACCATGAGGCTCAATGACAGCATGTCACAAACACGAACAAATCTGGGGTTTGAACACTTTGATGAAGCTCAGGAGTGATGGATGCTCATGTTGAACTAGGCTAACACAAGCAAAGCTAACATGCTCTAACTGAAAGGAACAGTCGAAAGCCTGTCATTGACGTTTTTACCATAAAATTACGAGACCAATGTGTAAAACAAAAACATATATAGCAGTTTCCACCTTTATTCAAACGCGGAGTCTACAGCACATTTACAGAGATCTCTCCGGACACCATCAACACTTCAGCTCTTCGTGTTAGCTGTGCTAACAGCTACCGGCTCAGCCGCATCTCATTCAAACTACGCTGTTATCCATGATTAAAACAACGTTAACCAAAAATAATAAGGCGTTAGTGATCGTTATAAACACGCTTATCAGTGTGGTGTGTATCGCAGACAGATGGATGCAGAAATACAGTGATTTAAATGGATTGAGTTTGGTGTTAAAGCAAAGAAATACTCGCTTACATGATGGCGTACCAGCCGGAAAGAGAGAGGAAAAGTACCCAGCATGCCTTATGAAAATGGCAGTGACGCAGTTCCTTTGTTGTGCCCCTGGGAAATGTAGTTTATTCCAAGGTCGTACACTTTAACGCTTTTTGCAGTGTTATATCTAAATGTTCATAAAAAAAAAACTAGAAACCTAAAGTAGATCAGTTATTGTATATTTGTTTGGGTTGTATATCCCTCGACATTACTTTTTTTTGTCTGAAACCAATATTTTATATCGAAGGATGTTAAGATAGCACAACTCGAAATCAAAAATATTCACGAACAACGTCTAAAGATGTAAACACACTTTTCCTCTTTTTCCTTTATCCCAGACATCTAATCTTTTTCACGCACCTCGTGATGTAAACGCAGTATGAGCTCTTAATTTTCAAAAACATGAAAAAAAAATCGATCGAGTATTGACATTTATATAACATTTATATGACATTTATAATATTCACATTCAACGGAATTTCCCATTTGGAGATCAATAAAGTCCTGTTCATCCTATCTAACTGATGCAGAGTATATTAAAAAATAGCACAATACTAAAATCTTGCGGGAAAACATCTCTTGTCTATTTACATTTAGTTAGTAACATCTCTGAACCCTCAGGTCTTTTTAGGACACCATTCATGCTAAGCATCGAAGGACGTTGATGATGAGATTACATAAAGTGTACATAATGTACATAAAGTGTATCTATTGGGTTAGCTGCTTTCATTCTCATTACATAATCCAAAACGATACAAAACAGTCGTTTTTGAATGCATCGGTGCACGTTAATATACATGAATTGTTGATAATAAGTATAATGTAACATGTTATTCAACAGTACCTTACGCCAAGAAACACGTTTTATTTGACGTAGGCGAACGCCGTCCTACGCGCATGCGCAGTGACAGTCTGAAAGTGATAGGGCAGGAGGATGGATGCTCTGGTGATCATGCTTCAGTTAAAGACCTGATACGCGGCCGGTCATCCACCTGAAGTAAGTAAGAAACTTAATCAGAATACATGAGTGATTGAGAAATAGTCACTTGTAATTATTGTTTTTATTGGAGTATTAACATGATGTGGAATATGTGGCTAGCTTGTTAGCTAGTGAGGCTAAACAACAAAACGCTGTCAGATACAGTGGTTTGAAGCTGACATTTACCACAGATGTTAAACCTTGTCAGAGAAGACTTAAAGATTGTGACTTGTGGTGTTTGTGTAAAATAGGCTTGAGATGGGGAAAGGCTGTAAGGTAGTGGTGTGTGGTCAGGCAGCAGTTGGGAAGACTGCCATCCTGGAGCAGCTGCTGTACGGAAACCACTCTGTAGGTAAGGCTCACCCTGAATAACCATAAGGAAATAACACCAGACTGAGCGCAAGAGTCTTAGAGTCTCCTTACTGACTGGGTTATTGTCTGTGTATCCCAGGCTCAGAGTCCAATGAGACCCAGGAGGACGTGTATGTGGCCTCAGTGGAGACTGACCGGGGTGTGAAGGAGCAGCTGAGGCTTTATGACACCAAAGGCCTCCACGATGGACAAGACCTGCCCAAACACTACTACACTGTGGCAGACGGCTTCGTGCTGGTCTACAGTGTTGACAGTGTGGAGTCTTTCAAGAAGGTGGACGTACTGAAGAAGGAAATAGACAAGTCCAGAGATAAGAAAGAGGTGTGGCTGGGTCAAAGTGTGCTTTCAATACAATCTATTCTGTCTGTATTCTTTCTTTAGTGCAGAGAATATCAGCCTTGTCATAAGAAATGTTGCTGCACTTAGCATTGCCAGACCTCCACAAAAAGTTAAAAGCAATTTCAGGCAAGACTGACTGCATTTTCTGTACAGTTTCAGCCACTGAGCCGTGCCCCAGCTGTTTGCACTGAATGAATGCTTTTGGCTGCTCCTGAAAAATAGCTGAATCTCCATCCAACCTAAGGCACAGCTTACTTCCTGTCTCTAGAGCGATTATGACTTTTAATTTTAACTCTGCATACCCACCTCCATGTAAAACTCAAGTTTCTTTATGTTTTACTTTTTTCCCTCTTACTTGCTCCTGAACCAGGGTGCATTTTGCCTGTTTCCCCAGTGCCTGGCAGCTTTAGCCTTTCTTCTCTAATTGGTCAGAAGTTGTAGTTAATCATGGCAGAGCTAGATGAGTTGTAAAATGACAAAACAGGTCTCCTCACTCTTCTCCAACTGACTTGGTGCTCTGTACAAAAGTAAACTCAAAATCCAGGCCTCAGAGATAATCAGGCACTGCAGAGAATATATGCCTTTGGATGGGGCAGTTCTGGATAAATCACTCAGTCATGGAGGGAGAATAAAAAGTGATAAACTGGACCGATGTCCTGTAACTTTCCTGGTAGGAAGATTGGCAGTACCTACTATTTTCAATTTTACAGTTCATGGATTACAAATGAGAACTGCAAGCCTTCACTCCTAAACTTTTTTCAAGAGTTACTTTTGGACATTTTTGACACATTTCCTCAGTTGAAAGTAGTCTCTCACATTCAGCATGAGCTGAATCTGTAGTCATGGTTGACTTTATAGCATTTAAATGAACTAACTGAGCTGTTACACCTCATTATTTATGGATTGTGTAATTTCCTTGGCTTCAAAATAAACTTACACTCTAACTAACCAACTACTCTCTTGGTTCAAACATGTTCGTTCTATCCTCAGGTGACTGTAATAGTTCTGGGGAATAAGACAGACCTGCGTGAGCGTCGTCAGGTGGATCAGGAGATGGCGCAGCAGTGGGCTCGAGGAGAGAAGGTGAAGCTTTGGGAGGTGAGCGTCACCGAAAGAAACACCCTCATCGAACCTTTTACCCAGCTGACCAGCCGCCTCACACAGCCTCAGAGCAAGTCTTCATTCCCTCTGCCAGGACGCAAAAGCAAAGGCACTCCCTCCAACGACATTTGAAGCTCTGAAGACACCTCTCATATACACACATGTACACACACACAAATGTCTTTCTGCTTCTGTTAGCATGCTGCATTCACCTCACATGGAAATAACAACAAGAAATGTCCATCTTTTGCACATACATTGCATTCAGTTATGCACACATTCCTCGTTAAACAGTATGAGAAACATGTTTTTTCTGCTTTCCACCAAGACTTAGGTGAAAGATTGACATGGTGTGTGTTTGCTCGGTGCAAAGATTCAATCAGGAGGTGGTTAATGTGGGTCAGGACAGGGTCTGGGAGAATTGAGGAACAGTCTGGCAGGAGAGAAAGGGAAAATTATGTCTCAACAACACATATCCCAATTATTAACATTTATATCTCTCCTATTCTGCCCACAAGCCAGAAAAAAAGTCATGTGCTAATCGTAAAGAACAACAAGTCATGCTTTTGCCTTAAACTTCATTTCAGTATCTCTTACTGTCATGCCAGCTACCAGTCAGAGAGCAAAGGTGTTTCTCTTGTGGTCTGTGAGGTGGGCGAGGACCACATCTGCCAACCTCATAGTAGAGACGTCCTCTGGAACCCGTGCCAACCTTTTTTTTGTGTAGCTTTCTGATGTGGCCAATTTTGGGTGCTCACTGCTTTCATACCTGCACAAAGACCAAAACCCTAACCTCTGTGCACCATCTGCTTCTTTACAGCCTGTGCCATGGCTGAACAGAAGTGCTGAGGGAATCAAAATCATTGTTTGTCCAAATATTGCTTAATCCGAGAGTTTTGGACTTATTGATTGTGCTTTTTAACGTTGAGCAGTGCCAGGTGTGTTGCAGCTTTGCTCTCAGTGTGTATATCAAGCCCAGATAACCACTTCCTGACTCTAGTCCTGAGCTTCAAACAGACATGACACTGACATTTTCATAGCACTTGTTGAAAGACAGCTAGTACTTTTGGTTTTGAATGCATGTTGTAGTCCTAACACTATCACTTACAGTGTTAAAAGTTGACATGAAACCTGGCTGAACTCTGCGCTTACATATTTTAGGGTCATAGCTGCAACATGGTTATTGTAAGAAAATGCACCTGATCGAAGTACGTCCTCTAAAAGTTCTTGTTTTTGTCACTGACAGGCTCTGAATGTTGGTCCAAGTGTCTGATAATTTTACAGCAATAATCCCTTATGTGTAATTCTTTTTTGGTGAGGAGTGAGATGCTTTCTAAACTAAGAAACATCTGTTACAACCCTCTCTTCAGAGCCACCAAACTCTGTTGGTAAAATGAGTAACTTTGCAGGGTACAGGAATTGCTGGTCTACCACTGCCTCGATTGGTTAGTAAGTTTGTGCTTTTGTGTGTTACAAAATGTTGTTAAACTGTTGGTTTTGGCCCAAACACAACATTTTAATAACACCAAATAACACAATCAAACTTACCAATCAAGTCAGCGGTAGACCGACAAGTCCTGTATTCTGCTGAGTACAATTTCTGGTTTTGTTAATGGAGCCTGGTTGCTCTGAAAAGAGTATCAAAACAATGTTTCTGGTTAAATAAGAGAAACATTTCCTGACCAAAACGTTTTCCTTCTGTTGGGATCATTTCTGTGATGTTGGCAGACACTTTAGAGCAGGGGTGGGCAATCATGTGCCATGGAGGGCCGAGAGGCTGCAGGTTTTCTTTCCAACCCAAAACTCCACCAGGTGATTTCACTGATTAGTCCCTGCTCTCTGCTTGAAGGTAAGGTAATCAGTGAAATCACCTGGTGGAGTTTTGGGTTGGAAAGAAAACCTGCAGCCTCTCGGCCCTCCATGGCACATGCTTGCCCACCCCTGCTTTAGAGCAACAATCTGAACCTGTCAGTGGCAAAAACTAAAACTTTAAGTCGATGTGCTTTGATGGGGGGTATTTTCCAACAACGATTGCCTTTGCAGCCCATTTTGTTGCCACTATTTGAACAAATCTTCTAAGGCAGCCCCCTAAACTTCTACTTTTGGTTTACACCCTAAAATATGTTTTAAAAGAGTCTGGTCTAGATAAATCTCCTAAATTTGATTTTTGTAGCCTGTTATGTGATTTATATAAATTATTTTTTGTTGACTTATGGCACCATTTCTTACATTCTGTTCGTGCTTGACAGTGATCTCTTTATGGGAAGTATTTACTCATGTTACGCTATTTCCCATCTGATGTGAATGCAGCATGAATCCTTCGTCCTTCTGCAGGACTCAGCTAGCCTTCATCCAGTCCATCTCATGTATTAAGTATGGCCTGGCAGCAATAATACTCATGGTACTGCCTTTAATGTGATGTAAGTTTTCTTCCGATGTAAGTCTTGCGTTAGTTGCACTCTTATGTTGTCCAGCCTGTGTTGTCTAACAGGACCACTAGGTTAAGCTGTGTGTCAGTCCCTAACAGTAGAAATGTCGGTGTTGAGAGGAAATATTTATTTTTTAACTAATTTATTTTTGTCACTTTAATGAGCCACATTCCTTGACTTGTGAAAATGGTGATTCGGTGCGAAGGAGGATCTGTGCAGTTTTCTGTGTCTCTTATGTTTCAAAGTAATGACATCCAAACTGTGGTATGTCAAAATTTGGGCCCTACTTTTGAACAGTCGTAGGTATAAGAGGTGTGGGGATTATTCTGATTGATAACTGAGCAGTGCAACAATGTAATGGCTGCATTTTTAATCCCTGGGGATCTCAGAGAAAAAAACATTTTCTTTAAGCATTTTATGAACACAGAGACAGCTGCTTCACTGTTGTCTCAAAAGGCACCAGAATCCACAGTTAAAATCATTTTACCCAGCAGAATACAGGAATTCCTAGTCTACCTTAACCTAGAATGGATACACAGTCTGTGTTTTTGCATGTTACAAAAATATTGTAAAACATTTGGTTCGATTCTGCTGTTGTGACATGAAACAACACAATCAAACTTACCAATCAACTCAGTGGTAGACCAGCAACTCCTGTAGTCTGCTAAACAAAGTTGTTGGTTTTGTCAGTGGAGTCTGTGGGTCCTGAAGTGTGAGTTAAAACAGTCTTTTCTTGTTCTGTGAAAGGCACATAACTGAAAAGAGAAAGTAACTTGCTTAACCAGACTCAATTGATAAAAACAGTGATATCAGTACGCAGGTTATGGGTGTTGTTGGTCTACCTCTGCCTTGAGTGGTTAGTTAGTTTGTGTTTTTGCGTGTCACAAATATATTGCGAAATTGTTAGTCCAGCACAAAATATTTGTGACATAGAATAACACACTTAAACTAACCAATCAAGTCAGTGGTAGACCAGCAACTCCTTTATTCAGCAGGCTATAATGGCTGTTTTTGTCAATGGACTCTGGAATTTTGAAAAAAAAAAAAAAAAGGTTTAGCACAGCAGAAAAAATGGGAAAACTCTGGAACAGATTCTATGAACAAAAAGTGCTATTTTACCTCCTAAAAAACTGGAGTTACTGGTCTACTTCTGCCATGATTGGTTAGTTAGTTTGTGTTTTTTCATGTTACAAAGATTTTGTTAAAATTTTAGTGACCAACACAAAATTTTTGTGACATGAAAGTACACAATCAATCTTACCAATCTAGTCAGTTGCAGACCAGCAGCTCCTGTTTTCTGCAAGGTAAAATAACACTTTTTGTCAGTGTAGTCTGAAGGCTTTGAAAATGGTGTTGAAGTGTAAAAACTATGCCTAAAAGAGAAGGTACATTTCTTTAATACTGATGTCTCTACTGCTGTCCAAAACTTTCAATAACAATATGAGCCTGCTTCTTACAAAAATAAGTTCTTTTAGAAAAAAGGAATTGCTGATCTACCACTGCTTTGATTGGTTAGTCAGTTTTTGTTTTTGTGTGTTAGATAATACTGTGAAACTGTTGGTTCCGGTTTTGTACAGTATTTTTTTCACGTTATAACACACTCAAACCCACAGATCAAGTTAGTGGTTGAACAGCAACTACTATATTCCCCTTAGTTGAACACTTGTGTATGTCAGTGAACAATATGAGCTACGGGAGTTGTTGGTCTACCTCTGCCTTGAATGGTCAGAAAGTTTGTGTTGTTTGGAGTTACAAATATACTGTGAATTTGTCAGTCCATCACAAAACTTTTGTAACATTAAATCGCTCAATCAAGTTAACAGTAGACCAGCAACTTCTGCAGTCTGCAAGTTAAAATTGCTGTTTTTGTCCATGCAGTTCAGTTACTTTTAAGAGAGTTTAGAAAATATTTTTTCTGGATTAAAAGGCAAATATCCAAGTTTCAACAGTTGTCTAAAACTTTTAATACATTTTATTGTATTGAAACCAGATGCAACCTTCACAAAGCTCCTTTTAAAGCCACCAGACTCTACTGACCAAAATATCAACTTTACCTTAGAGGACACGTGAGTTGCATGTCGACTATTGTTCCTGTTGGTTAGTTTTTCCGTGTTATTGTGTGACCCCGGTGTTCAATTATTTTATGTCATAGTAACACAAACAAACTAACCAACAGAGACAGTAGCAGACAAGCATCTCCCATGTTCTACACGGTAAAATCAGTGTTTTAGTCAATAGAGTCTGGTGTATTTGAATAGTGCTTTGTAGAGGCTGTTTGTGGCATCAAAACACTCACGTTATCAGATAGGGGTAAAAAAAAAAATTGGGCAAAAACAATTTTTGTGGACAGAACCGCCAACAACGAAGATTGCAGCCACTATTTCCTGTTTCATAGCAGCTAGCTTAAAAAAAGTCTCCAACTTACTCATTAAGAGCTTGAATTTCAAAGGTAGGGCCCAGGTCGGAAATACTGGAATTCCCTTAAATCTGCTGCTAGATGGAACCGAGTGAATGAAAGCTCTTTGCTGTCATGCTAATCTGAAATGATTTTCTGCTTTGTAACTCCATCTTAAGATGCACTAAATAAAATGTAGCCTCTTCATACTTCATTGCCTCTGAAAGCCACTTTTTTATTCACGGGTATTTAAAAGGTGTTTAGAAATAACCAGATGGAGGCAGATGCTTCAGTTGGTCATGTTTATTCGTAAGGGAGAAACAGAACAGCTTTTCATCAGTACGGAACACAAATCACAACCAATATCCATCCATATCTAAGCATGTCTACATGTGTGAAACACCTGTTCAAAGAGCAGAGTCTGGAGGGGGAAGCAAACACCAACTGCAAATGAATACATGTGAGAGTTTACACCGACTGGGAATCATGCTGAGACACGATCAATCTAGCAGTTTAGTATTAATGTCCATCTTCAAGCACAAGCTAAAAATTCAAAGAGAAAACACTAAATGCATTATTGCCAGGTTTGATTATAATTGGGCCGCAGATAACTTAAAAAATACAATAAACAACAAAATATCAGGAGTTAAGACTTCTTCAATTCAGAGATAAAAATCCACCCGCCCCTCTACCTGCCCCACCTCCCCGAGTCGACCCTCCCCTGCCCTTCATCCCCGAGTCGTCAAACCAGCAGCAGCCCCTCAGGTGATTATGTGGCGTAGCGTTTGGTCCACTGTTTGGCTATCCTGTCGTGTTCGGGTCTGTTTGTTGTGTACTGTGTGGCGATGCTTCCAACCAGAGGGTCAGCTGGTAAAGGAAACGAAAAATCAAACATCAGAGCTCAGAAAAATGTAACCATGATCGACTGTTTTATCATCTCAGTATTAATCAAGCACAGATCCACACAATCTTAAAAGTTCACGTAAATCCTGGAAATGCTCTTCACTCTGTTACAGTTTTGAAATGAAACAGGAATGTGTGTGATTGTGGTCTGCAGCTCTCACCAGGGTTGCAGTCAGTGAGCAGGGAGCAGATGGACAGCAGGACCTTGGAGATGGTGAGGGCAGGACTCCAGTTGTCCTTGAGGATGTCCAGACAGATCACCCCCTGACTGTTGATGTTACAGTGGTAGATCCTCGTACGAAACGTCACCTGAACACACACACAAAGAAAAACAGGTTAATACTCTGCAGCTTTGTGGATGTAGAATCTGCTTCTTATAGGAGAGGAGAATTGCTGATTAAAGGATCCTGTTGTCACCAAGATCATGAGCTGCATTAACAAGTGCAAGAGCTCCCTCTAGTGACAAACACAGAAACAACAGCCCTTTAAAATAGAGCCATGTGTTTGACGCCTCTCAGCACAGACTCTGCAGGATGCTGACAGCTGTGCAGAGACTCACCTTGGGTGGTTTGAAGGGGTAGTCTGGTGTGAAGGCGATGTCCAGGAAGAAGACTCCTCCCTCGTACACAGAGCCTGGAGGGCCCAGGATGGTCGACCTCCACTCATAGATGTTGTCTCCTTTAGGACCGGCGCTAATAACAAGAATTATTTATTAAAATCAGGTGCAATAAAAGCAGAGTGCAGCTTTCAAACAAGACATTAATTTATAGATGATTTTCACTAATGCTGGCTCTATTATCTGAAGGTATTAGCTGGTTTCGCTCTTAATTACACTGATGTTTTTCTTTTAGGTGGCAGCATTAAGTGCTAAGGCAATCAAATAATCAAAAGCCAATACGAAAAATGGAGGCAGACAGCAGAACAAGCACATAATTATGATAATATGGAGCCTATTCAAAGCCATAGAGTTACAAAGAGAGAAACAAAGAGACTGCAGCTTGATTCAATAATATAGATTTGATTCGCTTTAGGACTTTTTACAAGCAGAGAAATAAAAAAAGGAGGGAGGAGATGAATCAATCCTGCAGCAGTTTGATTTCATATGATTGAAAACTTTAAACAGAGGCAGTCAGGCACAATGAAGTAAAAGAATAACAATGGGGGAGACAACAGTAAGGAATCAGGTAATAAAGGGTCAATACACCAAATTATACGATTGTTTTAAAAACTTGAGCAGGTGCACGGGAGAGACTCTGTCCACAAACTTCACTGCACACTCAGCTCTATTTGTAGCTCCAAGAGCTTCTGTCCTGCTTTATTCAGACTCTTCCTTCATCCACTGATCTGGCCTTCATCTTTCAACACTGAATTGTTTATCTTAAGTGTGCTGAGGTTAATTTTGCTGTTCCACTTTTACTTAATGACTAAAAGGCTCTAAATTTAGACTCTTTCTGATGATGCTGCCTGAAATCTAATAACCATAGTCTCCTCGTTTGTAATTCATTAAAAAAACGCAGCGCCGTTACCCGTGCGAGTCATTATGTGAACAGAGAGCGAAGTGCTCAAAGGAAACAGATCAACAGGACTTTATTTTCCTGTGGAGATTAAACTGAAGAGTAAAAAGAGACACAATCCAACAGCAGCAGCAGCAGCAACAGAAGCAGCTCAGAGAGTCAACAGCAGCTTCAGTCTGAGCGCCGACGCTGGAGATGTTTTCACATAATTGAGTGCCTGATGAAGCGCTCCGAACGACGCTCTTCAGTTTGCCATTTCATTTGAAAATAAGTAGAGCTCTTAAAGCATGTTTGACTGATGAAACTCTGGAAAACACAGCAATCTGCTCAGATATAATGTGAGTGTTTCAAACAAACAAACAGAAAGAATCTATTATTCAGACACAGGAGCTGACAGAGTCACTCACAGTGTAACTCTGACCTGCAGTCACTCCTGTTATAGTGAGTAGCCTCTGTTTTCTGTTTGCTTTGAGTCCTGACAGGAGAGGGAAATGTCAGCTGATAATCTCACACTCTGAGACAAACTGTCTGCACTTTATCACCTTAGGGAGAGACGGCAGAAATATACAGAGAGGCGAGAGAAAACCCACCTGAGTCTGCTCTGCTTCCTTAAAGAGACATTCAGAGTTAGGACTTAGTTCAACTCATTTCGGAGCGCACACTTTTTACTTCTTTAAAAAGCCCAAAAGCCTGAGATTGAGCTCCCAGATGAAACCAAGTCCATCCAAAGGTATCATAATTCAAGAGAGCGTCCTGCAGAACAAAAACACCACACAGTCTTTAGTCAAAGCCACTTTATTAAGACAGAGGTACCAGCATTCCTGTGGTGCACCTCAGCCCTGGACGGGGACTCCTAATATGTTGGTCCCACCACAGAGCCTCATGCAGGACCTGCTGCTGAGCTCAGAACAGATCATGTATCATTTCCCTCTGAATCAACCAGACTGAGGTTTCTGTCGCCTGACAACAGAGGCGTCTCACATCCACAGGCGAGCCACAGAGAGCGCCTGGCTTCCTCCCCGCCTGCCTCCACGCACACAAAGACCTCCCAGTGCTTTGTATGAGGCAGAAAAATACGCCATGCTATCACTGTTGTCACTCACTCCAATATCTGAGAGGGGGGGAGGGGGGAGGTTTGGGGGGGCTTCTGCTACGACCTCTGTACACTCGCTCTGCAACAAGAGTGCTGACATTTGAGCATTTTTTCAGAGCTGCTAACCTTTCAGAGAGGAGCGCGGCGGTTTACCCAAAACTGACTGCAGCAGCTCGGCACAGAAACAGGAGACCAAGGTCTGGAGTAGACTGCACACAACCACGAGAGACCCTCTGAACACAATGAGATGATAACATGGTTTGTTGGCAGCTGTGTTCTTCTGTGTGGTGTTCATGCTCACTTTCAAGGCCACTTTCCGCCATAGGCTCTAACCCTCTACTAACCACCTGATGCAGCACCTCTGCTCCATGTCTCAAACCAAAGCTCACCAACATTTCTAGTCAGACTTCTGCTGTAACATCCTCATTTATAATGACTAAATACCAGATGAAACTACTTACTCCATCGTCTCACCTCCACACACATATCTGCACACACTGAGCTTTCTTCTCAGTCACCACTACCTGCTCACAACAGTGTCCCCATGATGATGAGGAGGAGGAGGAACACTGTAATAAGCTGCCTGATGAAGACAATGTGATGATTCCACTTCACCGGAGAGCGCTCGATGAAACTGCGCACGCACACACGCACGCACGCACACACACCTCTTCCCACTCTGCCAATTTAAGACAATAGCAATCAGACTGTAAATGTTCTGGGTGCTTTATGAGGACTGAGGGGGTGAATATCTGATACTGTTCTCCAAATAAAGCTCTTTTATTTTCTGCTTAAATTGATGAAATCCACACCGTGACATTAATAACAGACTGACTTTTAATATTGATACAGACTGAACCAAATGTTTGTGACGTGAAGCTAAAGAGTGTTTAAAAATACTCGCATTCAATTAACTTGATTTTAGGCTGCAAGCAGCTGCAGTGTTCATTTCACTGGTTTTGGAAAGATGTTTGATCACACCAAGATGATCTTTTTTCTTTTTAATGACACAAACACTTCACAGCGTTTCCAGCAGCTTATGATCTGGGAGTCTGCTGGTTCCTGAGAGGAGGAGGCCTCTGTGGGTAATTTCACTGACAGTAAAAACCTTGTAAATAATTCACTCTCAAGGGTCATTTGGAGATTTGGTTTGTTGAGTTTAGAAGCTGCTGTAGCACCTGCATTTCTCTGTGTATAACAAAAAGGAGGAGGAGAAAACTCAGGGTTGTATCACACGTTGGTCAATCATAGAAAACATGAACCCCCTAATAACTTTTAAAATGAGCTGCGCAGAAGGAAAGAGGACTTGATCACAAACCAGTCTTACAGTAACTACATGTCAACATCGCAACCAGGGGGGAGAAAAATGTATATTCTGTGTAATTAATTTCTAAAGTTTGTCCACAGCTCCATAGGGATTGCTGGAGGAGGTGGGATTTATGACGTATACTGCAGCCCGTCACCAGAGGGTGCTGTGCTAGCAGGCAGACTCTGTCCATTCTATATACAGTCTATGGCAGGCATGTCCAAACTACTCCACAAAAGGCCGGTGTGGCTGCAGGTTTTTCTTCCAACCAATCACGAGCACGCAGTCTGACCAATCAGCCGTCTGAAGACTGAGATCAGCTAAAGAAATGAATCAAGTCTGGTGTGCTGCTGCTTGGTTGGGAGAAAAACCTGCAGCTACACCGGCCCTTTGTGGAGTAGTTTGGACATGCCTGGTCTATGGTCTGAAACTAAACTATGTAACACCATCATTCTCACCAGTCAGCTCAAAGCAGGTCCACAAACTCCTAACGTGTTTTTTAGTCGAAGCCCTAAATGCTGCTCATGTGTTCATGCCTCAATGTGGTGCAGTCTTCCTCTGATGCACCAGTTCACTAAAAACCAGACCGCTGCAACGCTCTACTACCAGGATGGAACAAGCACGTGTGGTTTGTCAGGATGTGGATCTAGAAAATGGAGATAAAGTTTTATGTAGACCAGAGACAGACTGATTAACGGTCCTCACAAGACCAATACCACACAGACTCTGCAGGCTCTGAAATCCTGGGTTTCAAAGATTCTCACTTTACGCTGTTTAGATTACTTTCTCCTGCTGTTAGAGCCGTCTCTTGTGCTGACTTAAGTCGAAGTAAATTTGGCGTCCTTGAAAGAGATATATAAATCTTCACTGTGCATGAACCAAATATAACAGCTGAGTGTCAGAGGATACTCACTCCGCTGACGGCCAGCAAGCGAATAATTTGGCTTTAGCTGAGTGAAGTAGCTGAGATTTATCTGTGAGGCTGCAGTAGTTTAAAGATGGAGAGAGAGAGGCAGGCTCATGTTTGAACCTGCTGAAGGATTTCTGACACAAAAAGAAACATTTCTCAGTTTTGAAGTTTCATTCTCTTTTAGGAACGCTCCTTCTCTTCACTTTATCTAACTCAGTCACAGCTTCTGGTTTAAAACTTTCATGAAATTGACAACTTCAGTCAACAAAAAACACCCAAAGCATTTAGATGAAGATACCTGCTGCTGATTGGAGATAAAATGAAAACCGCCACTTCCTCTCTGAAGCCTGGCACGCAGACGGGAAACTTCCACCTCTGCAGCTCAGTGCTGCTTCCAGGAGTTTCTGAAGCAACAACAACGACACACAGGCCAGCCGCTTCCTCTCCAGGGAGCGGGCTTTTTTTAGACACCAAGGAGCTGCAGAGAAAACCTCAGTAATCTCACACATGCAGGACAGTAACACACTGCAGAGATGTGTGTGTGTGTGTGTGTGTGTGTGAGGGGAGAGACCGCTGCCAACACCAGCAACTGAGCAGGAGGGTCACATGCAACTCAGATGGCTCACACCACGCCTGCCAGAGTCCCGCTGAACACGCTCACACATGCAAAGACTGATATACCACCACACCACATCACATTTGAGAGTCTTTAAAGATCCATAAAACCACTTTTTAAAAGGGAGAAAATTATGTGGTAAACCAAGATAAATGTCAACATTTTGAGCAAATATGGATAAAACCGACTATCTTTCACACAACAATAACAGCAACAACAGCCTGTCAGCCTTTGGCTCGCACAGCATGACGACAAAAGCAGAGTAAACACTCGTACCCGCGGCAGAGCATTGTTTATGCAGGAAGGAGGTGAGGAGAAGGTGGATGTCATGAGTGAAAGGAAAAAAATAAAAACTGGAAGAAAGAGCAACAGTAAACATCTCATTGTCCCGGGTAGATGTGGCTCCCTCTGGGCCAAGTCCGGACTGAACCAAAGTATCGAGCTAAACAATATCAACAATGGTCTTCATGTCCAAACATACTTCGCACTAATTGCACCATTCTCTTTTCTTTAGCTGTCATGAGTACAATACTGGAATGTCAGGAATCTGTCTGACACCCAAAGGCATCATCAGAAGAGGAGCGATAGTGACCGACAGCGAGAAGGAGAGAAAGACGACGAGAGTAAAGTGTCAGGATGGCGGCAATAAATTTAACGGCTGGTTGAGGGGAAAAGAGAATAAAACATGGAGAATAACAGAATCACAGCATAAGGGAGGGGACAGGAGGGGAGGGGGAGGCCTGTGATGTCTGCAGTTCACACTTGAGTGGCAACGAGGCTGAAGAGGAACAGAAAAAAAAAAAAAGAGAGGGCCCTGCTCGGCGTTCCCGGTGAGGAGTATAATTAGATTTTGATAAATGACAGATGAAAGACTCTTTGGCTTTTAGTGCTCATAAAACAAAGTTTGCTCCCTGAGAGGCGCTGATGATAATGGAAACGAGTCAGGATAAGTCTTTTCTTCATCACTCAGTGTCCTTTTTAAGAGCGGAAAGAAGCCCGAGAGGAATGAGACGACAACTAACTGACTCATCGATGTGTAATCCATTAAACAGCATCTGCAAGGCGAAGCAGGCCGGCTCCATTCATACCCTAATGAGCAGATTCTGTGCTAAATGAAGCAGAAAGACGCCAAATCCTGTAAAAATCCACCCTCTCTGCACGTGCTGCTGAATGGAGGGTTTCACGCCGAGCGGAGGAGGACAAAATGAAGTGATGAGGCCTTTCTCCACACTCAGACACAGTGATCAATCACTCAGGGTGCGGCCACTACACACACAGGAGGAGGCGTCTGTGTCAGCCCTGAAGCTCTCCCTCCTTTGGTTGACTTGATCAGGTGAAAAGGGAGTCTCTTTGACTTGGGTGTCGCCTCATAAACAAACACACAGACACGTTTGCACACTTGTACAGCTCAATTAGACTAACGATGAAGTTAGTCCCAAACAGCAAACAGGCTAAAAATAGATGCTGCAGATGTTCAGGTGTCAGAAGGTTTCTCTTCTCCTGTGCAAGAGGTAGAAACACCTGTTGCACCACGTCCTCATTTCTTCACTTAGTTATGTAAATCTGTGCTTTCTCAAGTGTGTGAATATCAGCTCTCACACAAATACACGTGCAAAGACCGACAGAGGGTTCACGCCATCTCTCTGAATTGTTTAATTTCACCTCACTCTGATCAAAATCCTGCCTGCCCCTGAGAGGAGCAGAAGGTGTGTCAACAAATCCTCCCAACAGCTTCACTTTAATAACACAGTATAAGCCCTTCAACACTGATACAAACAGAGATTTGTGAAATCTAAACAAGACTGTGTGCAAAACTTGCATTAAACAGTGCAGCCGGAGACGGGGACATTTCAGATTTGGGGGGGATTATCTCAGGATCAATTACCCGCTGACTGCTGCAGAGCCCCCCTGGTCAAGAGAAAAGGAGCCTGAGCATATCTGTGGGCACAGATTATAAATCCATACCCGCAGATGAGCTCACATGGTGCACACGCAGCAAATGCTGGAGCTGTTTGCATGAGACAGCATCACTCTATAAAAGAGACCCGAGTCTGCAGCTTTGTTCACACACTTGCTCAGTCAGGTCTAAACGAGGTTTTTGTTTCTTTTCTCTCACTTCCTCTAGCAGAAGTTTTTTCAAAGTTTAAAGCAAACCCAAACGCTGATTATATGTGAAGTAACGCCCAGTGTGCTTCATATCAGAGGCCTTTATTCTGTTGTTATTGTTTCAGTATGATGTTGGCAGTATGTTGACTACGTGCTTAAATAATTCAGTCGGCTCCTCTGAAGCCTAGCAGCATGATTTTAATCAGTCACAGTAATACTGTATAACTCGGCTAAATGTGGAGGAGGTTCAAGGGTATCACAGTCTGGAAACCACCCAACTCTGTATAACACACACACACACACACACACACACACACACACACACACACACACACACACACACACACACTGATCATCCTTTTATGAGATCTGTGTCTAAACCTGCCAGGCTGGCTGACTTACAGCTCTATCAGACCAAATCGGGCACATCAAATATCACTGATTTATCGAAGTCAGGTCTGTGATAAAGCTGTCTGACCAGAGTGAAAACATCAGCACAACATGTGGTCTCTAACTCAGCATGACTGTCAGCACAAACAACTGATTACTAAACCTCCAAACACAGACCACTTTTATCTTATTCTCACACAAAACCAGATTTTTTATAAGAAAATACACCAAATTTATCAGAAATGTGCAGCATTTCATACTGAATGAATAAGTGAACCAGAGTGTGAAGCCGAGCAGATATTTGCTCCAAGATGCTGCAGACATATATGTTTTTAGGTTGATTACTCAGCCAAATCCTTCAAAAGACTCACCATTAAAGAGCAAAAATAGAGGAATTAATTTGAAAGCAGATTGAGGTTCTCATTTTTTTAAACTGGGTTTTATTTGACAGCATAATTAAAGCTCTGGCTGAGTGATTGGTTGGAAAATTTGGGGTTTCTGCAGTACAAGCAGAGAGAGAGAGAGGCAGTAAAGGATGCAATGTAAGCCTAAAGGTAAATGCACACTATCAAAGTTTGTCCAGGTGTAGTGTTAGGATTATCGCTCCTTTTTCAAACCATGACAAACATTTACATCACGCTCTTTAAAGCCACCAAACTCCATCTACAAATAAGGCAACTTCACCTCATTAGACAGGTCAGAGTTTACTCCACAGCTAACTTAAACAGTTACACCCTCCTTCTCACACATTTACACCTGAAATTTGCGAGAATTTTTCTAAATTCACTGCTCACAAATTTCAATCACAGCATGAAGTCTGTCCTGCTTGGAGACAGGGGTGGTAGGTGGGAGACATAAGGTAAGTCTCAGGAGTCAGGAGGTGACATCAAACCCAGACTGTGAAAACCAGTGTTCTGTCTGCAGCACGATGGTGAATGAAGCCACATATATCCATGCTGTGATGACACTTTATTGCATTTTGCCTCATGTACACAGGCAGATCTCCACTTTTCACATCTTGAAAATCATCCTCCCTCTCCGTTCTCAAGTGCTTGTGTTTCTCCAGAACTGCGTGTTGCTTTTTCAGTTTCCACTTGTCTTGATTACAAATGTCATGGCCTACTTTTGGCAGATTTTCCTGAATATTTCCTGTATCTGCTCTCCTTATATTCTTGAAAAAAATTACTCAAGGCCTTGCAGGAAAAAAAGAGTCAAGGTGAAAGTTTCATCTTACTCTATTCACACATGCAGCTTAGCCCCAAAACTTCAGGTTTTTAAGAGGTTCGGTGCATCCTGGAATACACTTAGGTTTGTTTTTTCATCATCTGACTCTGTTTTAAACTCATAAATAAGCCCAAACAAAGCCTCATAGTTATGTGGGTATTAAAAAAGGTTCATTCAAATGCAAAAAACATCTCATTTGTTGGGGTCCTGTCTTTTATAATATCAGCAGTAAACCAAAAACTCCCACTAGACTTCAAAAGATGAAACACATTTGTTGCAGGCATCACAACCTGTTTCAGACTGAGGAGTCTACAGGAGTATATCTTAAACTTCTGGCTCATTGAAGACTCCAAAATGTGTCAAAGATTTAAATCCAACAGAGCCCCAATTTTAAAACTTATTTAAATGTTGGTTTTCTAACAGCTAATAAATGGAAAAGTCTAAATAGTCTACAGACTGACAGCAGTGAGGCATAAAAATTGCGCTTCATCCCGGCAAAGAGACACAGAGGAGCTCCCCAACATGTAGACTGCCTTTATCAACTCATCTGACGAGAAAAAAAAACAACCACACCACCTCTGTAACACGTCTTATCCATGACCTGGATGTCTCTCCTCATGTTTTTACAAGTTGCCACTGAACCGTGCTACACAATCCTTCACTCACCTGCAGTTTGGCGGCGGATCCAACGTGATATCAGCCAGTTCCTTTTGAATTCTGCGAAAGCAAACAAGATCACATCACAAGCTAAACCCTGATCAAATACTGTAAATCCAAACTCAGAGCCTCACAGAGGAATGAGAAGAGCAAACAGAAAAAAGGGAAGTCTGAACAGAAACACTTTTAGCCACAAAAATGTCATAAATTAGGAAAAATGTTAAACTTTTTTAAATGAGAGTCCTGGTTTGGATTGGGGTGGTCTCTCAATGTCCCTCTTTGTTTAATAAATCGCGTTTAATGTACCTTAACTTGTCTATAATTAGGACAAACTCCAAAAAAACATGATGAATACCCCAAAAGTGACTAAAATATTGGGAATATGCCTTTACATATCTTCATAATCTGTGGCTGTTGAATTGAAACAGCTGTACTTGATCCCTGACCCCCTGGCTCACCTTTTGGCACTGGTGGAGAGGAGTTTGGAGGTCTTGCTCATGCTGACTTTGCTCTCTCGTTTCTTTGAGGAGTTGCTGTCTTGATGTTGATGCTGAGGCTGCTGCTGATGATTTGAGGATGAAGAGGAGGAAGAGCTGGTGCTGGCACGGGAATCTTCATCCGACATACCGAGCCTGAGGAGAAAACATGATCTTGTACATGAAGTACTCATGATAAACCAACTTTGCCCTGGACCTAACACCGTTTAAAATAGGTGAGAGAGCATGTTAAAGCAGATGGTGACAAATCTTTACGGTGCATCATTAGAATTGCATGTATTTTACTCCTGCAATTACGCCTGATTATGTTATTCACAACAACTGGCGGTCTGTCGTGGAAACCGAACTTTAAATGAAATTGTGTTGAATTGTACAGCTGTATGGTTGTACAGGTGTAAGCCGAATTAAAGACGGGATCCGTACAATTCTTTAAAAATGAAACCTCCCGTTTTCTCACGCAAAGACTAACACCGAATAGCGATCAAGTTGAAATGTTGGGATATTTAAAGGGAGTCTTGCGCGCTCTTATCTGTGAACGTTTACGGCTATATGCTGTAACCACGGATCCCCCTGCAGTCAGGGACTCCGTAAACGCTTCTGTCATTTTAACAACCAGGCCTGGAGAAGATGTTGACCCGGGTTAACCGGACCCATCAGTTTAAATCCCTCATGTGTTGATGTTTTTGGGGAACTTATCCGTCTTATCGGCGGAGCATTTCCCTCTTTCATAACGCTTAATTCTGACCTCAGCTAATGTTTGCAGCCGGGCGTTATTTTTAGCCTTGCCGAGCTGCGACAAAGGAAATCATTTGGTGAAATAGTTCGGCTAAAGGCCTAGTTCTGCCTCCTGACACCACTGAGGGAAACACGAGACAGTTAGACCTCTGCTCGGCATCGAGGCGAAAAGGTCGGACTTGAAAAGCAGAAATACACCGACGGGGCGATGTCGCAGTCGGCAGGGAGCCTCAACAATTTCTCAGGCGAATGAAACTTTCACCTGAAGAAGTCAGCGAGGAATTACAGCCATGTCAAAGAGTAACCAACCCTCCAAAGCCGATAGGGTCCAAACAAACACTACACGCCGTTTGCTCAAAGGTTTTCCTCGCAATTTTAAAGCTATATCCGTCGACATGCAGCTGATCTCAGTCACAGGATGGACCGACTCTTAAATTCTCCCCTGAAGGCAACACGGATACGTTCATGGTCCCAGCTTCATCTAAAAGACAAATATAACGTATAAGGATGTAATAGTATGACCTGTAATGCAAATATTTAGTATTGGATACCTTTCTTTGTGTGTGCACAGCTTATGTGTGTGTGCCTCCGCCGCCTGGACGCACCAGTGTCAAACTACCTACTGTGACCAGACACAGAACATCCGGTCATTTTCTTCGAAATAAAAGCGCAAAACAGAGGCGTCAGTGTCAGTTTAACAAGACACAAAAGATAAAATAAAACTAGATCAGATAAACTTTTACAACACGTACAGCAACTTTTAGGCGTCAAAGCGATACAGATTATAAAAGGACGGCATTTTATGTAACCTGAACAGAGCTTTTTGTCCACATATAACCAATGAAAATAGAACAAAGGCAGTAGGTTTACATCGTAAGTTTAAACAAAAGGTTTTTCAGATTCTGAAATTTTTGGAGATATTATATTTCTCGTTTGAATTCACAAAAATTGTAAAATGAAGCCATGCTGTTGTAATCCCTGTTGTCAGAATGTGGTTTGTAAATGTCTTGCTTAAATATGAAGGTCTTCCCTGAAAAAAGTCTTTGTCTGGATGTCAGCAGATGTTGCTCTTAAACCTGTAGATATTGTTCAGCATTAATGGAGCCTTCATAGATTTGTAGATTTTTACCTATGACATAGATGTTACCACCAGGGATGTTGGATTTGAACTGAGAGGTCCCTCTGCTTTTAAGAGCAGATGACATGATTTGACTTGTGAGACCATTGGGCAATTTTGACAGTTTTGCATCTCTATTAACCTTTTTGGTCACTAATTTCACGAGAGGTTGACAAGCCGAAAGTTGCATCCTGGGCTCCCCCTGACGCCTATTACGTGCATATTTGGACTCTTTCAGCCTTTTATCCACGAGGAGGCTGACGAGGGAGATAGACTGGTCACACTGAGGTTGGGGCTTTTATTTTGTAGAATCCAATAGCTATATTTCCTGGTTTTTAGTTGAGGTTTAATGAGAACTTGATTTTGCCGCTGGACGCGTGCCTCCTCTCGCCGGAAGTGTTGGTCCAGCAGCAGACAGACGTCCTGACATTGTCATCGAGACTCCTGATTTATCTTCAGACAGCGTCAGAGTCAAACAGCGATAATTTCACAGCCCATTTTCAGTGAGAGTAGAAATCAAAGCACTCTGTGTAGGGGAGACCGGGGCTGGTTGTCACGCCTTAATTCTGAAGTGGATGCTCATGATTGACACATCAGACAGTGGTCATTCCTTCATTAGACAGGAGCTTGCTGTCTTGTTTTGAATTACATGGTCCTTTTTTTCTTGTAAAATAATTTCAAAGCAAGTTATTAACCAGCAGAGACACTCTGACCATTCATGAGCTGTCAGGTTTTCCTCAGGGAACTCTTTTAAAAAAAGAGTGTGACAGAATCATTTCTGTGAGATCTAAAAAGAGGAGTATTGTAACAACACAAACTGAGCTCAGTCATGACTGGAAGGTTGTATCATCAGGGTACAGTTGGTTTTACGGTTTGGATTATTGAGAACACCACTGAAAACGAGCAGAGTGGCAGTTTTAAAAGGTCTTTGGGTTTGATAAAGAGTGCGGACGTGTGAAATTGGAGGCTGGTTTAGTAAACATCAGACAAAGCAGCTGCTATGAAGATGTGCAGTTATAATGAAGCACTTCAGCTGAGTTTTTGCAGATTGAAACCAACTCTCCCAGAGTACAGCAACCACCTTTTCCTAAAAATCGTTATTTTTCTTTGTGGCAGTAAAATGAAGATTAACCTTTATGTTCTGTTTGCTTTATCAGTATAAATCATAATGCTGCATGTTTGGGACAAAGGGTTAGGGTTAGGCCATCAAATAAGGTTGAGTTTAAGGCTCTGCTTTTGCTTTGGCTTTATGGATTCTCCCAAGAGGGTATAACCAGCAGCAGCATGGATCAGTGAGAGAGAAGACAAGTTTAAATGGACCAAATAGGGATAAATAAAGCTATTGTAATGTTTTATGAGAACAGGCTGTGATTGAAGGGAATAATTCAATTAGCAGTGTATCAGCTGATCCTAGCAGCAGCCTCTGACTTCTGTAACTAACACCAAGCTTTATTTATCACCTATCAATTCAATAAAGATACAAACAAGTTGACATGGATGATTGATTTTAAAATGATTTAATGCCACCATATAACTCTTAAAAACGAAATCCTGAAATTACTGGCCTATATGAGCTCCCACTGGGATTTTAAGGAACACTCGGGTTATCTCATTTATTCAGAAAAACAGGACAGAGTTTTAGTTTAGTTTAGTTTTTTTTTTTAAGCGTATTCATCTTGCTTCCCCTTACAAGTTTTTCAAAACTCTGCAGAAGTGGGTTTATGTGAAGATCCTCTTGCAGAAATCTCTTGGAAACAAATCTCAACTTTTCACTCAGGCAGACTTTAGATTTGCCTGACCTTTCTGCAGAGATGGAGTCGCTGATTAAATTACCTGTTAAATTCCTGCAAACAACTGTCTGCTCTCTGTCCTGCATGATGACGATGGTCCTGCAGACTAGACACATTTTCATTCACAGTCTCACTTTGGCCTTTTCACTTCTATCGATCACTCACCTCTCTTTGCAAATGTTGCATCACTTGCTCTGCATCACTGACTTCTGCTTCTTTCTCTTCCTTCCACAGTGTGTGTGTGTGCAGGGAGGGAGGGGTGGCAGGCAGGGGTAGGAAGACTCCCCTCCCCCTTCTCATGTGTCAACCATAATTAACTCTGCCACTGTTGCTCCACTTTGTCGGTTTTGCAACACAGTTCAGCGCCTGAAAACCACAGAAAAGCTTTGTGTGCTTCTGAGAGCGAGGCGGACACGTCGACTGTGAAGACAAACAGCAACAAGTGTGAGTTTGTTCTCTGTGGAGTGTTTCCAACACACACACACACACACACACACACACACACACACACACACACACACACACACTTCCATCTTTTCACTCATCAGCTCCTCTTTGCATCACACTCCTTCTCCCTCTCTTCACACTGTCAGAAGGAATTCTGGGAAACGTAGGACTCAAGAGGAAGTCATTGTGAGTAATTGAGTGTGCAAACGGATTTTTATACTTTGCACACAATTCATTTTCTAATGAGCTGTTTGCTTAAAAATATGTTTTTAAAGCTTCAAATATGAACATTCAGGTATGTGCACACACCAGACAAACTAAACACTGTTTTTAAACCGGAACAAATCATTTAAATTCATTCATTTTTTGAGAGCTTTGGAGTTTAAATGTGCAGCATGGACTCGAATAAACTGTAATGACCTCTCCTAAAGCTTGTGTGAACTGGTGCATGAGCTGTAAGATGGAGTAGATGACTCCTGCATTTTCTTTGTGAATTTTTGCTGTTTTGCTGATAATACCTAATAATTACTTACTTGCAAATAGACACAGAAAATGTGTAGCCATTAAGAGTCAGATGAATGAGATGACTTTTGTTATTGTGATTTGTACGTGCGCAAGTTACCATCACAGATGCTGGTTTTTAACTGTAATATAATCTAGTTAGTCCTTCCTTTGGAGCAGAGGATAGTGTCCATGATTCCCAAGAAGAATGTCAAATTCTGAACAGTTTCCACTTTCAGTCCATCTGAAATGTGCTCAGACTCCGAGAAGTCACAGATGTTTCTTTAAGGTTCTTTTTTTTCATGGAACAGTTTAAACCTGCTTTTAATCGCACCTTCACATTTCATCTTTTTCAGTGTGAATCAGTGCTTTTGATTACTAAAATGGTGTAATTGAACCTCATTAGTTGGGAGATGTTCCTCCAAATAATTTTGAAAGTTTTGCATCCACCAAAATCTAGTTTTACACAGCAGCCCAACTGTTTCTGATTTGGGGTAATATTTTAATGCATTCATTTTCTAATTAATCTAATGTACTTTATATGTCCAAATACTGTCTTTGATTAAAGGCATTTTTTTTTCATTTTGAGGGTAGTGTCAGAGCCATGTGAAGTTGTGCAGCTGTGAGGCTCTTTAGCAAGACTGCTAAAGAGGACAAACTTGTCTAGACTTCTCAGTGTTGAATTTGATTTGCCACATGTCTTGATTCCTCTTCAAATCTCTCTCTAATCTAAGATGATAACCAGGAATCAAGTGAGTTATCTGGTGGGTGAATTGAGATCATATATTTTAAAAAAAAAAAATTAGACTGTCTTCATCCAATCCATAAGTGGATATACATGACGTGTTTGCAAGAAGTCTGTCTGTTTGCAGCTGCTGTGGTCAGATGTATCCAGGTGTTGTGGATGCCATACAGAGAAGAGGACCAGGGTCTGAATGCCGCAGCATGAGGGGAAGGAGCCATGTTTTTTTTTTTTATAGTCTACAGGCTGATAGTGGGGGTGTGATGAAGCAGGAAATGTTTTCTTTACACCCTATAAAACCTGAAACCCATTACAGAACATCAGAGCAGGATGTAGAGAGATAAACTCCTGCTGCTCTAAAAGCCTGAGGCCATGTTCAGAGGCACAACAGCACAGCCAGACAAAACAAAGCCTCCTCATTCACCTCCATTAGACCCCTGTGTGAGGACGGCAGGGGGCTGAACACACAGAGAAAGCAGGAAACCACGGGAGCGTCCAGCTTTTACCTCAACGTGATGCAACTTCATCCAGAGAAGCAGACATTCCAGGTGGATCACATCTAGATTATAAAACCCACCGTTACCTGAGTGGCGACAGAGGCGTGAGTCAGCATTCATCGCTGTGGGCGAGTTTGAGCTTTCAGTTTTGATGAGTCAGCTGACGTCTCCACCTCTCTCCTTATCCAAAGCTCAAGAAAATGAACAGGAGGTCAGATGACGTCGCTTTCACTGTTTTATCTTGCTGCTATCTGTGGTGAGCCGCCATTTTTAGCAGGAAGTGGTCAAAGCAATGAACTTCCACCCACACCCACCCACACACACACACACACAGATATATGAAAGAAAGAGAGGCAGAGCGAGTCACATTACAGCCAGTGTTTAATTGAGTTTTCAATGAGTATGTTTTCTCACAAGGCATTAAATGTACAGCAAACTACACTATCATCATACATGGTGATGGGCTCACTCCATGCTGGAAATAATACCATGACTACATGTCCACAGCATGAACACACACCCTGATGCCATGCACTAATATCCACCATGAGCTGAAAACAGAAACGCACTCACTCAGTCCGAGCGTCTTTACGTAAAACCATCACATAAAACGGGAAGAATACGCGCAAACTTCTAGAAAGAGAGAGAGGATGAGGATGTAAGAAACAATGCGACGACGAGAAGAAGAAGAACAACAACAACAATCGACCAGAACAATAACAGTATTAAAGCTTTTCATGACCATATCAACATTCAGTGTATTGGAAAATACAATCCCAATAGACTCTTTGTATAAAAAAGAAGCTTTTCAAGTCAGCATGGAACAAATAACAGTTCGTTTCTCTGGGAGAAGGGGGGGTGGGGGGGTGACAGGAGCGGGTGTGCTTCCATAGATTTAGGGTAAAGGGAGGGGAGGTGTGTTTGTGTGTATGTGTGTGTGTGTGTGTGTGTGTGTGAGAGTGTGTGTCAGGTAAGGAGGGGGTCCTGGAGGAGGCGTGCAGATCTATGTGGCGTAGCGTTTGGTCCACTGTTTGGCTATCCTGTCGTGCTCGGCTCTGTTGGTCAGGTACTGTGTGGCGATGCTTCCAACCAGAGGGTCGGCTGAAACACAAGAAGAAGACAGACGACAGGATTTACCAGGAGGGGGACATAAAATATATAACCTTATTGAATATGAGTCAGACAAAGAATATCTGAGCTGTGTAATCTTGTCTGTTCTTTCTTTTCTTGGATTCAAACCAGGTGACCTATCATCAGCCTGGGCTAAATATCGGGTCAGACGATTGTGGAGAAAGTTTGAAAGACAAAAGAAAAGAGAGAAGCCCGAACAACACATCTCAAAATCTTCCCATGATGCATTATAAGTAGTTGGTTTTCTGCAACATCTGCATCCGTTCAAAAGACTGAACTGAGCCTCTTCAGGGGAAAACCTGGTTTCAGCTGCAGCCTTCAGAAACCCCCATCTGTGACAGTCATAGATTATTTATGGGAACGTACAGCATGTTTACACAGTCACAGCCACACTGTTTGACATCCAATTACCTGACGCAGAGCATCAGGGTCTAAAATGGATCGGAAGCCTGCAGCCGTCCACCTCTGCTCATCAACATGCATGAGAATTTTATTGCAACCTGTGAAAAACCGCGGAAAAGCTGTACGTCAAACTGGTGGAGCTCTATTATCCCTGATGTCTGAAGTGAAGCTTGTAGCGTGTGACGGACAGCGCTGCTAACGCCTTTATCGACAGCCCGGTAAAATGTGCTCGCTGCTGTAAATCACAGGTGATCATAGCTGGTCCAGAAGCAGCAGCAGAGTCCTGTCTGTTGATTCACACACGTCCGGTCAGTAAACAGCCTCCGTTATGAATCCCCACCGGCTCCTCTATTGATCATGCTGCTGCTCGACTCGCCGCCCTGCTGGTCAATTTCTCAGAGAAGTGACAGAGGGAGATACACACTCCCAGAGCCTCTCTCACACACACACACACACAAACGCTCCTTCGAGGGCTCGGCCTGCTGACGGAGCTACGGGATGAGCTCGGCTGAGCAAGCGGCACAAACAGCCCTGCGCTCTAATCCCTGACAGGGTTTCAATGATGAGGGTTTTTACAGGCTTATACTCAGATTTCTGCATGAATGGATCCTCATATATCGCTGCAGCTGGAAGCATCTCCCTTCTTATGTGACAGCTCGTTAAGATTTCCTGAATCATCATGTCAAAAGCCTGCTTTACGTCATCCTGGCCCGGTTTGACCAATCTGTGTTCCGACTGTCCCTTCAAGAGCACAGAGGTGTCAAGAGCAGCTGCAGCACAGCTCCGTTTACACCAGTAATGTCAGGGAGGGAGAGTGAGGAGTCTATCTATTCAGACTGTGTTTGTGTTTGTAGGGAGTGAGTGAATTTCCAAACCTCACAATCCTACACGCACACAGCACCTCAGAGTAAAAGTGAGATGGTTCAGGAGCCTCTTCTTTCTGCAAACAGCGAGTTCAACCCCTTTAGAGAGAGAAACTGCAGGCCAAAATCTACATTTTAAAGGGGTATTGCAGCTTTTTTTGAAGTGGGGTGATAGGAGTCTATTAGCCATAATACAGGCCGGCACAGTGGTGTAGTGGTTAGCACTGTCGCCTCATAGCGAGAAGGTCCTGGGTTCGAATCCAGGTCAGGGCATTTCTGTGTGGAGTTTGCATGTTCTCCCTGTGTCTGCGTGTGTTTACTCCGGGTACTTTGGTTTACTCCCACATCCAAAAACATGCCTAAGTGGGGTTAGGTTAATTGGCCACTTCCAAATTGCCCATAGGTGTGAATGTGAGCGTGAATGGTTGTTTGTCTCTATATGTCAGCCCTGCGATGAACTGGCGACTTGTCCAGGCTGTCCCCTACCTTCGCCCGAAGATGCTGGGATAGGCTCCAGCCCCTCCGCGACCCCGGGAACAGGAATAAGCAGTAGAAAATGGATGAATGGATAGCCATAATACATGCCGCTCAGCTTAGCTCCTTTAATGAGAAACTGTGGGGAGGACCGGGTATGAAATCCAGGCTACAGTTTTCGATAAACTGTCTCGATTTCACAGCCTAATTCAGCAGTTTTTAAGAGACTATAACCTGAGCACTCGTATCAGTTTGAGTGGACGGTCCACTGAGAAGCCCATTCCCCGGGTGAAGGACAGATGTGCTCTGCCACTTGCAGCAAGATCAGCTAATCAGACTTGTGATGTGCAAGTCACCACGTATTTATATTTTGAGTAGATCAGATTCTTTAAAATGAGGAGGTGGAGAAAATGTTGGATGAACTCTGTAATCACAACAACAGTTTATTAAAACATCTGCGTGGTTCTTTATGGAGACCCTTATTCCTGTAGTAGTAGTTTGAAGCCTCTTAAGACAGAGTGTGGAAAGCAGACAGGAGCTGCAGCACATAAAGGACATAAACTGTTTTCATGTCACACATTCAGATATCAATCCAGATAGCAAAGCTGTCCTTTCAGGCAGAGCGAAGCCGGTGTTATTACAGGTCTGACAAACTGACACCCCCTGAAGCTACCGAGGGGAAAAAGCCGACACTTTTATTATGAGAGACTGGCCGGATATCCACACATATCAGCTGAATATACGGGCAGAACAGACAGACAGCAGCAGCGGGAACAGCAGGAGGAGGAGGAAGAGGAATCCCTTTGGCTTTGTTAAAAATTTAAGACGACTTTTTGGACGTTTGGCAGGAGAAGACAGCGAGGAAAGAGTGTTGACACCAGACAGAGGCTCTGGGCTGGATTTGAGCCTGAGATATACTCTGACAAGGACTGTGACTCGGCCCCAATGAGCCACGGGGACGCCTCAGGTGGAGATCTGCCTGTGGGACGATGTGCAGGGCTCAGTGTGGCATGACAGCAGGGACGGCATCCCCCTGGAGGGTTGATTAACTGTCATTCCATCCTCCTCCCTCGCTTTAATGAGCCACATGCCAATGATCTCCGCCTGCACGGCAAGGAAAACTTCAGACGGAGAAAGGAGCAGGGATATTTTTAGGGTATTTCAGACTCAGATGCAGCACTTGAGGCTGGGCTTGAAAAACTTAAACAAGTGGAGAGAGGTGCAGCAGGCCGACTGATTCTGATGAGGCAAGAGGCGGAAAGAGGGAAAGAAGAGTGCGTGGGTAACAGGAAGGAGGGGAGACAGGGTGATTTTTATTTTCTGGCAGGGACGGGGGTGTCAATCAAGCCTCTTTTGTATCACACTTTAAAGGGATCGCCTCATTTCATCTCAGCAACATCTGAAAACGTGGAGGAAGAGGAGGAGAGGAGAAGCTATTCTCATGCTTTTTTCCTCGCCCACAGAGGGAGAATATCCGCTCGGAGGTTTATCAAAGAGAAATCCCAGCAGAGGCCACAAGCTATCATCAGAAGACTTTCACCATCATCACTATCGCTCTTTCTCTTCTGGTGCCATCTCATCCCCCACCATTCAGCTTGGAAATCACCTGTCTGTCTCCTGGCCTTTTAAACCCGTACATTTCTCACTCCTCTTTCTGATATCGGACACCTTTCTCTGCTTTTACTCAGCTCACTCAATCTAAAACTTGACATCACCGTACATTCATCACAGTGTGGTAGCTGAGAAAACAGCTGCTTTTACTGGTCGTATAGAGGACAGATTGAAGTCCCTCACCTCCTGTTTTCTGTGCTGTGCTGCTAAACTGAACCATAATGGATCTAATTAGCTTTAAAAATGTCTTCTCGCTGACCGGCGTCAGCCGTTTACGGGTGTGTGTTAAGCCAAGCAGCCTGGTCAAATATTGATTCGACTGCGATGAAGGGAGCAGAAAAAACACCCTGCTCTCTGTTAACAAAACATTCCAAGAAGACAAGGATGCAAATGATGTGCAAACAGTGATTTTATCGGGTTCTTGTGCGCACAATTGCCAAACTTTCCCACTTAGAGAGAACAAATGATGGTTATTGGAGATGAGCCTGTTTCTATAAAAGGAAAAGTCTCAGTGTTTATGAGACAAAGATCTTAAAGCATCCAGAATAATCCTTTAAAATGCAACATTATGGTGACATAATGGTACATAATGGTATGGTGACAATCTGCAGTGGTTCAAACTATTTCATCAGGAGAAACACGCTGCTAAATTATAAACATCTGCAAAAGCCTGAAATCAGTGCAGCAGCAGAAACACTACCTCACAGAGAAACAGAGGATGATTGTGCACACTGTATGCATGTCAATGCTGTCATTAAAGGGATATTCTGGCGTAAATTAAAGTTATGGTCAAACACAACGTCACACCGAGTTAGACAGCCCCTCGTTAGAACAGGTCACAGAGTGCAGCAGATTATTTCCATGAAGTAATAATCATCATAATAATCATTTTTCACTGCAGACGGGGTAGTTTTTCTGTCTTAGAGTCTTGGTCTGATTGCATTTCCATGAAGAAATAATCATAAATATTCTTCCTTGAGCTGCAAAACTCCACTGCACTCAGTGATCCACTCTTCAGGGCTCCCCCACAAACAAGCAGCTGCTGGAAGAGAGTGGGTGAGTTGTGTTTAGTCTCTTTGCTAAAGGAATCAGGCAAAGTTAAAAAGATGTTTGGTGGCTACTACTATGGCTGGGACCCTATATGCACTGTTGATGAAGTTAGGTGCTGTTCTGAGCATTATTTGTGGCTATAGAGTGGCTTTTTGGTTGAGGTTTGTTTATGGCTCCTCAGACCGCTATGCATTGCTATCGTGCGGTTGTTACTTAAGTTGGTATAACTAAAGACGCAAGCAGTCTGCAACATTCATCTCTTGAGGGGGTGTCTAACTTTGTGTTACACTGTGTTTGACCATAATTTAAATTTACACTGAAATATCCCTTTAAATGCCATTTGCTAAATGCACTATCCATTCAGATATCTTATTATAAATGTTTATTTTTCTTTGCACAGGGACTCTGAAGGCAAGTGCAGAAAGCAGTGGTTTCATGGTCACTTACAAATATGCACAAACACCACTGGTGCACTGGGCTGATACTTCTCCTGCAGTGCAGTTTGTGATGCATGTAACTCTTTGGTTTGAAATTCAGATGATGCTTTTCCCTCTTATTTGCCTTACAGGGTGAAAAAAGCTGCAAAGTCCTTCAGTCAGTCAGGCCCAGGAGATGCGCATCAGCTACAGAGCTCAATCAACCCTGCAGCTACACTTACTTTAATTCATCTCCTGTTATTATTATTATTATTATTATTATTATTATTATTATTATGCCTGCCACTCTCTGATGGATAATAATGTTTGTGCCTGAAATATCTGTTCACTTTGCCTTCACAGCAGCGGAGCAACATGAAGGGTTGAAACATGAGCCGTTTGTGTCATTTTCTTCATTTTTATGATTTGTAATGTGTAACTCTGACAATGCTTGAGCTCCTCACCCTGTCCATGATCCCAGAGGAGAACTGCTCGTGTGTGAATACAGTCAGTGTTACAACAACTTTATCCAATAATCAAGAAAACTGATCAGGTGACACATTTACTTTCTAAAGATACCAAACATCTTTCCAGCCTTTTATCCTTCTCTCTGACAATCTCTCATTCAAATTTAATTAAAACACATTATCAAACATTTGCCTGATTTTTGTCCAGGTCTTAAACACACAGATGATGAGTGAGGAGATTGAGATCCTGTTTGAAAGGCTTCTTCAGTGTAACCTGCCTGTCTGCTGCCCGGCAAAGTGACACACTTCTCCGTACATTATCCGCACAGAATGGACGTGTCAGTCAAGCTGTCATTGCTAAAATTGGAGGACGATATGACAAGGAGAAGTCTCTGTATGTGTGTGTGCGTGCGTGCGTGTGTGCGTGGTGCAGCTCTCACCAGGGTTGCAGTCAGTGAGCAGGGAGCAGATGGACAGCAGGACCTTGGAGATGGTGAGGGCAGGACTCCAGTTGTCCTTGAGGATGTCCAGACAGATCACCCCCTGACTGTTGATGTTACAGTGGTAGATCCTCGTACGAAACGTCACCTGAACACACACACACACAGATGGAAGGTTTTGTTCATTAGAGGACAGATGCTTCGCTGCATAAAGGTGACATTTTATGCTGAATTTGCAATAATCTTAATGAAGGATTCTTATAGCAGTAAAACAAGAGTTACCGCCTCTAAGTACAATCAGTTTTTTGATCATTCAAGAATCACAAATAGGTGTGTAGGTGTGAATTTCACCCTTAACGCATGACTGCAGGTTTGACTTATATGACTTTCTGTATATTTTTATTGTTATGTTATTTTTTGGGATTGTTTCCGTTAGCTGAAAAAAAAACACAAAATGAAGCATTCATCGAAAAACATCTCAAACTGATTAGCTGTTTAAAGATGAGAATTATTCTGATTGGCTCAACACAGACCAAATAAACTTTTACTGGCACTTAGCCATCAGGCCGTGGGTTATTTGACCCAGAATCCTCAATGTGAAACTTTGTCATGCACATGAGTGAATTCATGAAAATACTTGATTTGAGCTAAAAGCTTTCTCTGTGACTTTTGACCTCAAACAGCAAAATCTTATCAGTTTAAGTCCTTGAGGATGTTTCGACCACATTTGAAAACATTTCAGAAGAAGTTAGCCTCCAGCTCCGTCTATCAGAGATATGTTAAAAATCTCATACTGTAAAAATCAGATGTGCTGACTTCAAAACCAGCAAAACAAGAAGAAGCTGCTCAAAGTTCAGCTGCCAATATCCTGATCCATTAATCTCAACTCCAAGAGAGAACCTGGAGATAAAAACAAACGAAACAAACAGCTGATCACTGAAAGTGTCTCAACCACTGAGTTGCTGAGTTGACTCAGTGTGAGGATGATGCTCTCAGTCTCTGTAGATCTGAATGAGTCAACAGCAGAGTAAATACAGCACTGTGTTACAGCTTACTATCAACACGAGCAGCAGGAGCTCATTACGCAGTGACCTTTGACCTCCCTGCTTCTTTAATACACAGGCTGCTGACCAGGACAGACAGTCCAGGCACGCTTTCACTACGGCTCTCTCCTGCTTCCTTTGTGACTGCAGCTTGCCGTCCTTTTTTCCTCCCTCTGTTATCCTCTCATTACATTTCCATTCCTCCCTTTACGCCTTTTTTTTCTGGAGAAACAAACAGCCGTTGCTCCCTCCCTCTCATACTACGCTGACAATACCCAGACAAACAGGACTCATGCAACGACCTGAAATCAGATGCAGAAGCTCGATGAGGGGGACGGTCTTGTGTCTGTCTCTCCTTTTCTGTTCTTACACCTTCGGCTCCGTTGGGTTAGCGCTGGCATGCTAATGCTGGCAGCTCATGAAAAAGATCCTTGGCCGGTCTGTGTGGTCTCATTAACAGCCTGTAATCCTATCACAGCTGATGCTAATAGATTATGATGCTGCCTCCGTGTAACAAAAGCTGTGGGTCTAATCCTGCATCCTCTCTGTAACAGATTCATCACTCAGTCTCTAAATTTAACCCCACCATCATTAGTCTGGATCCCAACAGCTCCCAGTTACCCTGAAGAAAACTATAGAGAAATTATAATAATTATAATAACAATAAAACATATTTTTCTTCAGGCGCCTTTCAAAACAAATAAAAGGCACTGTTCAGCAAACAGATAAAAACAAAAACAGGGCTTTGGAGGTAGGGTGGGGCGATAAAACGATAACAATATATCCAAAATTGATTTCCCTCAATATCAATATAAAACATGGTCAATATCCTTTTCGATAGTTGGCATTCTGCCATGTTTTGGTAGTCGATAGCCAATGAAAAGGGGAGTTGCTCTTGGTCTGTGCCGCTGAACCAATTATGTGCTGAATTAGAACCAAGTAGCAAACAACTGCGTAGTAGCAGGCTGCAGCTACACAAAACCATAGCACTATAACATGTGAAGTCGTAGCACTGTTGGTGAGGAAAAAAGAAAATGAGTGCTACCCCCGGCAGAAATGCAGATGAAGGCTCAACAGATGACGACATCATCAACAACACTGGCATGAAAACGTTGGTGATGTGGAGGTATTTTGTTTTTTTGAGGTCAGACATGAAGCAGAGTAATGTGCACTGCAAATTATGGCGAGTACATGTTCTTGCAAAGTCGGGGAATACCTCAAATCTTTTTCACCACCTGAAGCAGTGCCACACGGCAGAGCACAAGGTTACAAACCTTAAAAGGTAACAAACCCTGAGTGGAGCAAGGAGCCCATGGCGCCTGTGCAGCCGAAACAGCCGACCATTCAGTCCGCTTTCTCTAATGCTCCAACACACCTGATTCAAATGATTAGTTCGTTATCAAGCTCTGTAATGGCTTAATAACGAGCTACTCATTTGAATCAGGTGTGTTGGAGCAGGGAAATATCCAAAACATGCAGGACAGTGGGCCTCGAGGACTGGACTTGAGAACCACTGCTCTAATGCAACACCTTATGACAAAACGTCCAAGAGACACAAAGACCTCACAGATGCAGTAGCTTATTGTATTGCAAAAGACATGCTACTAATAAGCACTGTTAAATTTCATTTTTTATATCGTGATATATATCGATATTGATTTTTCCCATATTGCCCAGCCCCATCTGGAGGTATGGAGGCGTATTTTATGTGTGACTAGGAGCCAGTGAAGCTGTTGGAGAACAGGGGTGATGGGATTGACAGAAGGGCTGCTGGTGATGATCTGGGCTGCAGCATTCTGAACCAGTTGCAGTTTATGGAGGGACTTGTCGAGGAGACCAGAGAGAGGTGAGTTGCAGGAGTCTAGGCAGGAGGTGACCATTGAGTGGACCAGGATGGCGGTGCTGGTGGTGATGATGGAAGGATGGAGGTGATTAATGTTACGTAGTTGGAAGTATGCTGAGCTGGTGACATTATTTATGTTTTTGCAAAGACATTCAAGGACAACAGATTTTTTACTTGAGGGGAGGGGGAGAAGGAGGAGTAGTCGATGGTGAAGGTAAAACTGTTAGATTTAGCGAGGGTGGATTTAATACCAATTTAGTACCACCCTTGATTTCAAACCTGAGAGCTTGAAAGTCCTAAAACTATCTATAAAGTTTCAGAGTTCATTGTTAGAGGGGCTAATGGAACAATAAACAACCCCATTCACAGAGTTTGAAAATAAGGACATCAAGCACAGAAAAGTTAAATATGCAAAAGAGTTAAACCCCAATCCAGAGTAAGATCGGCTCTAAATGATGTAAAATCTGAGCCTGAACAGGTCCTGAAAAAAGTCTGGACCAACCATCTGGGGCCTCACCATCCTAACATTAGCCATGAGCCAGAGGAGTGAGCAGCTGCAGCTGTCGGCTCGGTGGCTGAGGATTGGTGAGCTGCTGGGTGGCACAGCTCACAGCCAGACTGGAAAAACACGACAGCAGGAGGCCAAGACTTGACATGAGCTCAGTTTCCCCTTCAGCATGGACTGCCAGGAAGGAGTGACTGGTCAGGAAGGGACGAGGAGAAGACATTCCCACTCCAAGACTCTGGAGTGGAAACCACCACATAAAAAGGACAACTGGACTTAGTTGAGACATTTTGCCTAAAGGCTAAAACACACAGGATGCGTATTTGGAGTGTGGCAGCAACATCGCGTATCAGGTAGCAAATTGCCATTCTAATCAATGCAGCCAAGCATACAGGATGCGCATCAGCTCCATCGCAGCATCGTCTCAAGAGCAGCTCTGCTAAAGATACGCAGCGAGTCTGTTTTTGCTGCTGTACCCTTCAATGAGCATCATTTCACACAGAGAAGATCGTTAAAGACAGGAAGTCAAGCATGAAAACCATGCATGTCATTCGGTATTTCAAAATAAAACACCAAATGTGGACTCCTGACTGTGTAGCAGTTCATGTAGATGAGAAATACTTCTTGGTTATAGATTTATCAGTAACACAGAACAATCCGATGGTCAATCCCTGATCCATGCGGACCCTAACAGGACTTTGAACTGCGAACATAGTTTACTCTATTCAACATGAGTAAACCTGCAAAAACCGAAAATGTAAAATCACGTTGCTTTTCACATACAGTAGAGGCTCCACAGTCACTAAATTATATCGAAAATTGGCAGAAAATAGACCACAAAAAGGCAAAACCACCTGTTGTGAGCATGTTGTTTCCTCTATACTGAGCCCAGCTGACTGGGGCTGCACTACGCTGCTGTCGCACACAAAATACACACCCTGTATGCAATACCAAATGCTGCTCTACGGAGATAATACTGAACGCGCTTGATAAAGATCCTGTATGTTTTCGGCTTCAAGTCTCAACTAAGTCCAGTTGTCCTTTTCAACAACGAACTGGAAATCATAGATGCTGCGTCCTCAGTTTTAAACACTATCTACAGGTTTAGGAGCAATATTTGCTGACATCCAGACAAAGACTTTTGTCAACTGATTACAACAGCTTGGCTCCGTAGGAAGAGAGTCCTGGCTATTGCTTTGGGTACTTCTTGATTTTATTTATGGTCACTATTTTTCACCTAATCCTAAAAAATATATATCTAACCCAAACTTTGAGGTATTCTCTAATCTGGAATTTTTACTATTTCTGCTGTCTAAACAAATCTCAAATTTCAACCATAATTCAAAGCAGGCCTCTCTGTGCTGAATGGCCCACATATAAACCAGATAAATATGGCTGTCCTAAAATATTCCCCAGTTTACTTTCGCTGTTTATTATTACAGTATGTGTCTGTAAATATCTGATAGAGGTTAGCCTGTGAGTATTTCTAGACCTAAAACCAAAACCCAGGGCAAAATCAGAGGCACGACTCACACCGAGGGAGGAGGGAGGGAGGGAGGAGGTGGCAACCGCTGTCAGCCAGTCTACTGTGTAAATACTGACACACACTTGCATCAGCACAACACACATGCAAACACTCCTTTACCCACAAACCCACAGCCTCACTGGAGGGGAGCCAAAAGCTGCTGAATGCGAGCAGCATGTATGACAGGAGGAGACACAATAACAAGAATCATCTGAAAGAGGACTCCTGTGATATTTTAGATTTCTGTTCTTTTTGCAGCTCAGAAGCAACAATGAATGCTTCCATCTGACTTCTATTGTGTTTATATCAAAGCGTGTTACATCTGCTTTGCTTTGTGTCATACAGCTCTAAAGTTGGCCCTAAAAAAACTACATCAGTGAGCTACACTGATGCACTGGCTGACATGATCCTTTATCACCATAACACTATAAACACACACACACTTGTTGTTTATTTTGACCCCCCCCCCCACACACACACACACACACACACACACACACACACACTCTCACACACACATAATCGCACTTCCCCACAAACTCACTGAAACACCCTACTTGTGTTCATCCACAGCTGAAAATAGTCCTGAATAACTGCATGTTTTCCTGCTGTTGAGTAGTGTAAATAAAAACAGCACTAAGCATGTCTACAGACTCTCAATGAGAGTAGATTCGGGATAATTGCAGGTGTTGCCTTTTGAGAAATAGAGCTTGCGACAACTGCAAATCTGCCATGCCAGAAAACAGTTGTGCAAAATCCCCACAGAAAACACTCCCATAGACTGCAAACGCAGAAGCCTTGGAAAGCGTTTTTTACATTCCCTGCCCCTGTTTGACTTGTAAATGTCATGTCAGACGCATCATGGTAAGGCCAAGTCATTCTGCTGCTAAACCTGGAGGTTGTAACAGAAGCTAAACTGTGTGACTATAAAACATAAGAACTGTTAAGAACAATGTCTGAGGATCTGTTTCTGCACCAAATCAACCTGAGCCAAGAGGACACTGTCTAATTCTCAAAGCACATGCAAAAGGTTAAGTGCACTACACGCTTTGCTGCAGAGCACAGAGTGCCACTATGTGCTGGTGTTGTTTGCATACATTTCAATGAGCCCTTATGCAATCATTCGAAGCAAAAGTGGCCCTTTTCTATGCAAATCAGCCTCATCACAAAAACGTCTTATTGACAAACAGCAATGATCAAACCCATGCACAGGGCTACTGGTCATTGTGCTGGATTATTTTCAAGAATTGTCATCCTCAAACTCATCAGTAATTAAGACAACAACTCTTCTTCTGGATGACTTAAAAATAATGTATCCAAGTGTTGAATCTTTTTACTATAGTGGTATAGAATTTAGCATTGTCAGGATGAAAGTGCACCATGCGGCTCTGTGCAGCAGAGAGTGAAGATGCTAACAGCTCATCTCAGTCACAATAAAATACAACGCAAGAGCAAAATGCACGAGGTAAAGCACTGTGAGCAACTTGCAATGCCATAATGCTGATAATACTTTGACAATGATAATACTGATTCTTTGCAAATAGTCTCTGAATGGCTGCTGAACCAAATCTAATCAAAGCAGAAACGTTCAAGGGTCCCTTCATCTTCAGGGGCTATCCTGTTATAAATTTACTTGAAAGGTGGAAGTGATGCAAAAAGGCTGTATTGATAAATCTTTTATTTATAGCTCTATAAAACACACTGGCTCTCTTCAAGACAGACAGTCGTCTGATTGTTCTGGAGCTTAACTTGAGTTCATGCTCAATTTCCATTTTCACAGGCTGGCTGTGCACCGACAGCTGATCATGGATATCTTTTAAAGCAGGATTCAATTACTGAAATAATGTTCTCTGCTTTGGATTAGACATGGGCTGTGCAGAGATAAGAGACCTGGCCTTCGTAACATCATTCATTATGGGCTACATTTCTAAAGCTTGTTTGGCACTATGGTAGCTGGATCTGCTTTTTTAGAGCCAGAGGGGAACTCATTTGGACAAGAAGTTGGTCCAGTATGACACTGATTTACTGCTCTTGAAGGGACCATAATTTAGAAAATGAACTTCATGCTGTGTTGAAGAAGACTTAAAACCAATGACTGAAAATGTGAAGTCTGGAGCTCCAACATTCATCACACCCACACAGTAACAGACGCATAGAGAGGAGAGTTTACATGTTAAACTACTAATAAAAATTGGCATTAACTCTCTCAGTGATGATATTGCATCAATCCAGCATCTTCAGCAGAGTCTGTAAGTGAGTTTGAGATGTGAGAATATCCTCTTCTTGCTCACAGAGCTGTTTGTTCCCTCTGCTCTACCCCTCAAAGCCGTCTCAGGCTGCTACGCTCAATATTATTCCGTGCTCAGCTCCGATCTCACCCTGACCGACTCAAATCACTTTCAGCTCACTGCAAATAAAGAAACACTGCTGAACTACAGCTGCCACAGAACTTGAAAATCATGGTGTTCAGTTGTGAGGCATTTACTTTTAATCTACAATCCATTTTTTTCTGCTCACACACAGTCTGATCTAACGCTCACCAGGACATACAGATGATTCAGAAGCTTCTGACAGCATTACAGGTCGGATCCCTTTAGAGACAGATATTTTTGTGAGGGCGCTCTCTGATTGTTTTGTCAGCCCTCGTCTCTAAAAGCGACCAGGCTTCATTTAGATGGAGCAATTTTGTGTTCTGAGAGGTATAATTGGTGTTTTGTCAATGGGCTTTCACAGGAGAGATGTCATAATGAATCTCTGGCTAAAAGGTCTCTCTCTGTGAGGGTTCTTTGTGTAATGATTCGGGACAATTAAAACAACAATCTGAGAATGAACATGGCACAAAAAGGCCAAATGGGGACAAGACATGAACACGAGCAGAGGCTATGAACCCTCAGTGCAAAACAGTTCTGATATGAACACCGTAATGACCCAAACATTGCACAGATTTATACCCTCAAAATACATCTGAAAACAGTGAGATCATCTGATATTCAGGGTTTAGTCAAGAGGTGTCAGTATTTGTCACAGAAGGCCTTGCTTATCCTGAACTTGAGTGTTTGGTGTATAAGTTGGACTTTTGATACAAGTTATTTTATACTATTTTAGTATCCTTGCACGTGTTGATGTCAGGATAGGAAAAGGTCAACAACAGCATAGGTAGCTGGTAGAAGGGTTTTAGATGGTGATAGACAGAGCTTCACATCTGCACAAAAGCTGCACATTGCTGAATGCAAAGGACAGTAATAGGAATATTGCTGTTAAAATAAACAGCGTTACTAACAACATTGTTTTTTTTCCAGTAACAGGTAATCTAACTAATTTCTATTTCCATTGTTACAACACAGTTAGCACTACCAACAATTAAACGAGGCACATTACAAACTACTCAGTGAAGCCGTTGTCCTCTGACTTGGCTCATCTCAGCCACAGAAGCTGCAAATTACAATTTTTTTTTTTTCCTGTGGTGAGGGGAGAGGCGAGACAACTGCACAAGTGATGATGATTGGTTAAGGCAGACTAACATTTCATGCTAAGCCAATCAGAGGAAGTGTTCAGCTTGTACACAAACAACACATGCACAGAGTAGCCTCACTTCAAAGTGGAAGTACAGACAGTATTTCAATCTTCTTGAGGTAAAAGGCAAGAATATACATGTGAGGTATACACTATGTCCCGGAGCAAAGTGTTTGTCCACGTCTGTCGTAAGCTACTCTAATGTATTCAAGTATCTCTCAACGGCACACGCTTCTACAAAACTAGTGGCCCAAAACACTGTTGTTGACACTGTTGGCGATGATAGCTGGCCAGGTGTAGCTAACGTGAGCTCCACTAACAAAGACGGACTGTCTTTAGAAACCCGCTTAGACAAAAAAATATATATATATATTTGACATATTTAAACTTTAAAAAAAAAATAATTTTGAAAGTAACATGCAGTTACTGGCAAAGGATGTCTGCACAGTTCAAATTTTTGTCCCTTTGAGAGTCCATCAAAAACTGACAGTGTCTTGTGAACTGGTGGGACTTAAGGTCCTTACACACCGGGGCCAACGCAAATATAGAATGTGAAATTACGAAATATTCTGAGGCAAATTTTGACGCGCCTGACTATACGCATCAAGCCCGATGCGATTTTGCGAATTTCCGGGTGGAAAAAGACGCATCTTGGGGGAGAATTGTCCTGGGGAAAGTCCTGCCTCCTTTGCCTTTGATTGGCTAGAGAAGCTGGAAACATTATCACACATTCAAGCCAAAAGGTCAGTATTTATAGCCAATCGGAGGCGAAGGAGGGCGGGACCTTCCCATCCTACAGCGTCCCGGGTGGAAGCGAGAAGACAAAAATGGAGTCTACTTCAACTTCAAGTAATGGCGAATTGGTACTCCTTTTTCTTTCTCAAAAGAAAGCAACTGTTAAAGCACACAAACCATCGTCATATGAGAGATCCGACGCTATGACTCTCCACAAGTTGTCCTTCAGGTCGTTATCTTTGTAATGTTTGTGTCTTTTATCAAAAAGCACTCTGTTCTCTGACACTTAAACAATCAGCCAGTCGGCCATGCTGGACCGGTGAATCAGACGTCGCAACAACACGCAAAAGTGGACACAAAGTATGCGAAACTTTAGAAAAATCAACCATGATCCAAAAAAATAAATGCTGCAATATTCCAGGATGGAAAAACATTGCTGATGTGAACGCTTGTATTGACAGGATACGGGTCAGAAAAAAAATATTGACGTCCGAAATAATCACACGACAAAAATGGTCCCGGTGTGAAAGGACCTTAACTCCAAAAATGTATTAAAGCACCTAAAGGTTAAAAATATCTTTTTCAATAAAGCTTTGCAAAGAGATGAGTACAGAAAGATGTCATCTCACTTGCCACCCATGAAATATTTAGAAGAGCACTCTGTAACTCCTCTGGAGTCATACAGCCTGAGTTTTTTTTTTTTTGTGTGTGTGTTGGGAGAAAAAGTGTCAGCTTCAATTTTTTTGTCATAATATTTATTAATGGAACCCCAGAATAAAACACAGGCCATCATTCATCTGTCAGCCATTATTCTGTCAACGAGCTGGAGGTGAACGAGCCTTAAACAAGTCATTGTTGTGGGACAACAGCATGAAAAGCTGACAGCCTGCTGGTACAATAGTCACATTGTTCACAGCGGTGTGTGTGACTGTGTGTGTGTGTGATTGTGTTAGTGTGTGTAGAGAAGGGGAGAGAAGGAGGTGCATAGCTGCAGGGCGACACTCACTCTCTCACTCACTCACTCACCTTGGGTGGTTTGAAGGGGTAGTCTGGTGTGAAGGCGATGTCCAGGAAGAAGACTCCTCCCTCGTACACGGAGCCTGGAGGGCCCAGGATGGTCGACCTCCACTCGTAGATGTTGTCTCCTTTAGGGCCGGCGCTGCGTTGATGAAAAAAGGAGCAGAAGGAGGAAAAAGAGAGGAGAAATTTAATCCGTGAGCAGGTGACTTGAGAGGAAAACACACACTAATGGTGTGACTGAATCAGCGTGTGCAGCAGCGAAAGGGAGAGTAACTAAAGTGAAAGATGATCAGCTGTTCAATCATCTCCACAAAGCTGCTGTTTCAACCGCTTCACCATTCCAAGATTATTCTACACAGCATGGAGCAGTGTGTGTGTGTGTGTGCGTGCGTGCGTGCATGCATGCGTGTGCAGGAGAAAATGATGAGTATGATCAATGTCATGTGGATGACTGATCTGTCTGGGATGTGAAGGCAAGCATGAAACACACACCCAGCTGCACACACTGCACTTTGCACACACTCGTAGGCAGGAAGGTGCTGAGCAGCAGCAGCAGCAGCAGCAGATCTGTTTCCTCTCTCTTCATCAGCGATTCACCGCTGGGCAGCTGGCTGCTGCCTGCTGCCGAGCTTTGTTGTTGCCTTTATTCTCACCCCACAAACACAAACATATACACACAGACAAAGATGCAGACACAAACACACAGCTGCAAGAAGAGAGGCTCTAATCCAATTCCATTTTCTGTTGGAATTAGGCCAGATGCCCCTGTCGGTTCCTTCTATTACTTTTACTTTCATCATTTACAGAGAGAGAGAGAGAGAGAGAGAGAGGGAGAAAGGCAGAAAGCAAGCTAGAGAGTGTGTCTGTGTGTGTCCGTGTGTGTCTGTGTGTGTGTGTGTGAGTGCAGAGGCACATAAATGTAAGCTGAGAGCCTGAGTGGAGTCGTTCATGTGAAACAGCAGTCTGTTGTAAAGCACCGGGCCTCTGCAGACCTATTCCTTGTCAGCGTGTGTTTGGACACAGAGAGGAATTAGGGGAGCGGGCTGGAGGAAAGGATGCCGGCATGTTCCCCTGCTCGGATAAAAATAGTTCAGAGAGCGATGTGGCGCCGGGGCCGACGGGGCCGAGAGGGAACCATAAATCGCCGGGCTCAGCATGAGGCGGTGCCCTGGTGTGACTCGGTGCAGAAATCTATGTTTATGTGTCAGATGCTGATGGATGTGGAAAAGCACTGACGGATGGAGATCGACCTCCATATGGTGGAGATATTGATCTTTAATTATTACATCAGCTCTTGTCACTCTAGATCTAAGCCTCAACACTTCAAACCCTCCTCACAGTGTGGAAATGGGAGATTTTTGCTCATGTTACGCTGTTCAATCTAAGAGTTCAGTCTAGACCTGCTCTTTATTAGCATAATCTTGTTTAAACTCTTGTTAACTCTCATATATTTTCATGTTTTTAGAGGGCCGAAGTGAGATACAGTGTAGGGCTCACTGTGGAAACATCAGCATCGACTGTCAGCTCCAGGGCGTGCAGCACTGGCAGAATAGGATGCACGTTTCCTGTAGAATTCCTGCAAAATGGCCATGCTTTCATGATTTCCTCAACTCTATATTATGTTTCCTATGCAAGTCAAGTTGGAGTCCTTGTTGATGTTAATGAATACCAGTGAGAAAGAGCAACACGGGGTTAGCCCCATCCACAAACTTCCGGTGTCAGCCTTGAAAACCAAGCGATTTGTCAAGTCTTATTGCAAAGCAGACATTTGAAATGGCTCTGCAGGCCTCTTTGGGTCCACCAATCACCGCTTTTCCTCTCCGCAGAGTTCCCACAGTTCAGTCTGCAGCATCTGGAAATGTTTAGAGTCTGCCAGCACAGCCTCTTTTGTTCTGTTCCTGCAGCCTGGTACAAGCCGCTCCGACAGGAGGACAGATTTCAGATCCAGTATTGAAGGATCCCTATTTTTATCACCTGCCTGTGCCTGTCAGAGTGATGGAGAAGATGGAGAACACAGACCTCCAAGATTCAGCTCAGAGTATCTGTTGGTTTTATCCATCTGACTGTATATGAGTTTACAGTTGAGGGGTTATCCTTCAGGGTCCAGATCTAAGGGTAAAGTAAGTAAGAAGAGTGCTGGAATGATGATAACAGACCACACTTACTCCTTCATGGTGTCAGTTTCCACACTATAAGGCATTAATAATGAGTCTACAGCACCTCAGTGGAAGAGCATAATGATGGAAACAGAATAAGTCAGTCTCCTGCTCCTCTGACCAATGGAAATAAAGAGCTGTGGAAGCATGCTGACCTCTGAAACAAACAGCAAGTGCATTATTACCTTGGTTATTCCAGTGGCCCCTAAAGAAGGTTTTTTTTTGAACAAAGGGAACATCTCTTGTGCACATGTCCAAAAGCTGGACGCATCCCTGATTGGCCAGATTCAAATGCTGGCAGAGAGCTGATTGGTTTCCTGAAATTAGCTTGAGGTTTAGCTTGTACCAGAGATGAAGGATCATTTTAGGAAAGTTTTGGGCAAAGTCTGAAGACAAATCAATTACACTATAAAATCTAGTATCCAGAACAGTCCCAGCTTTCCTGAGCTTCTGTAATTGTTTCAGATTCACTTTGGGTCTTTTTTATGCCTTAACTGAGGGATATAATGGACTCAATCGAGAACAGAGACTGGAGAGACCTGCAGTAAAGGGCTGAGGGGGGACCTCACCCCTAGCAGCCACTTGCCTGCAGCCTGAATGCAAAGGCAAAGCTCATGCTAAACTGAATCTTTACAGCAGACATAACCATGTTTATAGCCTGGTGCAGAGACAGTTAGCATCTGTATGCGAGGGTTAAATGTTTTAGAAACCACAGGCTTATATTTAGGATGATATTGATGTAAAATTGGTATTATTAAGGGTGCGGCTGAAGCTGTTTTCCCCCCTTGGCTTCTCCCACCTCTCTGTTGGTGGGAAGATTTGCTGAGTGTTAACTCAAGTCAGCTTTTTTTTTTATATGGTGACTGCTACTACAGCTGACTGGCTGCACATTTTTTATGACCATGAACTCAAGCATAGTCCTTAATCTTGTACTGCTTATGAAATTTAATGTCATTTGCCAACACCTTTCTCCAGACTCCATCCAAGGACATACATGAACACAGGAAAAACTTTCACTGATGGCTCCAGATTACGCTTGATGCTGCTGTGTTTCCTCGCCCTGAGCCGCAGAGGAGAGTTCATCTAACAGTGAAAAACTCTCTCTCTCTCTGCCTCATCAGAGAAACGCTGAATGTGACTAATGTTCAAACCGAGTGGGTGTTTGTCAGTTGTGGCTGAAATCGCAGCCATAATCTCCTGTGACAGCTTGTTAGGACTTCACAGAAAAACAGCAGAGTACTCAGTAACCCAGGGTGCTGAATATGTCAGGCTGCTTTTATAAACCTTTATTTAGCAGCAGAAGTTCAGAGCTCTTTCACAGGAACTCCACGCTGCACATTCAGACACAATCACAGCCTTGTACTACAGCAGCAGCAGCTGGAGGCTCCGTGTCCCACTCAAGGTTACCTCTTCAGCAGCTGTTGTGTTGCTCATTCACTTCTCTACACACACTTTTTGCCTCGCAGCACAGGAATTGCAGAAAAAGCTCAGAGTTTGAAATGTTGGAATAATCTAATCGGGAGACTGCATCTCAAAAACAAGGTCGCAAAATGAGACAGGCTCTGTATGATTGCAGACAAGCTGATAGCTGCAGAGTGATTGTGTAGCTCCATGCTGATTTTCTGCAGCAAAACATTTGTGCTCAAGTCAATGAAACGCATGTACAGAAAATCCTCCTCGTTCTGCTTCAATCCATAGGATGAGTTTCTATCAGCCCGCCGCAAACAGGCTGCTGCTAACCCGCTGAGGGACGGACCGCTGCCCTTTGAAGCTACTATAAAAAAAAAAAGCTATCATTCAAAATCTCTGTGTCATGTCGAGACCAGCAGAGCAGCATTCCTCTGATACACACACACACACACAGGTACGGTGCTGTTTACAGTGGGTGTGTGTGTGTGGGGGGGGCACAAACAACACTGTTTGCAGTTCAAACACAGCGCTCAAACACACACACACGCTAAAGGACAAACTGATGAGCAAGTGTACAGAGCTTCATCATCTGCTGTTCTGCTCATCATCCTCTCTCTCCTCGGGCTGACTAACACACAGCAGACCAGAGTACAGGACTGAGGGGAGTGTGAAGAGCATCCTCATCTTCACCCACAGACAGAAAGAGAAAGACTTTGCAGCATGGCAACAGAGGAGGAAGCTTCTGGAGTGTTGGAGCTTTTGAACAGAGGCTTTAAAGGGTTTCAAAGACACTGATCTGAGGCCACTTCTACAGACACTTTGAAAAGAGGGGGTCTAATTATTGTCTTTGGACGGTTGAAGCCAAAGTATGATGAATCAATAGCTGCATTTACATGGGCACAAATAATCGGAATAAAGGTCCGATCAGAATAAAAAAGTGTCATGAAAACATGTGAATCAGAAAATTCTGATCCAATTCGGCTAAATCGGAAAGAAATTGTATTTCGATCGAGAGAGGTGGTTTATGCCGATCGTTATTCCGAAACACGTCCAAGTAAACACTTAATCCAATCGTGACTCTCTAACCTGACTCGATCCTCACTCTTTAACCTTTGGCTTATTTATTGAGGTCAGTTCAGGAGGTTTCATTATTAACACAACTGCAGATGCCATGTCTGCTCCTCCGATGACATAAGAAGGCATACATACAGTGTAATGATGTCACATCTGCAAGCACAGGGCAACCTTTGACAGAACAGTAAAATAAGTATGCAAGGGTGCCATCTAGTGACAACATTTAACGAGGGAAAAATCCTGAATTGGATCGAGTGAGCCACGACCACGTTTGTTGATTGTTGACAGCACATGCATAAAAAATTAGACAACATTGCGCATGTCTGAAGGCCTCTAATCTGAATATAACTTGGTGCATGTATACACACGTCATGATCGGATTGTTTGATTTTGCACCCAGATAAACAGTGGATTCAGATTTTCAGATCCCTCAAATTTTTTGGAATTTTGCACATGTAAGCATGTCCACTGAGCGCTAATCCAATCACACTCAAATTTACTTTAATTTGTCCTATTTAAACAGCTAAAATACCATCACTATGTTGGTGCACAGATCTTTCAAACCCTGTCAACTTCCTAATAAAGCCGCTTTGGTCTCAAGAGTTCCACTTGATTTTAGCTTACGGCAGCAGTCTCTCTCAAACAAGCAGAGCCTCTGTGACCTCTGCTTTCAGCACCATCATTTATCATTTCCCCCTGTGGGTGTATCAATGATTGTGTTAGCTAATCAATTCAGCTAATGAGGCTAAGTGACACAGAGGAGCCCTGAGTGTCCATCTCTGTCAAGCCACATATACCAGCAGTTTCAAGGTGTGGGGTTGTTGGGGGGTCTGGGGATCACTACAAAGTCTGTAAAACCTTCCAAATTGGTGGCAGATTGTGAAAAAAAGACTTTCTAAAACAAACAGTTTCCCATCTTTATTGGTACCCTGACAGCATCTCACCCGCATGTTGAATCCTGCTGAAAAAGCGGTGTCAAACAACTTTAGCTCTACTGTACATACAAACAAAGACAAAAAGCTGTCATTGTTCTGTCAAAAACCTGAAGCATGATTTCTTTAGGAGCTCTGGATTTAAACAAAGACACAAACAGATCTCTTGGTGTGTTTGCTTACGGTGTGTGTCTGATGCCTTTTACACCTCATCGTCTCACCCACCCGCTCACTGTTATTATTGAAGAAGCACCTCAGCCTTGTTTCTACGCTCAAGGGCACTGCGCAAATGTCAGTGACTCACCGGGGAGTGCAGAGAGAGGCCACAGCACACAAATCTGTAACAAAACGGGTAAATAAAGAGATGGGAGCTGGAGTCAATGACAGGAAGGAAGCAGACAGTTAGATGTTGTTTATATCTGTCAGGGGTGATGTGTTGAAACTACAGAGTAAATTTCCTGAGTGTGACCGTGAGTGACTGACTCTAAAGTCACCTTAAACCAGACGAGTGGATCCTACTGTGAGTTTACGTTATTTTAAAGAATAGATGACCATTTCATGAAGAGGTGTCACTATAAAAAACTATAATAATGTAAACAATGGAGTGACTGAGAAAGGATGATTCAAGGGATAAAAACAGTTTCTGACAGTTGTTGGTGTCAGGAGGGGCTGCGAGCAGCTCAGTGCCTACTACTTCAAAGCGTTTCAATTCATGCTTAGCTTGATTTTATATTGGGATATCTTTAATCATTACATTTATAATAAAGTTCTTCTTCTTCTTTTTCTTCTCCTTCTTCTTTTTCTTCTTCTTCTGCTTCTTCTTCTTCATGCACAGTTAAGATAAGCTATGGTTAGGCTATATAACTAGACTGTAGTCCACTTTTTTATAACAACATGTCAACAAAGACTTTCTTCTTCATGAGGTTTGTGCCAGCGACCAAATCTTACAATAGTGTCCCAGTGTTTCCCCTACGTTCATTCAGCAGCAGTGCACTGCCGCTGCTGAATTGCGTGCACCACTAATGAAATTTCACATGATCATTAATATCAATGCGCCACTAATGACTTGTTTTGAGTCATCAACGAGCGCGTCAAATCCTGTCGGACCCTCTTCCATCAATGTGAAGGGTAACTTCCGAGCTGAAAAAAATTCTAGGGGAAACACTGGTGTCCCTTCTTACAAACAACTAACAAATCGAGGACTTCAAATCTCAAAGATACTGATAAAAGTGAGTGTTTATCTGACATTTTTTTAGGTACCTGACACGAGGAGAGTCTGTGAACTGAGTTTGTTGATGCTTCTTTAAGTTTAGAAACGTAGTTTTGTAATAATAATCTGTGAAACTTTGACCCTCTTTCGAAGGGGTTTGGGGGCTGTGAGCTGAGCTGCTGCTAATGTTGTCTTGTAAGATGATTTGAACTTTTGTTTGTGAGAAATGATTTAAGTTAAGTTGGCAATGTAACTCAAAAAACTGAATAAGTTGTTTAAAATGTTTTCCTGTCTGGCTGAATGTCAGTAGGCTACTAAATTTTTATAATTTTCAGAATAAGAAAAAAGTGGGCTGAAAAAAGAGGTCTGCTGGCACTAAAGTAACTCAGTGTTTGACTTGAACAGCCAAATCTTTGTTGAGGCCAAATGTTTCTTTAGAGGGCATGTTTGACCATGTGGGAACAATCCAATAAAACCCCAAAGTCTACCGACAACAGAGCTTTCAATCCCGTCAAAGTAAAAAAATGATTTCCTTTATTTTAGATGTGTCGAGTCAAACCCACCAATACAAGAACAACTTCAAAAACACAAAGAAAAAAATTTCAAATCCTTGAGCCCTTTTCCCAGAATCCATCATTTTCACAGAGTGAGATTGTTCGGATACGATCAGGACCACGCAGCACTCCTGTAGGAAAAGATTCAAGCAGACAGGCCAGCAGGAAGTCATCAGTCTCAGCTCCTTCTACTGCAGAACCAAAGAGGAGTGGACAGCGGAGGATGAAACACGATCGGCAGCATTTCCATCTACTTACATTCCAGCCTGAATGGCTAATCCCTCGCCTATTCCAGATTACAAACTAACAAGATTAAGAGCAGATGACAGATGATACAGCACTATAGTCCCAAAGCACTCTTCAGGAGCCTTCAGTGTCATTAAAGAAGAACATCTGATCCAAAAACGTCGCTCCCTAAGGTCTCAGGCTTTCAATCGTATTAGAGCTGTTTGTTCTGCTTTCTTAGGTTTTGGATTTATAAAATAAATCTTTATTCATCGCATGGCAGGGAAATTGGCAGTGTTACAGCAGCAAAGAGTGATCAGCACAGCAAACGTAGAAGAATAAGTACACTCATCATGCACACAGTGCACAGATAAGTATAAAAAAAAGATCATTTAGTCCTATACGAAAAATGTTACACAAAAAAAGAGGAACAAAAAAAGAATGGGACATGCACATTTCACATTATTTATGTGGGGGGGGGGGGGGGGGTTACATGAATTCATCACCTACATTTTGTTAGATCTCAAATAAAAACCTGCTCATGACTTCAGATGCTTTCCCTCTTCAGTTATCTGAAAGAAAGGGGAGCTAACAGCTACTTTTAGAGTCTCTGCTGAGAATTTCTGAGTCATTGTAAAGGTCAAAACTGAAATCAGGGTGAGGGAATCTGGAGTACAATCGACTTCACATGCAGCCTTTCAGCTGAAAAGTCAGCACCAGACCTCTTGCCCTTCATTTCTCTCAAAGATCGACCAATAGGGTGGAAGTTGTTGGTGCAACAAGTCCTCCAGATATTCCTGTAACAGATGGATGGATGGATGGATGGATGGATGGATGGATGGATGGATGGATGGATGGATGGATGGATGGATGGATGGATGGATGGATGGATAGATAGATAGATAGATAGATAGATAGATAGATAGATAGATAGATAGATAGATAGATAGATAGATAGATAGATAGATAGATAGTATAACAATATGGTTTTATGCCGTGACAACCAAGTGGTGCGGTTTGTTTGGATGTAGTTATGCATCTTAGTGAAGGTCAGGTTTGGTAAAAAAAGACTCTTTTTCGAAAGATTTTCAGTTCAAAAGGAGCCGTCTTTACAAGGACAAACGACAGGACTCCAGAAACATGTGGCATCTTGACACATGCCAATCCCAAACTGTTTGTCTGGCCTTGTCAGCCCCCTTAGATGTGCTTTCAAGACATTAAGTTCATGACAACGATGCTGATGGATTTAATCCACAGTTTCATTATCGCACCACAACCTACATTGAGAATTTATTTGAAGAGAGAGTCTAATATAACCTTACAGACACACTGAAACTACAAAGCACTCATTCGGCTTTCAAGACTTTGGAAATTCTGCCAAATCTCACACAGAAACTCAGCGGGATGCTCCGACTGATGGACAACCAGCAGCGACTGAGTTTTATCAAACTATAAATCTCTGGAGGCTGTTCGCTGCCAGTTAGCGGGACGATAGAGCCTAATTAGCAAACACTAACCGCCATCAACACATCGTTTCTTTTTTTTTTGTTTTGAATGAAGGCTACACTCAAGGTCGCTGGAAATGAGCTGCAGTGAAAGGCTGCAGACAGAGGTGAAGGGCTTAAATCCCCTTGAGATAAATGCTCCTTTATTCCTTTGTTCCTGCTGCTAAATGGGCTAAGTGTTGGCTTGTGCAGGCCTTTGTCCCACTTCACTGGGCTGAGCTTCACTTTCACAAAGCTCAAGTTCATCAGGAGCAAAGGTGACAAGAGGAGGCGACAGGAGGGAGGTCGACCCCGGTGTGACTCCAACACCCTCTAACCCTTTGAATCAGCACTAAACCAATTACCCTCCTCTATTGTCTTCAACATGTTGCCTAGCAACATCACATCCCTGCAGTGATTCTGTGCATGTGTGTGTGCATTTTGTGCCGCAAGAGAAATTTCCATGGAAACAACAACAGGCAGACACAACAGCGCTCAGCTCCACTCACCTGACAACTGTTTGGCTAATGGATGAAACATAAAAGCCAATAAAAGAAGAAATTCATCTCCGGTTATGGCTCATAATCTCCATAAAGGTCCTTCAGGGACAAATCAACAAACATTAAGCTATTAAATGAGCAAACAAGATCATATGAAAGGAATCAAGACGCAGATTACCTCCTGAATGTAAGTGACAGCTCATACGCTGGCATCCAATCTAGTACACTCTCTGCATGCTTGATCTGATGAAGCCTCAAATCAGAAGTGAAATTTTCATCAATATAAAGCAGTTGGAAATGATTCAGACCACTCAAGAGCCTGTGCAGGATTCTGGGCTGTGATAGTGAACACTGACAGTGCAGTCATGGGAGAAACTAATCATCTCCGACTCAGCTGCCTCAGGTCTCCTGGTTAAGAAACAGCCTGATGGATCTTTAACAGAGAAGTAGGATGGACTCTGTCTTCATTTTGGAGGTTTACACACAGACACAGTGAAAAAAGAAAGGAGAGTTTCATCAGCTTATTACTTTGCAAACATTTTTATATTCAAACTTTAATTATAAGATGTTAAACATATACAGTTTTTTAGCTCATCAGGTTATCTGAGGAAGCTTGCTGTTTGATCCAGCAGAGGGTGCTCTCACCGTCACCCGATCACTGAATGACACCCTTGACCTCGGTTTTTACATTATCATATATTTTTTTAGCAAATGGACAGAGGTGCACACATCTTCTCTGTTCTTGTCTTTAAAATAGCTTTATTCGTCCAGTAATGTGCCCCTTTTCTAGGATTATTATGGATCTACGTGGATCTATGTGGACCCCATTGACCTTCTTGCCAGGACTTTTCGAGGAGGATTTCTGCTGTAAGCTAATATCAGCTCATCTTTGGAAAACTCTTCAGATAAAGTTCAGTTGTCTTTGTTGTGTGTGTGTGTGTGTGTGTGTTTCAGCACACCCAATATCCAGAGACAGCCTTGGATTCAGATATTTCTACAGCCCCTTTCCCACATCTCTTGTCTTATCCCTTCCTATCTAAATAAATGGCGAACACACACAAAAAAGATGTCTTTTCAAGAGTTTTCTTCAACAGCGTCCTCATCACAGCATTATTTTATCAGAATATTCCTTTAACTCTGTTTGCAAGGGCAATAAATCAGGATCAAGTCATTAGTTTAAAAGATCACACCGGCCTAAACAATTTGACCACTGAATTCTAATGAGTTCATCATCCAGTCCAACATGATATCTGCATCTAATCAGAAGATAGCATCGAGAATGTGATCAACTCCATGATAGAGCCTTTTCTCATGGTTATTGACAGAAGTGTACACATCTTTCTAATAACCCTGCCAGAGATTGATTCCAAAGGTAAACTTTTGTACTCACTGCCAAAGGAAATAGTTACGTTGGAATAAAAAGAGATGATTGTGAGCGGAGTAAAAACCACAGGAAACCTTTCCATCTCAGTGCATTTTACTTACAAAAAACCTGAATTACTCTGGCGTCTCCATAATGACTTCCTTATGTTTTTCAATAACTACCTGGTGCATCTCTCCCATGCAGCCTGTAATGTTGCATCCACAGAGATAATTTAAGCAAATGATAAGGTTGGAAGTGAGTCATTTCTCCCTCGTCTTCTCACACATACAGACACTAAAGGGAGGCAAATGTGTTTATGATAACCTTTACGGCTGCTGTAGCCATTAATGGCTCCCATTACAGTCCAGAGATGGTAATTCATTAACCCTTCTCCACCTCCACCAGCAGAGAGGGACGAAAAAACAGAAAGAGAGGAATGAGAGAACAGAGAGAAAAAAGAAAACAAGACAGTGAATGGATTAACCTCTGTGCTACTTTATGGACTATCAGCACAATCATGCACCAATAATCAATAAAGCGTTAAATCACATCCTCATAATTCCATCCACAAAAACCTCAACCCTGTCATCCTTAACTACCAGTGAAAATGTGAGTATATTACTGGATTAGATATATTTTCATCCTGCCTAATAACTCTTGATTCAGAGCATATTGATAGGCCAGCTGTCCGTCAGCTGGCTCCCCCTGTGCTGCAACAGATCAATACATAGAGATGAATCATTTTCTCTGAGCAGCTAATCATGTCTGTGAAAGCATAAAACCAAACTTATTGAGCCATGCTGATGGATGTGAAGAGGATAGAACTGTAAATAGTTCTCATAAGGGTTTTCATTAGCATCTGAGGCCTAAGACATGAAAGTGAAGAAGCTAAAAAAAAGGGTTACATCTAAAGAAGTAGTCTTAGTGTCACTTCATGGTGGTTCATCTGTGGTGACCCCTTTTGGGTTTTCACTGTGAGGCAGGTTTCTCCTCATTTTCCTCATGTTTGCACGAGGAGCCATTCATGTCATGTGCAACAAAAAAGATTGTGCATGTTGTTTAAACCTGCAGGATCTGAAGTAAATATGCAAAGAGTGATTACATTTAGGGTTAAGCAATAAACAGAAAGTTTACCGGTAACAAAATTTACGACAATAACTGTCGTCATTTTGCCCTTATTGGTATATTCGGTGTCAAAAAATAAATAAATAAAAGTTGGTTTTGGATGTGTGTAGGTAGGCTATGGTCTCATGTCCCTTTAAGAAGCTGTCCTACATCAGAGACGTGACTCCACCCCATCCAGTCCTTAACAAAGAGGGAAAGACAGGTGAGGAGATGGAGGATGGTTCAAAAGTTGTAGCGGTGGCTGAAGTAGACGAAGTTAATGTGGGAGGGGGTGATCAGCTTGTGGAGCAGTCCATTTATCGTTATTGAGGTGAACTGCTCAATATATCCTGATATTGATTTGAGGCCATATCACCCAGCCTTAATTACATTATTTTTGCAAACACGATTTGAAATGCAAACACAAAAATAAGAAGCAAATATTGACCCTCATCAATTCTCTTCGATTCGGCTCAGCTGCACTGAGATGGTGCAAGGGCAAACGAAAAGTCAGTGATATCAAGATTAATCTTGCTCTCTCTCTCTATGAGGTGCATGTCCTTCCTCGTTTCTTTTCATCTCCTTATTTACGCTTATTGATCCTCTTCCAGCCAATAAGGCATTAAAATGAGGGATGCACTTGTAATAGATCAATCAATAATCAGCTGATAAAGGGAATATTTCAATTTTACAACAACAATCATCTGGTTAGAATAACCGATAAAAGTTGTTTTTATTCACTTATCAGCAAAACTATAAATCACACAATAGCAGCAGTTTGTGATCCACCGGTTCATGCAGAAAGGAAGAGCAACAAGTTTAGCTGCAACAAGCTGATGAGAGGGTAATTAAAAATCCAGCCTCAGATGTGGATGTTTTTTCTTTGTGATTGTGGAAAACAACACCTCAAGTTTGCAAAACATGTGTAACAAGAAAATGAAATCCTTCAGACTGAACACAAGAAATCTTGATACTCTGCTGAAAATATGTAGTGCATTGAAGGTGTTAAAAAGGCCTGTTTCAGCTCAGCATTTCATCTGCTTCATAGCTCTACACTGCAGATTCCACCGGCTAATGTATAATGTACATCAATAACTAGCAGGTCCTGTACTCTGATCGAACTGCACTTTGATTCAGCCCCAGTACATGAACTTTGGAGGATCTGAAACCTTTTTTTTTTTTTTATTCAAGGGCAGCTCTGCTTTGGTGTGTAAAACACACTCATGAATTCTGATGGTATCTCATTTTACCTTGTAGAAACTGCGAGTGAATCTGGTTTTAATGAAATCTTCAAAAGTAACAAGTTCTGAAGGTCTGAGGATATCCGGTGTTTCCTCATGGTCTCAGTTGTAGTCCATCTAAAATCAGACCTGTTCCTCTGCTCTGTCTATCTAAAAAGCTTCTTTCATCTTTAGCTGAATGTCTTTAGTTAAACTTCTTTTGATCTGCCTCTTTAAACCAGGGCATAAAGTTTCACACGGCGCAGAGGATGGAGATTAGCTGCTGGTTTTGTGTGTGCACTCGGCAGTGTGTTGTTGACAGGGGACTAAATCCTGCATCACATCAGCGAGCTCTGTGCAGAGGTGAAGCGTGTGTTTAGAATTAATTCAGCACCGCTCCCACCTTTCAGGCTTGGTGCTACAAGCAATAAAGGCTTTGAGTGAAAGTGTTGAGACGCCGCTCGAGGTGAGAGCTTACTCTTACACTTTGAAAAATTCTGCACAACTCTGGGAGTGACAGGAAACCGAGTGAACGCAAACACAGCCGGGTCTTCATCTTCAGACAAAACAATCTCTGACATTAAAGTACTGTTTCACGCTGATGCATCAAGTCTCGGCAGCAGAGTCTCTCTGGTGTAAAAGACCTGATCCAAGCCAAGACTGTGAGTCTGATCATCAAGATGGGGCCAATGAAACAAACCCTGTCTCACTACTAGGACTAGGCAATATGGGAAAAAGTTGATCACAATATTTTTTTTCATATCAGCCAATATAGATATTAATCTCGGTATAAAAAATGAAATTTAACAGTGCTTATTTGTAGCATGTCTTTTTAATACAATAAGCGACTGCATCTGTGAGGTCTTTGTGTCTCTTAGACGTTTTGTCGTAAGGCTTTGCGCTACAGAAAGCGGACTGAATGGTCGGCTGTTTCACCTACAAAGGCACCATGGTCTCCTTGCTCCACTCAGGGTTTGTAACATTTTGCATTGCGTGGCTCTGCCATGTGGTGCTGCTTCAGGTGGTGAAAAAGATTTGAGGTATATCTGACTTTGCCGGAACATGTACTCAACTTAATTTGCAGCACACATTACTCTGCTTCATGTCCGACCTCAAAAAAACAAAATACCTCCACACCACCAACGTTTTCATGCCAATGTTGTTGACGATGTCATCATCTGTTGAGCCTTCATCTGCATTTCTGCTGGGGGTGGCACTTATTTTCTTTTTTTTCTCACCAACAGTGCTGTCGGCTTCACGTGTTAAAGTGCTATAGTTGCGTGTAGCTGCAGCCTGCTACTACGCAGTTGTTTGCTACTTGGTTCTAATCCAGCACGATTGGTTCAGTGTGAAGCTGACCTGGAGCAACTCCACTTTGAGTATAGGCTATGGTGGCTATTCGTATAGTCCACCAAAACATGGCAGAATGCCAGCTATCGAAAAGCATATTGACCATGTTTCATACTGATATTGAGGGAAATCAATTTTCGATATACATCATTATTATTTGATTGCCCAGCCCTACTCCCCACATTAATATAAAACAAAATGTTCTGTGTAATGTCTAGCCACCAAGCATATTTTAGCTTCATTAAGTTCAACCTCCTCTGCTGTGTCAGTTGTCAGAAGTGTAGTTCTGTGAATTTACCTTACACTTGCAAAAAGCTAAAGAAGACTCTTCAGTGAAAACTTCCCTGATGTGATTTCACTTTAAGAATGTGTCCTCCTGGCTTAGTCAGCTTTTGCTTCAACTATTGAGGAGAGAGAGAGCCAATGCAAGGGCTGGACCTGCCGCGCGTGGGCTGTAACACTTCATCAGGAGCTCTGATTGATGCACAGAATAGTGTGGGTGTGAAGAAGTTGTAGATGTCTTATGCTTGTTGTGCCTCAGCGGTACAGACCACCAAGTGGCCACAGGTGAAGAAAAGGGAGGCGTAGGACTTCTTCAAGTTATCTGTATGTTTCACACAAAGAGTGTGGACCATTAAAACCACGAACACACTTTGGCTCTGTTCAGCTCTGACCTCATTATGTCAGACTCAGTGTGAGGCCACATTAACCTTTGACCCTGGAGTTTCCCCCTTGAATTCCCCGTCAGTAATGCTCCATGAGTGTAGAGAATCAGCACTGCAACACACCATTTCATGCACAGTCGTTTTTCAGTTGTTTTTGCAGGTCTTTGAACTCACCACATGATGTGAGAGGACTTCAACCCATGAAAATTGAGCATCTGTTCATGCAAAAAAGAAGGATCTGTGTGCAAACTGCTTTCCCGATTGTGGAAACTGCTTATTCATTAGAAGATCAATTTGCACTTCACGCGATAAAATCAGCTCCAGACCAGAATGAGGTAGCAACAGACGACTAAAAAGAGGTGAAATAAGCGACACAACAAACCAAGCATTCTGTTTAAACTATAGTTATTTCCCATTTCGATGGCTTGTTTGAAGCTACAAAAAAACTGTATCCGCTGATCGCAGCTGATCATAACCATTAAAGTTCATGTGTCAATTTCTACCGGCTTCTTTCCGTTCCGTTCCAGACTCCGCAGCTGATCGCAAGAGTTCTATTTTTTCTTGACACTGGAGAATGCTGGATAAATTCAGCACAGATTAACCCGTGCTGGAAAGGAAGTTGGGCAAAGTCAAATCTGTGTTTCAGGTGGATCGTATTTCACACCATGCAAACAGGCAGGGACAAACAAGTGAAATGTTTTTAGATGGCATTTCACCCCGATGACACCATGGATAAGGAGATACTGATTCTAAAAGTTTAAAAGTGGAACAATCTTCTGCTAATATGGTTATGTGGCTGTCTTTATAGAGACAAACATATCGCACGATTGCACGGGAATCCGCGGGTACTTGTGAGTTCTTGCGATTCCTGCTGTCTGTAATTCACCTCACAAACGGATCCGGTAGGATTGGTGTACTGCGAAAATCTCCACTGTTCTGGATCGTGGTCGCTCTGTTAGTGTGACTGCAGTTTTCAAACCGCTCCGCTCAATAATGCTCTTGAAGTTATATGCAGAGCTCACAGAGGTTGCAAGTGTGAGATGAAAAGGCATGTTTCAGAGCAGAGCCAGACTGAGGGGCTGCAGAAAGTGCTTGTATGTAAGATGCTTAAAACTGTTTCCAGCAGACTTTAGTGAACTGTGAATCATGCACAGCTACTTTAGTCAGATCCTGGAATAAAAGTATAGAGCTGAAAATGAGCAGAAAGAGTCCTCTTTAAGATCCAGAGTACAGCTCTGACGGTGTTTGGATGTGTAATCTGAACACTGAGTGTGGAAATTAAACCTGAGAAGGTTTGAAGAGGTTTTCAGAAAAAAGTCCAAGAGTTAAAAACTATCAAACTATGAGTCAAAGTGACCTAAGAGACTTTTAAAAGTACTCCAACTCCATGTGTCAACCTCTGCTCCAGCTTCATCCGGTCTCTGATTTTATGAATCACTCTGCTCCAAGTGTAATGTACCTCCTCCCATCTCCTGTAAGCACCACTCTAAGGAAAGTGTAGCTATTATTATCTATACAAGACCAAGTCTGGGGACTAAGTCCAATAACCTTTCAATAATATATCAGACTCTTCCTCTGGCCTCTCTGCAAGACTCGGCTCTGCTATCACAAGCTCCTCCAGAGGCACATACACACACACACCAACACACACACTCACTCACACCAAGGTCACAGAGACCTGCCGACTCAGCTCGCTGCAGTGAGTGAACGTCTCGTTAGCTTTTCTCTGAATAACATATGCAGAGCGCTCCCTTAGAAATGAGACTTTCTCTGCAGAGACAAAATGAAATGAGGAAGGAAAACCTGCCAGAGAGAGAGAGACGTGTTGATCACTCTGAGTGCGCTAACAGAGCAGAAGCAGTACTATTACATTAGAATAATAAACAAAGAGCACAGAGCCTATAATGAGGAGAGAGGCTGTATCAGAGGAAACACAGGGTGACCTCGCAGGCTAACCAAATAAAACAAACGCTCAGTGCCCTCCACACAGTCATCATGGCAACATCGATTAGGCTGCACTCTGCTCATTGATTTTACGTCACTCCTCTATTGAGATGGGCTCCATAGACTGCAATCACTCACAGCCAGAAACATTCACTCTATCTATAATTCACTCCGTCCTTCATCATCCCCTCATCTCGCTCTCTGTCCCGAACACATTCGTCTTTTCAAGGAGCAGAAAACAAACAAACAGTCTTTTTGGGCTGTTTCTTTTAATACACTGTTTTTATTTAGTAATAGGTTGTCATTTTATGTCAACACAGGGCTCGATGGTGCAACCATTTCACTCGCATTTGCGACTAAAAACAGATGTGTGCAGATGTAAAATGTACTTAGGGGTACATGTGCGCAACAAATTCTTTTCATGTAAATACTGCGGTGAAGTTAGTTTTGGGTTGGGCATTCACTGCGGATCTACCGGTGTCTTCTCACTCACATAACCGGGAACAGCAGCACGGTTAAATCTACTTGACATCCTTGCTGTCAACATCGTGTTGAATAAGGGACCATCAATAAATTACCTGTTGATGTTCTCAAAAAAGGCCGTTTTCCTTCAATAGCTTCCATTACACATGACCAATTGACCTAAAATCGATTTCAAACAATAGTACTTATGCCGACCAATAAGATAAACATTATTTGATCATTTTCATTGTGCCCCTTAATTTCTTTGTGTGCTCCTTACTTTTTTCACAAGGAGCACATATAAGTGTCAAGCCCTGCAACACTCATGTTTGGCACTTTTAAAACAGGAAATAACACCCAGAGAAAGTGCTACCATAGTGCAAGGAGGCATACATGATTTTTGGTGAAAAAGAAAATCCTTTGACAACAGCAAAAATATTTCAACAGCATTAAATAGTGAAGTTAACTAAACTCAAACACCTCTTGAAAAAGGCAGAGTCAACATTTGGAGTAGTCTTCAGTAGCTTTGTGCATGAGATCAGTGACCAATCAGAAATTCTTCAACACTGCATGTGGATTTTTCCTTTGGCAAACCCTAGCAGGGATCTTTTTGAGGGTTATTGTCCATGGAACTAAATTTAGACCCCTTTGGTGGAAACTAAGTCGATTCCTCCAAGGGTTGTGGTCCTGTGGAAAGTTCTCTTTGTGGAAACACAGTTTAAGTGTCTTGGACACAAGACCTAGGTGTCCTGTCTCTCTTTCCCTCCCCAGGGTTCCTGCTTCTGGGGAATCATCACCTGAATGAAACCGGAGCTTGCGCAGGCAGCTCTGCATGTGTGGCTACTGAGGCTGGGGGCTCGGCCCGCCTGTCCATGCATCACCTCCTGCCAAAATTGTAATGAGACCTCACCGTCGTTCTGCTCTGCATTAAAACCCTCTGTCCCGGTGCCAGGGTTTTACTGTTTACTCACACATGAGCCCCCCCCGCCTCAGCAGGTGCTAACTCCCCTCAGCCATGCAGGGAGAGGGGTTAGATTTCCTCTCAGTGCAGCAGGGACTCAGAGAGGATCCATCCTGGGATGATTTACACTGATTCATTAGCTCAGCCTTAAAACAGCGTCTTCCCTGCTGAACAGCCGTGAAAATAAAAGTGAAGACACCCCCCATTAAGATTTGAGGCTTGAAGGTGATAGCTGTTGAAAGCGGACCACAAAAGGGCACATTAAGAATTCAACAGCCACATCAGCTGGAAAACCAACTGAGGCATGCAAAGAGACAATTAAGCAGAGATTTACTGTGTGGAGGCTGAAGGGGCGGGGTCGGGGGATTCTGCCACTTCCCCCCGTGGTCCCAGATGAAACCCACTCTTTGATTAACAGCAGCTCGGGGCTTTGCCAGGGCAGTGGCTGGTATCAGGACAAGAAGGCCCGCAGTGAGAATGGCTCCCACAGGCTCCATTGAGCTGCATCTGGCGTGCAGGTGACCTACAGCCGGCTTGCGGCGGTCCAACTACCTTGAAACTCTGACAATCTTTGTACTGAACGCTTAATTAATCTTATCAAGGGCAGACGTGCGCGCAGCGAGGACAGCCGAGGCGACTGAGTGAATGAAAAAACTCTTTGGTGGTTGAGGACGAGAGCTACAGATACCTCTCAGATAGGCAGCAAGGAGAGATCAGAGCAGCCGGAGAGGCAAAGAGAGAGGAAGATTTGGAGCACAATCCCCGAGTGATGAAAAATACATCATTCCCACGCCTGCCGCGGCTTTGTCTGCTGACTGAAACACATTACAGGCTGATTTTTAAGACGTCTGTGAAGTGTATGCTTCACTGGAGCCTGTGGGTGTAGCCTGGCTCTCACTGCGCTATTGATTCAGCAGCACTGCAGTTTAGCGAGGCATTGGCTGAGTATGAGAAACGGAAAATAAACAGAGAGGACCAAGTGGGAACTGTGGGAGCTCCATGGGAGCAGACCAGCAGACTCTGGACCAGTTCAAGAATACAGATTCATGGTTAGACTCCAGGACTACCCACTGAAGGGGATTTTAGAGGAACATTCAGTCAAATTCAAAAGCCACAATCTAAATTCTCTCTCTCCTTCTCAAGTCCTTTTAATCTTCACTCTCTCTCTCTTTAATCTGCAGTTTGAATCAATTATGGCTCAGCCTCAGAGCCATTTCCCCAAGATTTAAAACCAGAAATCAATCCAGGGAAAGTCAAACGTTTCTCTTTGGCCGTTCTGTGTTACCAACTGACTTAGTGTTTGTTTAGTGTTGAGATCAGCCAATAAAAACAGTTGAATGAATGTATTTGTGCTTATAATGGAGACCATTAGACAAATCAGACAAAATAGAGCAGACTGCTGGTGTCCAGTGGGTCATTTCAACTTTTGGGATCACACACTTCAAATAAAACGACTTTTCTCACAGGGTACATCTTAAGATCCACCACAATCTCGCTTTCAGCTAAGAGGGTAGAGTATTTATGGCCTATAATAATATCTTAAATGTCAGACCTTGAGAGTCTACGATAATTCCTGTGGGGTGATACAGATTAAATAAGACAGATAACAGTAGAAAGAAGAAAGACTATAAAACAGCTCAACAACCATTTGGACAAATTTCGCAGTAAAAACAGTCCTATCTGGAGGTTTCTTTTCACTTCCTCTTTGTCAGTTTTGGCAGACACTTTCCTGCTGCTCACTCACCACGTTAGTGCTGTAACTGCACTTACAAACGACAAATCCACCAGGTGCAGTCTTTGGAAAACAGTGTTTTGTTTTGTTTTTTTTTTCCTGAAAACATCTGTCAGACTTTGAGGAAAGGTAACTGATGGTGCAAAATTTGACAGAAGTGGCTGCCTCCATGATTTTCTATGAGGGGGAATCCCTGATAGTCACAGGATTACTGGATCAGAGTTTGTGACCAGAGAATCACCTAACCTAACCCATTTCACGTCACTCTAAGAACAGCTGTCTATGCAGTGGGAATGTCTTAATTTGTCTGACAGGAATGATCAACACAACAAAACGGGAATTGAAACCTGAAAAGTAGTGAATGTGTTGAGTTGTCAGCAGCACAGCGTGTCTGCCAGGCTTTCCTCAGGCCACACGTTTCTGTGTGAGTCTCAGCCTCAGGGAAGCAGGATGATGATGACGGGCGTTTCACCTTATCTCCCCTCCTCTCACTGCTGGTTGGTCGAGTTAAGCTGTAACAACACGCAGATAAAGAGGAGCCCAGGACTGTGTCAGCTGTCTGCTTTATCTCTGCGATGACAGGGGACTCTGGCTACTAACCAGCTGCAAACACACATTCACAATAACACACACACACATAGGACTCAGGCGCCCCTCCACAGAGCGGAGACGTCATGTTATTACTCATATTAGCTCTCTTTCTCAGTCATGTTGCAGCGCTGTGGTTCCAGCAGCTTTGGTTTGACTGCTGAGCTTCAGAGGTCGACAGAAACCTCAGTTTTTTTAATCTGAGCTCTGTTCTGCAGCAGCTTCATGTTCATACAGATGCATTTATTCATTCATGCTTCTTCTGCAACACCTGAGCCGCTCTGATGCAACCAGCTGGGGCCAAAACCACAAATCATGCAACCATACAGTGGACTGTTTTTTTCCCCATAACTTAACCCACTAATCTAATTTATCTTAACTGGTTAGTTTCCTTCTTTTTCACCTGATGGCAATAATCAGCCTCACTAACAACCTCAAATGGCTACACTCTGTAGTTTTTGTATTCAGTCCCACACAAGCATTCCTGTTGAAATGTACAAAACCCAATTCCATTGAAGTTGGGAAATTGTGATAAATGTAAATAAAAACAGAATACAATGATTTGCAAATCCTTTTCAACCTATATTCAATTGAATATACTACAAAGACAAGATATTTAATGTTCAAACCCATATATATGTATATATATATATTTTTTTTGCAAATAATAATAAACTCAGAATTTCATGGCTGCAACATGTGCCATAGTAGTTGGGACAGGGGCATGTTTACCACTGTGTTACATCATCTTTCCTTTTAACAACACTCAATAAATGTTTGGGAACTGAGGAGAATAATTGTTGAAACTTTGAAGGTGGAATTCTTTCCCATTCTTGCTTGATATACAGCTTCAGTTGTTCAACAGTCCGGGGTCTCCGTTGTTGTATTTTACGCTTCATAATGTGCCACACATTTTCAGTGGGAGACAGGTCTGGACTGCAGGCAGGCCAGTCGAGTACCCGCACTCTTTTACTGTGAAGCCATGCTGTTGTAACACGTGCAGAATGTGACTTGGCATTGTCTTGCTGAAATAAGCAGGGGCGTCCATGAAAAAGACGTTGCTTGGATGGCTGCATATGTTACTCCGAAACCTGTATGTACCTTTCAGCATTAATGTTGCCTTCACAGATGTGTAAGTTACCCATGCCTTGGGCACTAATGCACCCCCATACCATCACAGATGCTGGTTTTTGAACTTTGTGTCGATAACAGTCTGGATGGTTCTTTTCCTCTTTGGCCCGGAGGACATGGCGTCCACTTTTTCCAAAAACAATTTAAAATGTGGACTCGTCAGACCACAGAACACTTTCCACTTTGCATCAGTCCATCTTAGATGAGCTGGGGCCCAGAGAAGCCGGCGGTGTTTCTGGATGTTGTTGATAAATGGCTTTTGCTTTGCATAGTAGAGTTTTAACTTGAACTGACAGATGTAGCAACAAACTGTATTTACTGACAGTGGTTTTCTGAAGTGTTCCTGAGCCCATGTGGTGATATCCTTTACATATTGATGTCAGTTTTTGATACAGTGCCGCCTGAGGGACCGAAGGTCACAAGCATTCAGTGTTGGTTTCCGGCCGTGCCGCTTATGTGCAGTGATTTCACCAGATTCTCTGAACCTTTTGATGATATTATGGACCGTAGATGTTGAAATCCCTAAATTTCTTGCAATTGTACTTTTAGAAACGTTGTTCTTAAACTGTGGGACTATTTGCTCACGCAGTTGTTCACAAAGTGGTGAACCTCGTCCCATCCTTCCTTGTGAATGGCTGAGAATTTTTGGGGAAGCTGCTTTTATACTCAATCGTGGCACCCACCTGTTCCCAATTAGCCTGCTCACCTGTGGGATGTTCCAAATACATGTTTGATGAGCATTCCATGTGAAAAATAGAAAAAGAGGTGGCCCAAGGCTTGACCTCTGGGGCACCCCAAATTTTTCCAGACAATTGATTAGTATGTTTAAGAACTTTACTGGATGTTAAAAATGGAAACATTTAAACTCTTCTTGTTAAGTGTCTGCTGAAATCTCTATCCAGGGAGCTTACAGATGTCTAAAAACACTATATAAGCATGTCTACACTTTCAAAAGGAACTCACATCAAAGAAAAATTCTATCAAATTTAAATAATGACTGCCAGACTGCTGTTTCAGAGCTGCACTCGGGGAAATCCTGTCATTTCTCAGCTGGACGACGTATCTGCATGAAACCTTTCATAAAAGACCAATTACAGCTGGATATCAGTCTGGTGTTAACGGTGATACTCAGGAAGTGAGAGTGTGTTTCTGTTTCTGACATGAATGAAGTTTCCTCTTTGAGCACGGGAGAGGAAGTGGTTCATTTGTGCATGAGTGCAGTGTGTTTCTATTTGAGTGTATGTGTGTATGATAGAGGGAATATGTGTGTGTGTGTGTGTGTGTGTGTTTCTGTAAGAGACTGAGCGGCGCTGACCAAGGAGACTGCAGCTCTTAATACAGAACAGGACGGCATATCCAATGAGAGGCTGATTATTTATCCAACACAGAGACACCATGTGTGCCGCTGATACATGCACACTGATGATGACCTCCTTCACACACACATGTACACACACACATAAATACACACACACACACACACACACACACACACACACAGGTAGAGCACTGCAGAGACAGGCTTAGTCAGCTGTGGCTAACTGCAGACGAGAGGAGGGAGGAAATGAACGAGGCGAGGAGAAAGTGGTGTCGAATCAGTTACAGCAGAAAGTCAATATGTGGATCCTCTCTGAACACAGCAGATAAACACACAGCTTATGATTCTTTTAATGAAATCTTACAACAAAGTATTTCACTGTGTTTAAAGAGCATGCTGCAGGAAGAAAAGGGTGCTTTCAGCTACAGCGGACTGTGATTTCACAGAGAAACACTCACACGCTACAAGGACCCCCCCCCTCCCCCCCAGAGTCTGATCACAGCCTGCAGTGATATTCAAGACCAGCAGATCAGGTCACATGTGGGTCCTTGGAGCGAACTGCACAAAAACTGCAGGATGAAAAGCTTCTTTAGCATTTCCCTAAAAAAAGAGGACACTGACAGAAAAGGAAACTTTATTTCTACTTTTTTGGCTTAAATGACTTGTAAGTATTCCCCCTTTTGGGACTAATAAAGGAGTATCTTATCTTAAATAGAAGAGCTTTTAAAGCCACTTCTGTAAATTGCTTTTGCTTGCAGCAGCAAAATTTGATGGTATCTTCAAAATCAGAGTCTGTTGTTTTTAAATCCATATTAACAGAGTAAAGCAGTTCTTACCGATGTCTTAATTTGAGACATTGCAAAATTCCATGCAACAAAAACTCTTCTGTAAAATGCAAGTCACTTAGATAAACAAGATTTGACACAGATCTCTGACAATGTTGAATTTGTACATGCACACTCCTGGTCTTGTTCGCGAAAGGTTCGAGGTAAATCTGATTTGATTGTAGAAATGAATTTCCACAATTGAAATTCATGAATTTCTACAACTGAAATTTCAACCAATGTTAAAGTGACGGCACACTCCAGCTAGTTAACCAGCACAAATCCTCACCAATGAGAAGCCAATGACCACCGTATAAGGAGGTACTTCCTGGAGAGCAGGGGGAATTACAGGAATTTGTTCTCCTCACATTTCAGAGATGTTTGTTAGTACTCTTTTAGGGCTGGGCGATAGACGATAATGATATCAAAAATTGATTTCCTACAATAGCAATATAAAACATGGTCAAAATGCTTTTTGATAGTGGGCATTCTGCCGTGTTTTGGTAGACTATACGAATAGCCAAAAAAAAGGGGAGTTGCTCTGTGTCTGCTTCGTGCTGAACCAATCATGTGCTGAATTAGAACCAAGTAGCAAACAACTGCTTAGTAACTGGCTGCAGCTACACGCAACCATAGCACTTTAACAAGTGAAGCCAACCGCACTGTCGGTGAGACAAAAAGAAAATGAGTGCTACCCCCAGCAGAAATGCAGATAAAGGCTCAACAGATGACGATATTGTCGACAACACTGGCATGAAAACGTCGGCGGTGTGGAGGTATTTTGGTTTTTTGAGGTCGGACATGAAGCAGAGTAATGTGCACTGCAAATTATGGCCAGTACATGTAATAGCAAAGTCGGGGAATACCTCAAATCTTTTTCACCACCTAAAGCAGTGACATGCAGCAGAGCACGCGCAATGCAAAAGGTTACAAACCCCGAGTGGAACAAGGAGCCCATGGCGCTTGAGCAGCCGAAACAGCCGACCATTCAGTCTGCTTTCTCTAGCGCAACGCCTTACAATAAAACATTGAAGACAAAGACCTCACAGATGCAGTAGCTTACGTTCTGACCCAATTGTTGGGTTACTCTCAAAAAAATAACCCATAATTATTAACCAATTCAAAAAAATGGGTATGGATCTGAAAAAGAATCCAGAAATTTAACTCAACACGTATAACCCAGGAATTGGGTTGAAGAAATAACCCAAGAGTCTTTCGAGTGTATTTCAGTATGTGAGCATCCAATCTTCCATATATAGCCTGCTTGTCTGCAGGAGTGATTAAACTAACCTTCAGTATAAAATAAAGACCAAAGTCTGACAGGTGAAGTCATGTTTCTTTAAGAAAAGAGCTGCAAACAGTCTAAAACTGAAGATGGTTCTCTTTACAGAAAGAGACTGTGAATGAGACAGAGAATAATTAGTATTTCCATAGTGGTGTCTCGCTGCAGGGGGTCTGCAGAAATCTTTACGGCCCTCCTCTGTTTCCTCTCTGCAGCAGATGGGTGAGCCTCTCTCTGGGTTACTCTCAGCTCATCCTTCTGTTTCATTCTTCAGTTTTCTTCCCCACTTCATCTGCACACATTCAGGACTCTTGTTTTTCCACAATACAACAAGATTATCTTCATGCAGTTTTGTTTTCTTTTTGCACAAGATGGTTTGATTACAGCAGACATCTACAGCTTGTTTGCAGGTGGTTTCAGTTTATCTCCTATCTCTCTCAAAGGAGCTGCTGTACTGTAGTTAATGCCCTACAACCAAATCATCTCTGTTAGGGTCATTTGCTAGTGTGTGCTGGTTTGTAGATCACTTTATGTTTCAAAGACGGTAATTCTCGAACTTATTTGAATTATTTCTTGTTTTTTAATTCATCTAATTTCAGAGTCAATAAGGGCCCAAATTCTGTGGATAACTCAGTTTGAAAAAAGCATTTAGGCCCAACATTAAAAAAAAACAAAACAGAACAAACAAACAAAAATCACTGACAGAACCATCTACACATTTTTGGTCTTGGAGTAAAAAGTTGTGGGAGCCCATCAGCTATAAATAAACAGGGAGATGAATAAATCATCACATCATTTTCCTTGACAGCAGCAATCGAGTGACACACACTCAGTCGACTGTGTGGTTTCAAACAGCACTGACAGCATGACTGCTTTCTATTATTACACACACGGGGGAAGAAGACGAGCAGGTTCAGTGTCCTCAGTGATAAGAAACGTCTCCACAGCCGTAACCTTGAGCTGGGATGGCTGTAAGACACGGGCATATTGGAAATGACTCTGCTATTGTAGGTCTGACAGCCAACTTATAAACACAGACCAGCACACAACACAACAGTAAGAAGAACTTAACATCAATAACAATAGTAGGTATAAATACGCTGTTCCAGAGAGGCTGAGTCTCTGAGAATGAAGGATGGAGAAAGGGTTACCACTCTGTGAGAGACTGCCTGATAAACAGCTCAACAATTCACAGCAGCGTTTATATTTGTGTACTGCATCATCTTCAGCACAAAGTCCTGATAAAGGGTTCAGACAGTCTGGTGAAATCACTGCACAAAAGGGACAAGGACCAAAACCAACTAATGACTCTGTAGCGGAAATCACAGCATGGACTTAAAATCCTCCAAGAAAAAAAAAAAAAACACTGTCTTGACATTCTTTTGGGAAACCATGGACTCTAAAGAGTAAAGAGACCACCTGGCTTGCTATCAGTTCCCAGTCCAAAGCCAGCATCCCTGATGGTATGGGGATCATCACAGTCTATGTAATGAGTAACTTCCACATCTGTGAAGGCTCCATTAATGCTGAATAATATCTGCAGGTTTAGGGGCAACATCTGCTGCCATCCAGACAAAGACTTTTTCAGGGAAGACCTTCATATTTCAGCAGGACAATGACAAACCACATTCTGACAACAGGGATTACAACAGTATGGCTCTGTAGGAGAAGAGTCCCATTCACTGTCCTTCATAAATGCCCTTAAATAAAAACAGCCCACTGAGTATATTTGAAAAGCAGTTACGGCACAAAATCAACATTGTTGTTTATTTTCAGTTTATTTTCATCTAAAAAAATAAGCATTTAAATAACTCTTCATAGTTGTGGTATTTCGCAAGAGTTCAGCAAACGCCTCGGCACAATGAACTACACACTCGTCACCAATATAACACAGCACACAGCATACTATCTTACACATACTGGTGTCTCATAATCAAGTTAATAGGCGTGATAATTGTATTCATATTTTAGCTGTACTCATGCTCACATCTCAGACTGTACTTGGTGTGATTGTTTATGAACAAATGCATCTTTTAGTCTGAGCAGTGAGTCGCTGGCTGAACAGCTGCTGCGCCCACAAGCCGGCTGTTTCACTGCGGGATGTTTCCTGATAACAAACTGAACCTCCTCCCTTTTATCTGACAGGACCACAGCTACAGCCACCGGAGCTTGCTGAGAAGCTGCAGAGACGGACTACACGACTGAAACTCTGAGCCAGACCGCTTCACAAAACAAGAAGCTTCAACGTCAGCCCAAAAGACGAGGTCCAAGTGCTTATAAATTTTAACTGACATTGCAAAATACTGGTGAGTGTTCCAGTAAAGCAACTTGGCAAGAACGCTTCTGATATAATTTGACTTGTAAATAAAGAGCAAGGGTTTACTTATTTCCTCAATACAGTTGGACAGTAATCAACAAAACCTTAAAGATATTTACCAGCGCAGTAAAACTGTGGCTCTGAGGTTAAAATCTGGATTATGAGCAGGAAAAAGGAGCTGGAAAAGACTACAAAGAAGCATCATGGCTGCAGATCATGTTCAGTGTGGTTGTTAAAAAACATGAGGAGCTGCAGAGGCGTGTAATGAAAGTGAACGCTGCCTTCTGTCTCAGCTGTGCTGTGGACACACAGCGGACAGCGAATGCAGCATTCACTCTGATCACAGCTGCTCACAGCTCAAGCCTGTGTGAGCACAAAACACCCGTAATCATACTGAAACAGCTTACTGCTGTGTGGCTGGACAAGTTAGGCATGATGCTGTGAGCCACTGGGGAGTAGATGCCCTGAAAAGATATGAGATAAAGAAGTTTCTCAACAGTGTGGGTGGAACTATTTATTCGTTGCAATGATGCACATGGATTTTCATGTCCAAAATCCACCTCTGTTGAAATATAAATGGCTGTGGATCATTGACTCCAAACTGGCTTACAACGCAAATCATTGATTGTGGTGATACTGGTTATGTGGTTGTATTTTGTAAATTTGATGAAAAAAAATATCTACGTTTTGGCTTTTATAAAAACTTGAGCATCCTTGATAAACACAAAGCTATTTGCAAAGTATGCAAAGGTGAAGTTTAACACACTGAAAACATGCCCTATCTTTCCTCTCACCCATTAATGGAGCATGATATAAGCAATGAACACAACATGCGCAGAGCCAGCTGCCCCACAAAAATCCTCAGATATCACCAACATCTTTACTCCGACACTCAGCCAAAACTCACTCAGGGCAAAAGCGATCACGGCAGTCATTCACAGATTTGTGACCGTACAGTCTGGTTGAGAATCCTGGTTTCTGTCAGGTGAGCTTCAAGTTTTAAAGCAAATGCTGGTTAAAACCTCAGCACTGTACTTTGTGAAACATACACAGAATATTGAGGTTAGTGTAAAGAAAGTACAGACTGGTTCAGCCTTAGTAGAGCTAGGCATTTTTCCAAGTTTAAACTGTTTAAGGGCACCAAGCAGCACCTTTTTCCAGCACTATACTCTCTCATTCCTCTGTTATTTAAGCTGTATGCTATTAAGTGCCAAAGCCACAAAGAAATAGGCTCCCAATAAATGCAAGGCTCTCATATCTTTAGTCCTCATAACAAAGGCTGTAAAGGTAAGATGATTACAAGCTGGGTGTAAATGCATGCTGCATGTGGACAGTTTAATTGTGTATTTCAATGAAGGAAGCCTGTAACAGTCTTTAACATGCATGTTCCTGTTGTATCAGAGTTTGGCATTGTTTTATCAATCAATCAATCAATCAAATTTTATTTATGTTGCGCCAATTCATAACAGTCGTTATCCCAAGACACTTTCCACAGAAAAAGAGCAGGTCTAGACCACGCTCATTGTTTGACGAGTTATCGAGACCCAACCTTAAGATGGGACAGTTTTATGAGAAGTATCCTTTTGAAGCGAACTCTATTTGAGGAAACATCATTTTTAGAGGACTCTCTCACAAACTTTTCTGCATTTTTATGTCTGTTGACAACAGACTATGGTACAGCTCTTTACAAAGAAATGTCAACAAATGTCGGCTAAACCATGTAGAATAGTGCTGATTTTAAAAGAGAAAACTCTCCTTTAGTCATTGTTGTATGGTCGGTAAAAAGACTGAGTCTCTGGAGACACTGACAGACTTTTGCAGGGCAGTTGTTGTTTACATGAACTCACATGTGCTGAAACAGGAGGCCATGTTTGTTTGGGGTCTGATCATTAACTGAACATTTAGAAGGAAACCTCCCTGTTCTTCATCATCATACTGCAGCATGGAGGCACATTTTTATTTACCACTCCATATACAGTATAGAGAATGCAGTTTCCTTCTGCTGCTCTTTCAAAAAGAGACATGTGTGTAATTTTCTCTGGTGTTTTGATGTGTCAGATATCATGACAGTAACACTGACTGATCTGACATGTTCATGTCAGCATTTTCAACAGTTTCTACATGAACCTGCAGACAGAGAAATATCCAAAAACAGAGTGAGGAGGAAGAATCTATTTCTACAAATTTCTACATATGTTTGGACCCAGCCTTAGAGAAGAATCCATCCAGAAGTTTTAGAGATACTCCACCTCTAAGTGCTGTTACCTCAAGCTGGAAAGACAAGTTAGTACTTACTAACACTAATCCCTCATCTATATTAAAAAAGACAGGTACACAGGATCAGTTGAAACAACTCTAACACAGTTTTTAACAAATATAATTGCTCTGCGCCTCTTTCTCATCGCTGGTAGATCATCAAACTAAAGCTGAGCTCAGCACTCATCACCATCCTCGGAGAAGGGCTCCGTGTAGACAATGATATCCATGATGTGTTTGAGCGAACCATATCTACAAGCTGATAGTCATGAATGAATTCACATTTCTGTCATTCAGCCCATTCTGCAGCCGCTCTTTCTTCTGGTTTATTGCTTTTATTTCTAAAGATCTTCACTGATACTCACTGGAAAGTTATTCCTCAGGGACTTGCTGGGATTAAGTAGGAGAGAGAGAGAGAGAGAGAGAGAGAGAGAGAGAGAGAGAGAGAGAGAGAGAGAGAGAGAGAGAGAGAGAGAGAGAGAGAGAGAGAGAGAGAGACAGAGAGAGAGAGAGAGAGAGAGAGAGAGAGAGAGAGAGAGAGAGAGAGAGAGAGAGAGAGAGAGGGAGAGAGAGAGAGAGAGAGAGAGAGCGTGGCCAATCCCCCTTGGAATCCACTCATTGTTTCCCCTCAGCCGATGGGGGATTCTTATCAAAACGCTGCCAGGACTATCATGAAAGGATATGGTAATTATAGAGAAAACACACACACACACACACACACACACACACACACACACACACAGCTAGGGAGGCAGACATAGCAGCGGGCTAATATAACGTGTCTGCTGTAGGGGCTATTTACATACCCTTCCAGAGCGCTTGTCACGTTCAATTAATTACTTTCTGGCAGGGTGACAAAGATTATTAGAAGAATGCTGAAAATTTTCCCTCATTTGGCTCCAAAAGAAAAAAAAAACAAAACTGCTAAGTCCTCTCAAAAAGGAGCCAAGTGATCTCTGAAATCAGGCGTGATGTCTGAGTAAAAGTTAAAGGTGTTTTTTTATTTGCTTTCCCTGGAGGGATTACAGAAATGCTTCTTCTCTCCCTGCAGAAATCGAGCCAGAGAGGATGTTTGTAAGAGCGGCTGTGATCATGAGCTGCGCTTTATTCTGGCGGGGTGGAAAAGGGAAAAAAAGAGCAGAATCCTGTGGGGTAATGAGCTGCATCACAGCGTCCGTTCATAACCCCTCACATCTGATGTCTTTCAGAGAACACAGCCTATTTAACACTGTCACATCAATTAGCAGGTGAAGAAAGGGGGCCGGGAGACGTGCAGCCCTTTGTTCACACAGAAAGAAAGAGAGGGTGTGTGTGTGTGTGTGTGTGTGTGTGTGTGTGTGTGTGTGTGTGTGTGTGTGTGTGTGTGTGTGTGAGGGGGTACAGTAAGTGAATTTATCTCAGCAGTTCTAAATGCGCGCTTGTGCTTTGCTTATCGCACAAAAGAGCAGGCTGAATGTGGATTGTTGTGGTAAAACATGCAGGCTGAATCAAACACCGGGGATGTGACAGCTTTTTTTTTTTTTTTTGGGGGGGGGGGGGTTGGAGCTGTTAGAGTGGTGAATACCCCAAGGAGCCGTATGAATACAGAAAATCTACATTTCAAGTAGCGCTGAGACTCCGCCGGCTCGTTTCTCCTCTCTGCCTGATGGTGAAATACGCTGGAGCAGCCTGAGCCTAATTTTTCACTCATGGCCGAGGACTCCTGACTGCAGCCGAGCTCGATCCATTCGTCACGAGGGCTCCTTTCAGCACGGACGGTCTTCAAGGAATCCTCTCTTTTGCACCGAAATGTCATTTTCCTCACAAACGACTGGCCGTGAAATTTCCTTTCCCCCCTCTGCTGTTTGGCCCTTTGTCAGGAAACATAATGACTGGCTTCAGACGGATTAGCGTTGTCTTTAGATCCGACAAACAGAGTGCGACTGTGACAGATAGTACCTTGGTAAAAACAGGTTATTTTCTGTCATTCCTCACCGGCTTAAAGACACCGTGGCTGTGAATTTAAACAGCGAGCAGCCAGCTGATAAATTGTTCTGTTATGACAGGTGCGAGGCTCAGCCTTCATTTGTGTAGCTGTCTGCAGATGCAAACTTTTCAAAGGGGAAATGGCTTTTTTAACACCTCTCCAAATGCTCCATCACAGTGAGACATAAAGCATTTGTCAAAAAAGATAATGGAGGGGAAAAAAAGAGTTTATAAGGCTGCAGAGAGGGGATGTTCTCCTGAGAAATTTCCTCCTGCAGACTGCCAAAAAATAAAGCTGTGAGTTTCCGCCGTCATCCTAAACACTCTCTCAGAGCGTCCGGGCAGAATTACTCCTGACAGTATTAGATCAGGCTGGTGAAGACAGAAACCTGTAGCTATTCACTGTTGGGCTGTCTCATGTGTGTTTGTAGTTCAATATTCTTTGTTTAAAAGGCCAATCCAGAGGCAGACATTGCACATAGACTTCAGCTTTAAACACTGATATATATGGTGGCAAAAGTCATGATCTGAAATCAGTTGACCTGGTCCTCTCTCTTACTGAATGGTTAGACTTGATGCAGTACAAAGAGCAGTTTAATCCTCTTGGGAATTTTGATGGGATGACCTGGTGAATCCATCCAAGATTTATGAGTGCAACATGATAAAAAAAAAAAAAAAAAAACTACTATCATTTTCAAAACCTGATCAAATATTCCAAATGTTACTTTTCTGTGTGTTGTTGTTAATTCCTTTCTGTTTGTGTGGATTTTTATATTTAATTACCTAAAGAAGTGGCTTAATGTGTATCATGAAGGATTATTATAAGAGTATTGTATTGTTAAGTATCATATCATACTACATCATGTCATATCATATCAAGTAATGCAATTTCTAATCTTATCACATGGTATCATATCATAACCAAGCATATTGTATCATATCTTGTATCTTATTGTTTTCTGTTGTATTATACTGCATTACATGGTAGACTATTGTCTAGTATCACACTGTACTTAAATCCTAATGTATTGACCTGTACATTAAGTCTGGAATAGTATCACACTGCATCTTATCTTATCTAGTTGTAAGGTATCATATGATATCATGTCATTGTTTTATTAGACAGCCTATCAAACTGTATCCTATTGTGCCATAATGTATCATTTCATATCGTATCATATCATGCTATATCATATCATATCGTATCGTATCATATCTTATCGTATTGTATCATATCATATCGTATCATATCGTATCGTATTGTATATCATATCATATCATATCATATTATATCGTACAGTGTCGTGTCAGATGGTTTCATAGAGTAGTCCTGTATCTTATTGTATAGTATGGTTATTGAATCTCACGGTATGGTATTGTATCCTATCATATTGTGTTGTCCTGTAACACATCAGGTCACATAGTATCATATTGTTCATATTGTTGATGCCTGTAACTAACCGAACTGTAACGCTTTTGTATTGTTCATTGTTGTGGTGCATTATAAACTAATGTCATGTAAACTGTCCAGCAGGTTTTGTTCTCAAACCTATATGTCTTAAAGGTAATTTATCAAAGCTTTGATAAAGGTTTTTCTTTTTTCCTTCATCCATCATGATGGTGAAGTTTTAAAGCAAAGTCTACTGTCTTTGATAGGGCGTGTACTTTTAAACAATCCAAGGATAAAATATTGAACAGAGAGCATTAAATAAAGGGATGAAGCTACATCCTGTGTTGACAATGGAGTTAAGCAAATCAAAAGAGTATCTTATCTGATCCACTGGATTGGTTTTGATACTGATCTGATGAACTGGAACAGGTAATGATCATGTGATGAGCTTCATGGTGAATACAGTTTCTTTGTTTACATTATGTCGAAACACTTTGCATAATCAAATTGGATCATAACTTTTTTCAAGCTAAAGAGGAAATGTCAATACTTCTTTTCTGATCAGTCATTTAGACTCTAACGCGTTGAAAGATTTCATCTTTTTTAGGGTTTCAACAGTGACAGTGCAGCTGGAGAAATCCCTGGAATCGTGCATCCATGTTTCAGGATTTTTGGCAAATAACTTTACAGTGACTTCACCGAGCCTCAGCCAATATTTCCCAGCCTTCGGGCCTGAGAGCGTCCACACATCAGTGAGTTTCCATGCTGTCTCAGCCCTACAGGAAATGCCTGGACTGCAGTGCCTCGTTGCCTGCACAGCCTTCCCCGCACCCTCCAATGCTGCTCCCTTAAGACATCAGTTTAAGAAGAATGGCTAACGCTGACTCAATGCAAACCACAAACAATGAAAGCTCTGACTCAGATCTTGATTGGCAGAAGCGTGCAGCACCTCTGTCTTTCCTACACTCTTGACACAGGAGGAAAACAAACCATGTGAACCAGTCGAGCCGCAGCAGCAGAGTGCCTTTACTCGCCCCGGGGAATGTGAGCAAACACAACACTGTTGCTACAGTGATGCTAATGGAAAACACTGCCAATCAGGTCAATCGCACAGATATCTATTTTTTCTCCATGAGTCTGATTCACGCTGCAGACTGCTTACAAGGTCCATTCATTTCGCTTCAGCCTGAGCAGACAGAGGTGAAAATACGGCACAATAATCCACCTTTACTATTCATGTGACTCACTGAGCCGGCACAATCCATTCACGCTCAAACACACACACACACACACACACACACACACACACACACACACACACACACACACACACACACACACACACACACACACACACACACACACAAAGAGCCTCAGGTGTCGCAGCAAATGGGCGTTCTTAAAAAACACACAATCAACAGGCTCTTACCTGCAATTTGGCGGCGGGTCCAAGGTTATCTCTGCGAGCTCCTTCTGGATCCTGAAACAAGATGAAGATCAGTGTTACCACCAAATGCAGACAATTCTATAAATCCTGCCTGTGAAATCAATCTCAAAGCACACACTGAATACACCATTGATTTGCTAATGAGCCTCTGAGCGCTGCCACTGGATACAGGAATAAGTGCTGTCACGCAAGATCAACACAAGATTACACACAGCTGAGGATCCGCCATTATTTTAAACCACATGAGCATGAAGTGATACTGATGTCAACAGGACATGTCTGATACAGAGGAATCCAATCTGATATTTGAGGGCTAATGAGTTCTCCTGCTCACCACAGGCCTGTCTTTGCCCTCACGCTTACAGGAGACTGTCAGGAGCATTTTCACACTGAGTGCTTGAAAAAGTTTGATGAAAAGACCAGAGAGGTCAAGTTTCTTTTTGGTGAAGCCTTTATTACATAACAGAGCCAGCGCTGCAACTTTTAAGGATCCAGCAGCAAGGTGTAAATACTTCTGAAATACTCAGTCAGCTGGAAATGCAGCCGTTACTCTCTCCATGCAGATGAAACCACCTCTGGCTCTGAGGTGGTCTGCTTTGGTTTAGTATTGCAAATCCTGAGCGTGCTTGAATTCCCACAACCAACTCTGTGATTCCACTTTTGTCGGTGGAAATGAAAATATGTATGACCAACCACAAACGTTACTGCTTAAAAAGGTTTGGATTTAATGCTCACGATACTTATACCTCTCCAAAACGAGCCCTCAGACCATTAGGAAGAAGAGCTTTAATAACCAAAAATATGTATTTTCTCCTCGGTTTGTTAGTGCACTTTTTCTGGGGGGCTGAATACAGAAAATTTTCTCGATCAGAAATACACACACACAAAACCAGAACTCTGTCTTATTAAATTTCCCTTTTTGGCTGATTCTTCGGTGTATTTCTGAGTTATTCTAAAAATATTCACTTTTAACAAATCTGGCAGCAGATTTATGTGCCTCACTTTTGAGAGCAACTGTGCAAGACAACCAATATCTTAGGACTCCTGCTGTAGCGAGATGATAACAGGACTAGATGAGAATTTCAAGCAAAACTGTAACCTCCTGATTATGATCAGAAAAGTCCACCAAATCTGTCTCATGATGTAGTTGTTGCAGACTTATGATTCACTTATTCTACCTGGCAAAGTTTTCACTTCAGTTTTGTTTAATTTTTTTTCAGAAAAGCTCCTCGCTGAACTTTTTGACAGCTGAAGAAATCTCGGCACTCCTGGAGCCCTCACAGCAAACCATCCATTCTGGCTACAGTTTTTGTCTTTGCTGCTCAATGGTGTTTCGTAAACAGCTTCTAATGATGTGTTTTCTACATATAACAACCCAATTCATTATATTGGCTGGTAAAAATATGTGGGCTGGTGAGTTTTCCGTAAACCTGCCAACTCAGTGAGTGAGTCCAAAAGTTTGTTGCTGACCCTGAGTATTCAGCAGTCTCTCGCTGTAGGTTTAGATAATGCCAAAGTAACCTAACCTAATGTGACAAAACTGCTGTTGAACAGACACACTCAATCTGTGCTGCTAGAATATCAGTACACATGCAGGGATCAGCTGACCACAGGCAAAATGGGATTTTAGCAGTGCTTTCATTCTCATTTGAAATAAGAACCTTGAGGAAATTTCAAAACTCAAATTTATATTATACGCAAAGTGCAGTTGTACTTGTTCAATCTGAACTTATACAAAGTTTTTCATTTTTGTAAGAGCTCCTAAAGAGTGAGTAATTTTTTACTCAACAATACTTTATTAGTTTTATACAGATGAATACAGTGCAGTGAGCTCTTGAAAGAGCACAAGATACAAAGGAAACATTAATCACAAACACTTTCTTTCCCTCAAGACCCTGCCTACTGCTGGATATTCCTATTACTGTGCTTAAACAACAAATTCTGGAGCTAAAAAAAAAACAAGTGCTGGAATTCGGGTGTTATATATCTTGAAATATAAGACATTGAGAAATTAAAAGTAAAAAGAAAATAATTTAAATGAACTACTGTACATTAAGAGAATAAAAATGTAGACAAGTCGCCGAAAACTGAAAAAGGCCATAAATGTGATAAGAATTTAAATTTTATGATTTAAAAAAATCACAGATCCAAATTTTAAAAAGAAAACAAGAAGAGGAGAGTGCTGATTCAAAATGATGAGAGTTTCTGAATGCCAGCCCAAATCTTTTTGAATTTTTCGTCATTACCTGCGACCGAGTAACGAATATTCTCAAGGTCTAAACAAGGTGTGAGGTCTTTCAGGCACTGACTGTGAGTGGGAAAGGCAGCATCCCTCCATCTAAAAGAGTGAGTAATTTGAATGATGCAACCACAGCTGCGGGCCTTGTCACATGTGTGAATTCTCCTTTTCTTAAATCCTCCTTTATTCATCAGGAGACTGTCTGTGTTTGAACTCTGAAGTCATGCTTTGGTCCCAGCTCAGGTTTCAGCGGAGGTGACTGTTGCAGTAGTTGAAAACACAGTATAAAGATGAAATACACCAGAATGTATTAAATATTCACGGCAGGAAAAGATGAAAGAAAAATTAATAACCGACAACAGTTATTGATCATACTGTCTGTTCTTTACCTTGTTTGTTATCTGGGACATAAAAATAATCTGCTGCAGCGACAGAGAGGGAGAGGAGTATAAGCAGTCGATGTTGACATGATTTATTGTTTCTGCGCTGACGACACTGTAATAAATGGATGTGCAAGACTTACACTGCAAAGCCCTGCAACATTTCACTTTATCTGCTGATGTTTAAAGGAGATGTTCTCTGTCCAACATGTTTAAAAAAGAGAAAATCTGTGCTTGATGACTGCTCAAGGACTATTAGACACACTTTGAAGAAAATGAGCTGCTTTTTTAGGGAAGACCTGACTGAAACAATTTTATTTTTAATGCTGTATCAGTGTTTTTTAGTTTCATGTTTGAGAAACTCAAGGAACATTGGGTAAGACACACCTGATGCAAAGACTGCAGGAGACAGCTTATTTTGGTTCCTGATTCATTACCATGGCAACAAAAGAACACTAAAAAAGATCTGAGTTAAAGATGATGTTTATTAAAAGTGAATTATTTCCTCTGATTCATTGTTTATCATCCAAAAGGAGGAGGAGCTGGAGTGAATCTCTGCTGTCTATCAGAATTTTCTAGATTTCGCTCAAACCCGTTCCATAGATGTGAGTCACAGTTAGGTAAGGAATCAAGAACCGGTTCTTGTTGAGAACCGCTTCCAAATGGTTCAATCCATCCACATCGTTTACATTTTATCTTAACGATTCCTTTGAAAAATGGTCTCGCGAGAGCCAGTCTACGCGAATGAGAACAGAGACAGAGAAGAAAACATGGCGGACGATACGAAAAGAAACGATCTAAGAGCATGGCTTCATTTTACTGAGAAAGACAACAACTGTGTAAAGTTTGTCAAGCAGTGATAACATGCAAAGGTGGACACACCAGCATGCTTAAACATGCTTCAACGGGGCACGGCATCAAATATAAGGAGTCACATGCATTCGATTTTGAGTTAAAATTTTGAATGAAAACCTAGAGTCTGCTTTTTCTTTAAATCAAAGAAAGGCATTGATAAGGGAATCGTTAAAGAATTGAATCGAAAATCGATAATGGCATCGATATCAATAAAAGTCTTATCAAGTCCCATCCCTCGTCACAGTGCTGTGAAGTTCCTTTTTTATCGTTCATGGACACAAATCGGACAAAGACCAGGTGACACTGCTGTCTCTTGAATCTTAAGAACTATTAGAAACACTGTCAGAGAGTAACAGCTACAAGATCCACATGATGAACGTTTTGGTTCTGTTGGTGAAGGTAAAACCAAAGTTGAGACTCAGCATATGTCTTGTCTTTGTTTTGGGTGTAGCAACACGTCATTTGTATGACAGCATTTTGTTTTATGAGAAGGAGGATTTTCATAGCTCTGAGTAATAACTTCAAATATCCTCTCACTGTGTTTGTGATTCTGAGACAGCCAAAGAGGCTTTTGAAGCACTTAGTTTTTCTGAACCGTTTTTTTTCTTTTCCCCCTGTGAAAGATGATTCAATTAAAGCCTGTTTTATAAATGTGTAAAAATGATTGATGCTTCCACAAAGAGAGTGAAGTAAAGGCCTGGGTTTCTTCAATGGTATTCACAAGTGTTTTCATGATGAAGATTAGATTCGTGTCCCCGAGCCAAGATGGGGAAAATATTGATGACAAAAATACAATGAGGACTTTCATTTAGAGAAAAAAAACATCAGTATCAGAGATGGTTTTCTGCTTTTTTCATCATCAGAGTCGATATTGGCGCAGGTCTGCCTCTAATGTAATCCAAACCTCTCTCTCTGAAGTCTCAGAGAAATAAAACGTAGAAAACTGAAACAAGCAGCCTAAAGAGGAATAATAATAGTCCCCTGTCATTGGCAGAATGAGCTTCCACTGTGTGAGTGGGAGGTTGGCGGTGGCATAATGTTTCTCTGTGTTTGAAATATTCGTTTTCTGGTGCACTAACAAAAACAAACTTTTAAGTTCAAACTCCCTCATGAGAGCTCTGTGAGCGCTCTGGGAAACTGAAACTAGACTCAGCAGCTGAACACCATGCCGGCTACTACAACTCTTCTTCATCATCATCATAAAAGACATCCTGAGATGAAGAGTACATCACAGGTTGATGATACATAACATGGTGGGATTATCCAAGAGGGGATTTTCCTTTTAACTCTCCTCTGAGGGGGAAATGACTGCACACTCTGCTCACTCGGGGAAGCAGGGGAAAAAAACAGCATATTTGCGGAGGAGCCTGAAATACAATCTGCACGGTTACAGAGTCATCCTCAGCTTGAGTGCGTGCTGTGTAATTTTATCTGCAGTATTTCCTGAGGTGGCACATTTTGTCTGCTGAGGCTGGGGACCTGTTAGAGAGAGAGAGAGAGCGGGGCAATGAAGAAGGCTCGGGGAATCCAAAGAGAAGCAGCTGGGATGATTCTTGAGCTCCTCTCGCTCTCTCTTTAACCAAACACTTGCTTTCTGAAATGCTCCGCAGCTCATTTCATTTGATCATCCCCCGAGACAGAGCACAAACTAAACTATTACATTCTGCATGCCTCGACAAATGCTAATAAGTCAATATCATCCGAGCTGAGTTTTTATGATGGAGAACAGCACCTCTGGCATCTGTGTGTGCAGCGCTCAGTGATTTATTACAGGATCCAGCACTGAGAGCAACTAAATAACACTGAGCCTGTCAACCTTCCTATAAAGTGGTAACCCTCAAGGTCCTTGTTTTTATGTTGCACCCATCTCTGCTGATAAGATAGCAGGGTGGTGTTTATATCCAACAGTCTGGGCTGGCTCTAATCAGTGGATCAGATCAGTCTTCCCTCACATGCAGAGACTTTTATAGAATTATTCCTAGAAATGACCATTCGAAAGATTATTGAGCAGGTGTGATTGAGTGAGCAACTTCTGCTCATTTTAGTACGCAAAAGGCAGAGTAATACAGGAAATGAATCACAAACTAGAGAGGACAGTAGTCTCTTTATTTTCTTTCTTTTGCTGTTAACTCTAAACTTCTGAATTACCTGTGTCAGTGCCGTGAAACATCAGGGTAAACAGCCAAAAAATAAATAAACAAAAAAAAAAAAAAGCCAAATTCACAGAGTTCCCTTATCTGAAAAGTTGCAGTAAAATACTCTAGATCTGATTGTGCAGTGATCATGACTGCGTGTAAATATCCGCAAGCCAAAGCAGCCACATGATCGAGTCACCAGAAAAGAGCACAAATGAGGAACTGTTGGTTATTCAGCGGTGAAGGTGTCTGAGCAGAAAATCAAGCCCCCTCCATGAAAATCAAACCTGTTAGTGACGACTGTTTTCATCATTGATTATTTCTACTAATACTTGTTTTTTCACTGAATTGATTAACTGCTTAAGTAAACAACCCCACTATAAATCTGAACAGAGCCCAGCACACATAAGTGTTGAACAGAGAACAGATAAAAGCAGCACTTTCTCTTATGTATGAAGCTGAAACTAAAGAACGACGAGTGTTTCCTCTGAATCAATGATTTCAGGGATTTATCAAAGCTGAATTGTTATTTTATGCTGCTTAGGTAACAACTTATCAACCAGTCATCTCAGTCCGCACCGCTTTGATTGACTGATGATCTCTTCGAAATCCACAGCAGCGCTCAGGAGTGAGTGTGTAGCACCAAAGATGGAGGAGTAAATCCGCTGAATGAGTAAATAATAGATGACCACTTGAGCAGCTCCATCAGGACACAAAGTAAAAGCAGGTTTACCTCTTGGCGCTGGTGGAGAGCTTGGCGGCCGTCTTGCTGGAGATTTTAGCCTCCTTCTTTTTGGGCTGAGTCTGATCCCGCTGCTCGGGGCCCGGCTGCTCCGGTGGAGCTGCCTCCCTCTGCTCGGCGTCCGAGCTGCCCCCACTCGTGTTGGGGCTGTCGTCCGGCCTCGGCTGCACCTCACTGGACATGCTGACACTGCACACACAGACAGAAAAATACTGTTTTCTTCATACAAACAAGGCACACAAAAAATACCTAAAATTCAGATGTTGCTTAAAGATTTCTACAAAGAGCTGCCAGCAGAACCAGGCAGGAAAAAACACAGTCTCTCAGTTACGAGTATGCCACCCCATGATTGGATTTCCCTTTGGAGATCGATAAAGTTCTTATTTTCTTATGATTGTAAAAAAAAAGATAATTAAGATTGAACCATATTGTGCTGCCTGCTGGGTCTCACTTGGTTTATCCGACCACTTTATGGTAAATGAAGCAGACAGAGCCCTCAAACTGCTCTCACCTTCACTTCACCTATAGGTCACTTCATGGGTCATCAAAGTTTGGGAGAACGAGGAAGTTTCACAAGGAAGTTGTGCAACAGCAGTGCAAACTATCGTACAGCACACAGTTGGAGAGTGGAGAGCAGGGAGAGGAGTAGGAGAGAGGAGAAAGGAGAGCAGGGAGAGGAGTAGGAGGAGGAGAGCAGGGAGAGTAGTATGAGGAGGAGAGAGGAGAGCAGGGAAAGGAGCAGGAGTAGGAGAGCAGGGAGAGGAGAAGGAGAGAGGAGAGCTGGGAGGGGAGTAGGAGAGAGGAGAGCAGGGAGAGGAGTATGAGGAGGAGAGAGGAGAGCCGGGAGAGGAGAAGGAAAGAGGAGAGCGGGGAGAGGAGTAGGAGAGAGGAGTAGGAAAGAGGAGAGCAGGGAGAAGTGCAGGAGTAGGAGAGCAGGGAGAGGAGTAGGAGAGAGGAGAGCAGGGAGAAGTGCAGGAGTAGGAGAGCAGGGAGAGGAGTAGGAGAGAGGAGAGCAAGGAGAAGTGCAGGAGTAGGAGAGCAGGGAGAGGAGTAGGAGAGAGGAGAGCAGGGAGAGGAGCAGCAGGAGGCAGGTGTGTCTGAAAAGCCAAGGGACGGCATAAACAGGACAAGTGTTCTGATCTAGGCTGTTAAAAAAAGATTGACAGTTATTTTTTCCTGTTCATGTTCATTTTGTGTTTTTTATTTTTTATTAGAAAGAGCTGAGAGTGTTTCAGTTTAGGAGCTTTAAAGTTCTGTGAAAGCCTGTGATGCAGATGTCCATTCATGAGTAATCATGTTTAATAATCCTGATCTCAATATCAATAATCATCATGATTATCCACACACACACACACACACACACACACACACACACACACACACACACACACACACACACACACACACACACACACACACACACACATGATTTGTGTGTTTGGTTTGTTTTCATACCAACAACATCATTAAATTCCCTGTACAGACAGCCCATGTAAAAACGCCGCCCGCTCCCTCGCCCGCTGCAGCACCATGTTGTGTTAAACGCATGGAGCCACATTATGCTTTGTTTATGGGAGCGCTCCGGGCGAGAGTGATTCTCAGGGAGGGTTGTTGAATGTATAAAGCGTGTAATTGGTGCAGACGTTGACTCTGCAGGCTTGGGAAGATAACTGCTCCACTCTGAGTAAATACAGACATATATTCACACTGTACGGGAAGGTGAACAAAGAGGCCCACAGTCTGTGCTGGTCTGGAGAGGCTCAAATTAAACTCCCAATACAAAAGAGGAGAAAAAAATCACAAGACTCAGTTCGAAGTGAGCCAAAATGTGAAATTTGTGAAAAAACTATCATTTGAGCCTCGTAAATGTTCAGCATGTTTCTATCTTCATGTTTCAATGTCTTATTTTAGCAAGGTGAAGTTTTTGTTTTTGACGTGTCATTCAATAGAGGCGATTTATAAGCAAAAATATCAACATTACTCTTCTTTTAGCTTTGTCTATTCTTCAGAAAATCTCTCTTCTCACAGCTTTCCACTTTGCTAATCTCTCTAATCTCTCTTTTTATTCCACTGCCTTTTTAATTTCCGACACCACTGCTGAAGGGTGGCAGAAACATGGAAACATGTTTGTTTTCAATGAGTACACAAACAGATACTTCCCAAAACCATCTTAACTATCTGTAATGAACACTCCTTTTTTGTGCTATTCACCAGACTGAAAACATGTTCTCTCTCCTCAGGATCCTGTTAAAATGAAGGAGTAAGGAAATCTAGGTGTCTCAGACTCTGTGAGATTGGCTGATTGAGTAGGACTGTTACAGATTCATGATGCTGAATTAAATCGTGGCCTCCAGGGAGACAAGACAGACTAAACTTACGATCTACTTCCAGACAAGTTAAAAAAAATGCTCTCAAAGCTGGTCTAAAGTACCTCAACACCACATTTTACTACAAAGCATCAATTAGAGAGTTATCAGATTAATATATAGAGTAAATAATAGTTATGTGTAACCCTCCTGTGGTCAGCTCAGCTCTAAAGTGGTTATCCTGTCCTGTCTCGACCTGCAGTGCTCTGTTTCCTGAGCTGCAGAGGGTAAATCGGGAAAATCCAGGCTCACATCTTTTAGCTCTCATCGTCAGAATCAGCCGAGCTGAACGTCTGCCGGTCTGAAGCCTTCAGTCTCAATAATGAAACGACACCTACAAGGTCATGTTCACTAAATCCAATCCCTCCATCCATCTCTCCATCTGTGAGTGAGTGAGTGTGTGTGTGTGTGTATGTGTGTGTGAGCCTCAAGGTGAATGCCTCCATTTACATTCCGGGCTCCTCTCTGAAAAATGAATGATATAGTTGAGTAAGTGTATAGATATTTTTGCAGTGCACCGTCGAGCTGAAATGATGGTCTGATTGGACAGAAGTACACACAGATTGTTCGATAAACACGACAGCAGCTTTGGCACGCTGACTCCCCTCCTGACATTTGACAAACAGTCCTCTGCAAACAGGCTAGCTGATGCAATTAACCACATTTAGTAGTGAGATAATGTAGGGTATTACAGGGGTAAGATTGACACAAATGGAGCATCAATTCAAAGGTTAAAACATGCACATTGAAGATGTGAGGAAAAGCTTTGACAGAGTGGTGAATGATGTGTTTTCAGAGCACAAACACTGGAGGACAAAGTTGCAAACTGGGTGTTGGGTGTTTTTCCCCCTTTCAGGTGTGAACCTGTCAAAACAGCTTTACCACCACTATCAGCACAGACAAATCTCCTCAAACTGTGTGTTACTGAGCTGGCTCACAGAAAATCACCCCACAGGGGGAACCTACAGTCACAATACGTTATTTTCCTGCAGCATGTCGGCTTTATATCACACATTTCACAGGCAGCCAGATAACCGGGATTCTAGCAGTTCAGAGAACAGGTTGTAACACTGTAATTGACTTTCTTCTGAATGTAAGCCTATTTCTGAAAGAAATGCAAAGCTTTGAAATGACAAATGTTCTGTCAGAATGCTTTTCCCACTAGTTCTAGACCTTCATATTTAAGCAACTCTAAGCATCTTCTGGTTAAACAAATACATATGACTGTCAGTATTTTGCAAGCTTTGACCAACTTTCTTTCTCCAAAAATCCTGTTCGTTGTTGTTTGACCTGAAATCATGTGAGTTTAGGGGGCTAAACGATTTGGGATCATAATTGATAAGCAGGTTGTTTTACACAGCGCTCACATCACTACACTGGCACCTCATAGAAAACTGTCATTTGACACTAATTTGATCTTCCTCCTTCTTAAACATCGACAGTTGGAGTTCACTTAATAGCCTTCAAAGTAAGTGCTAAATAATTGCTTCTTGTTGGTCGGTTCTCAACAGAACTGGTTTGATATTTCTTAACAGCAAACAGTTGACCAGGTGACAGATTAGACTCAGAAATACTTCAGTTATTACACTTGCTCTACAAAAGTATGAATATAAAGGAACATTAATAGAACTGTGAATTAATAGAAAGTGCAGAGTGTAACAAGCTTTGTGCAGAAAGTGCAGGGAATTGAACAAGCATTAAGAAGAGACGTTTGCAGTTTGCAGCATTGAACAGTAGGAATACAACATGAGGTGTTAGACAGACAGCTCTATGAAAGACACTGTTGACCAGCCTTTTCACAGTATTGCACTTTATGGTTGTTAAGCAGGTGGTTCACTGGTTTACAGTCATACTGCACTGTTGAAATAGATTCTATCTAATGGAGTCGTTTACAGTTTGTAAGAAATCCAGGGCCAGACAGTGTGTGTGACACTCTGAAGAAGTGGCCGCACAGCTTGATGGCCACAGGCATGACTGACTTCCTGTGGCGTTCTTTTATGTAAGGAGCTCCTCCATGTAGGAGGTGTGCCTGCCTCTTGTGTGTTTATCAATTTAACTGTCAAAGGAGATGCTGTGTCTTATACACCTTTCTCATCCACAGGACAGTGGAAAAACATCTAGGCTTCTTGACCAAGATGTTCATCCTAATCCAGAGTCTGGTGTTTTAGTTGGATACAGTCATGTGGCGAGTAATTACGCTGAAGAGTGTCTGGATTTGGACTCTTGTAGATCTGTCTAACAATGAGGTGCCAAAATCTTCTGAAGAAATCCTCCTAGAGTTTGGTCTTCTTTGTCTCAGTATGTTGCCATCTCACCTGCTCCTTGGTGTCAGCATGATATTGAGACTCCCTTATGAAGTGTCAAATCTTACTCTGTGGTGTGTTCCCCATGTTTTACAGTATTAGGCAGTTTGAGGAAAAGATGCAATCCCTACTTTTCATAAATTCAAATGAAGCAAGATGCAGAAAATATGAAGAAAGTTGTGGGAGGTATTTAAGTTCAATTAAAACCCATTTCAGCAATGACTGATTCACTTCAAAAGTGGTTCATGTAACTTTGTAAGACACATGAGAATGGAAAACATGGATAATTTGAATAAAGAAATATCAAATCTTGATTTTTACGGATTATCAATGCTGTATTCAGAGTCTATGTAGATGTTTTCTGTCACTCCATCAGAGCCTTTTTGTGTATTTGTTCTATGTCTTTATCCTCCGTTTACATTCATTAATGTAACCTGTTATTTATTCATGAGCCGTAATTTAAGTCTCAGATTGATTCAATGCTGATTGTTTTGAATGTTTAAACTTGAAGACTTACTGTATAAATCACTTCATGTTTATTTTTTTGGATGTAAGTGCAGTAAGTGAACGCCGAATTAAACTGTGATTAATTCTGGGTTGAAAAGCTACTTAACGCCATCAGTTTGTGATACGATCTCTTATTTCAAATGGGATTAGTTTGAACAATATCAGTATTTTAGACGGGGTTCAGGGGAACGTTATCTTAACTCGGTAATAACCGAAGGGACGAACGTTGAGGGGCACCCCGGGCACTCACCGCCCCGGATCCCCGGTTTACCACCTCTCAGCGGGGGGTTAACGCCAGGACAGCCTCGGTTTCCTGATGTAGATAGACGGGAATGGAGCCCAATAAATCAATGATAAGATAGGAAGACTATCCTCAACCGGAGCTTTCACACTGACCACCGGTAATTGTGCTCCAGCACAAAAGACAGAATGGATGCCCCCCTCTATTCCCCAACCACCACCGCCCCCTCCCTCCACAAGATAACGTAATTAACCCGCATTATTCACACAAAGTTGCACATTTTTAGAGGACTAAGGTTGTCTCACCTTTAAATGCAGGCTGGACGCTCGGCGGGGGGAGAAATGTGGTATAATGTCCACCGTTTAGTCCGTAATCCGTCTGACTGGCTGTCCGCTGCTGTCCGTCCGCTGTTTGACTGCTGCTGGAGAATCTACCTAACTGTGACCGCTAGGCTAACGGCAGCTACATGAGGCGTTTCCGGTTTGGGCTTTCATAACAAAAGCAAAAACGTTCCCTTTTTTTAATTTTCATTTTTTGAAAGAAATTTTGTTCATCAATCCACTGAAACTTTATCACTAAATTTGTTTACAGACATTTCAGAGAGACACAGTATAAACTGAGTTGTTTTATTTTTGGTGAAGCTGTGTTGCTTAGGATTACATTAATTCCAGTATTTGAAGTGGTTTGGACAAACAGTCAAGAATATATTAGAAAAATGTATGATGTGTAAAATGTATAAAAATGTATGAGGAATGTAAATATATTAGAAACATGTGTTTACACATGAACTGGTGCGCAAGTTACACATTTGTATGCACAACTAAAGTCTGTAATCTTGAAAACACAATGATGTTGTTGGAAGTACTGACTGTCTGGGTACACAAGATATTTAAGCTGCAAAAAAAGTATTTAATTCACACAAGACTGTGACATGATTAACTTTTCTCCCCACATGATTAGCATTTTAAAGGTGCTTTTTATGCATGCAAATGTATACCGTGTGCACATGGTAAAGCAATGTATGGACCTCTGTACTTTATATTATTATCTACAAATGTATTTCTCAACATAAAGAATAGAAATTGTAAATTTACATGACAAGTAATCTGGTTTTAATATTAAAATCAGCTCTCATTTTACCTCAGATTGACACAAAAAACCTAAACAGCCTTCAACGATTTTATTTATATATGAATTTATATTTGATAATCACAGAAAAAAAACACCCATTTGTCAAAATCTAAAACCCTAGACTTTTTTTCATTACACAGTTGATACCTTTTATGTTCAATTAGAGCTCCCTCAGTTCCGATTGTGTCTTTTGTTCACCTCAGCTTGACAGACCAGACCGCCTCCATGCGCGCTCCCACACGAGTACGCGCAAACCCAGAGCTCTCTGAAGCATTACGACAGGCTGTGATGATAGTGTGGACTACAAAGGAGGTGCAATCGAGAGAAATACAGATAGCTGACTGTCCATATGGTTTAAGGATGTGCAATAGGGTCAGTTTCCCTGAGGTTATTAGGGGATGATACAGGGGTGCGTCTGGAGGGGTGCCGAGGGTGGCATGACCCCCCTTTGAAAATCCTACTGGCCACCCAAAGCCACACCAAAACCTTGAACTATGATGGCTGTTTGCCTCGTCAGTGGCAGGACTTCTGTTGGAATTCACTCTTTTGGGATGTGCTGCTACAGGCTACAAACCACCTTTTGTGCATTAAAGTGCAGCCTGTTCCTTCTGTTATTATACTTATATAAGTTAGGGAATTTGATTTACATAGAGGTACAAAGAAATAATCAGTTTGTAAAGATTGTGAATACAGTACATTTTTACTATAGAAAATATCGATTGACATACACGTTGACATATTCTAAAACTGTTACTTAGCCTCTCTGTTGTGTTACTTTTTCAATTCAATAAAATAATACACAAACCGGTGTGTAAAATATTTCTGAAATCTAGAATACATGTCAGTAGTTTAAAACAAAGAAACCATCGTGTTTCTTGTATAAAGTAATTAACCGAAATATGTAATAGAGGCGTCTCTACAAGCGGAACCATGCTTCCTTGTCGATGTTTCTCCTCACCAAAGAGAGTGACGGACGTTAGCCGCTCAACATGCGCCATTGAAAACAAACGTAGCCGGAACGGTGGTTAGGCTACAGTTAGAAGTCCGGTGGTTAGGAGCCAAATCTAATCTACAGTAATAATTATACAGATTTAAAAACTATGGAGACTATTTTGGAGCAGCAGCGTCGCTATCATGAAGAAAAGGAGCGGCTGATGGACGCTAAAACCAAAGAAATGCTCCATAAAAAGTCCACGGTAGGCTGTTCGCTTTGTGCTAGCTTTAGCATGAATGCCAATCGACGCTGCAAACACGATAGTTAATGTATTTATTTTCTCTAATATCATTTTATTCTGACAGCTGCGGGAACAGATCAACTCTGACCATCGGACCAGAGCGATGCTGGACGTAAGTCAGAGTTTTATTGATAAATCACTGTGGGTGCCAACGGGAGTCTTAATGTTTCACTGTTAATACTCGGTCTGAAGAATAATAACCAAAGTTAGAAAAAAAACTTTATATACAGGCTCAGAATTACTGCAAATAACGGTTTTCAAATCGTCAATACATTTTCTGTAACTCGGGAAAAAGCTGTTTTAAAGGGATATTCAAATTAATATTAAAATGAATTGAGGGTCAAACACACCGTAATACAGAGTTAGACACCCCCAGGAGAAATGCATGTTGTCGACTGCTTTCTTCTCTAGTTTTACCAACTTTAGTGACGACCGCAGATAGCAATACACAGCGGTCTAAGGAGCCATAAACAAACCTCGACCAAAAAGCCACTCTATAGCCACAAATAATACTTAGAATAGCACCTAACTTCACCAACAGTACATGGCTGGCTCTGTGGATTCAAGTTGGAATCAGTGGAGGATGTGGTGGAGAGATCTACACTATTCTGAAGAACATGGATCACCCACTTCATAACACCCTAATGGACCAAAAGGGCCAATGGTGGTGGACAGCTCCTCTCTCTCTTTGCTGCAGGACAGAAAGATTCAGATCTTTTGTACCCACAGCCATCAGACTTTATAACTCTTGTGTAAATAGTAGATGGCTTTTAGAGACGTGACAAATGAGACGACAGACAATTGAATTTTCCTTCGGGGATCAATAAAGTTATTCTTATTCTTATAGGGTCCCAGCCATAGCACTAGCCATCAAACATCTCTTAAACTTCGCCTAATTTCTTTAGCAAAGAGACTCCACACAACTCACCTACTCTCTTCCAGCAGCTGCTTGTTTGTAGCAAGACCTCAGGCCAATTCATTACATACTGTTGCGGGGTGACGCAGCTCAAGGAAGAACATTTATGATCGTTTCTTTATCATTTCCTTGAAGTAATAATCATCATTTTTAATCATTTTGCACTGCAGATGCAATAGTTCTTCTGCCTTAGCGTCTTGGTCTGATTGCATTTCCATAAAGAAATGATCATAAATGTTTTTCCTTGAGCTGCGTCACCCCACAGCAGCAATGGACTGGCCCGAGGTCTCGCTACAAACAAGCGGCTGCTATAAGAGAGCAGGTGAGTTGTGTTTAGTCTCTTTGCTAAAGAAATCAGGCAAAGCTAAAAAGATGTCTGGTGGCTAGTACTATGGCTGGGACCCTATGTGTACTGTTGATGAAGTTCGGTGTTGTTCTGAGTATTATTTGTGGCTGTAGAGTGGCGTTTTGGTTGAGGTTTGTTGATGGCTCCTCAGACTGCTGTGTATTGCTATCGTGCGGTTGTCACTAAAGTTGGTATAACTAGAGAGGCATGTGGTCGACAACATGTATCTCACAAGGGGTTGTCTAACTTGGTGTTATGGTGTGTTTGACCCTACATTAATTTTACACCGGAATATCCCTTTAATCCATCTGCATCAGAGACAGTAACCCCTACTACACACTAGAAAACTGATCTTTTGGGTTATTCATCGAACAGGGAAACAAAAAAAAAAGGAATTTTGAGTGCTTAATATGAGAAATTAAGGGAATTATGACTGGAAATGCATATAAAAAATCAAACAGAGTTACCCAAAGAGTTGTGAGTAAAAACAGAAACTGACTCTATTTTCTTCTGACAGAGGTATATGGAGGTGAGCGCAAACCTCCGAGACTCCTATGAAGACAAAGATGGGTGAGAAGCTGATACACCATCATTCATGTCCAGATATAGTAGAGATCCTTCCTCTCATGGGAGATGCTGAACACTCACTGAAGCTTGTGTTTTAAAAACAATCATGTTTCCTTTCTGTCTACTTTTTTGACACATTTGAAACTTGATCTTTACTCTTAAAAATCAATGTTACTTTTGTTCTGAGTATCTGCTTTTCTTTCAGAATGAGGAGAGATGAACTTGCTGCCATCTCAGGACCAAACGAGTTTGCTGAGTTTTACAACAGACTGAAACAGATAAAGGAGTTTCACAGGAAGCACCCCAATGAGGTAGATAACCCTTTTATTTTATGGTGACACTTAACTGACCCTGTGACTCTGCGCTGTAAAAATAACGCTATCATGTGTTTCCGGTAGATCTCCATCCCCATGTCTGCAGAGTTTGAGGAGCTGATGAAGGCTAGAGACAACCCGAGCGAGGAGGCTCAGAGTAAGCCCTCATCCTTTCAAAACAGTTTACAAGTGAATCAGGAATCAGCAGACTTGAAACCCCAGCTTCCATCAATGTTATTGTGACAATGATTTATTTATGTGCCTAAAAAAAATCTCAAAATCTTACCTTTGAGCTTGATTGTATATCTTTAAATTGGCTGCAGTAGTTTTTATAACAGCATAATTTGAGACTGACCTTTTCGATGGATCGTCGGTGTAAACCTGTTGTCCTTGGCAGACCTGGTGGAGTTCACCGATGAGGAAGGATACGGTCGTTACCTCGACCTCCACGACTGCTACCTGAAGTACATCAACCTGAAGGGTGCTGAGGTAATAAAACTTTGAAGCTTGAATAATTTGTGCGGAACCTCAAATCATTATATATAAATATATGTTTTAACCGCAATTGCTTTATTTCTTCCTACCAGAAACTTGAGTACATCACGTTCCTGTCTTCATTTGACCAGCTGTTTGACATCCCCAAAGACAGGAAGAACGCAGAGTATAAAAAGTAGGTCCAACTTATTAACATATCCTTGCCACTTTGAATCCTTACATCAGAAATATACACTCAACTACAAGGACAAGAAGATTAACCCCTGCTTGCAGTGACAGGATGATGGATGTGTTTAACAATACTGTATGTCAAAAACGTACAAGATTATACATGAAGTTTGCTGTCACACTTAGATGATGTATCTGTATATGCAGGTATTTGGAGATGCTTTTGGAGTACCTGCAGGACTACACAGATCGGGTTAAACCTCTGCTGGACCAAAACGAGCTCTACGGCAAAGTGCTGACAGACTTTGAGAAGAAATGGGAGACTGGGAACTTTCCTGGCTGGCCTGTAAGTTTTATGTGTGGGCTCTCTGTTGTTGAATTGATTTAGTGTTGGGCAGTATGACGGTATATACAGTGTGACGGTATAAAAGTGTCCACCAGTAGAAATTTTGCTATACCATTTTTACCAGAGAAAGAGAGTCAGTCAGTCAGTCAGTCAGTCAGTCAGTCAGTCAGTCGATGTCTGCCGCATCTCTCTGAGTCAGTGTGTCGTGGTCTGCGCTTGCTAACAGGAAAGCCAGAGCGCATCCGTTTAGGTGCATTTCCATATATTAACCAGCGTGTCGTGCGGAATTTGTTCGCTCTGTTTGATTGGTCAGGTTGGGGTGCGCTCTTTATAATCACCAGCATGTCCAGCAGACTGCTTGGCATAGTTTCGGCAAAAAAGAAACAGCTTCACCGGTGGTGGTTTTGGCGGACGTGGAGATTAGTGGAGGAGGAGGAACTCATTCCGAAAAAGGACGCGAGTCGCGACATCGGTTGTCTGGAGATTCTTTTGATTTAGAAAATCCGACAATGATCAAAAAACAATACTATGCAAAGAGTGTCGTGTGGCCGTCGTTAGTGGAGGTGAAAACACCATCAAACTCTTCCACCACCTAAAGATGAAACACGCCAAGCTCTATTATGAAAGCCAAAAGATGCGTGGTGCACCCGCTGCACCTAAAACCAAAGCTGCAGCAGCTCCTCTCATACAAAAGAGCTTGGCAGAGTCTTTCGCTGAAGGTACACCATATGATAAAAAAAATGCCAGACCAGTCTGGCATTTTTTTTTCATTTGTATACAAATCTGAGTTTAAAAAATCAAAGTAAGATGAAAGAATGCAACAGTACGGTTATTTTTAAGCCATGAACTGAATTTACAGGGAAAAAAACATACCGTGATATTTACAGTTACCGTGATTCATACTGCCCTACACTAATTTGATTTCTGTGTTTTGTGTATCATCTGACCTTTTTTTTAATTGTTTGAACTATAGAAAGAAACAAGCAGTGCTTTGACACACGCTGGAGCTCATCTGGACCTCTCTGCATTTTCTTCCTGGGAGGTAAAACACAAAACTCCACATGCTAAGATTTTAGTCAAATTAATATCAGAGGTGTTCATTTACTCAACAAAACATGTTTTTTTTTTTTTTTTGTATTCCTATGCTCAGGAGTTGGCCTCTTTGGGTCTGGACAGGTTGAAGTCTGCTCTCATGGCGCTGGGCCTGAAATGTGGAGGGTGAGTCTACTTCTATCAACATTTGACATCTAAACTTCTCTGAATTTGGGGTGGAATAATTGTCTGCAGAATGTGGAATAAAACCAAAAATGGAAGCAGTAACAACACTACTTGAGCACATTTGATTTACCTGAAGGCCAGCAGAGTGGACTTGTGGATGATTTGATGTGTGCATATGCTGACAGGACTTTGGAGGAGAGAGCTCAGAGGCTCTTCAGCACCAAAGGAAAGTCCCTGGAATCCCTGGACCCATCTCTATTTGCCAAGAATCCCAAAGCCAAAGGCCCTAAAAAGTAAGTGGCTGTTTAAATTTCCCTGTAACTATGACAGTGTCTTATGAGAGGTTTCATCACATAATCCATAACTCTTCCCATCCCTCACCGCTGCAGAGACACAGAGCGTAACAAGGAAATTGGCTTCCTGGAAGCTCAGGTCTATGAATATGTGGAGATCCTCGGGGTGAGTCTATAAATCTTCAGGTCACCTCTGCTGCTTGATTCAGAAATGAAGAGCCAATAGTTTGTGAAAGCGTGATAGCTTTAGTAACAGTGCTTTGTGTTGATGGGTCTGCAGGAACAGAGGCAGCTGACTCATGAGAATGTGCAGAGGAAACAGGCCCGCACCGGAGAGGAGCGTGAGGAAGAGGAGGAGGAGCAGCTGAGTGAGAGCGAGAGTGAAGATGAAGACAACGAGATTATCTACAACCCCAAGAACCTGCCGCTGGGCTGGGACGGCAAGGTGAGGAGACAACACTTTTTTTTAAATTGAGGTAGCTGAAGAGACCAGGATTTAGCTGCTCAATAGTTCAGGGACAAGTCAAGACTGCAGGCAGGCCAGGTGATCAGCAGGACTCTTCTTCTACAGATCCATGCTCTTATAATCCCTGTTGTCAGAATGTGGTTTGTCATTGTCTTACTGAAGTATGAAGGTCTTCAATGAAAAAGTCTTAGTCTGGATGTCAGCAGATGTTGCTCCTAAACCTGTAGATATTGTTCAGCATTAATGGAGCCTTCACAGATATTAAAGATTCCCATGACATGAACTTTAATGATCTTCATACCATCAGGGATGCTGGCTTTGGACTGGGAGTCAAACCCTTTTTTTACTAGTCTGACATGACTTTTGTCTGTTTTTTTTCCCCTCTTCAGCCGATTCCATACTGGCTTTATAAACTGCACGGGCTGAACATCAACTACAACTGTGAGATCTGTGGAAACTACACCTACAGGGGCCCTAAAGCCTTCCAGAGACACTTTGCGGTACATTCTTATTGTTTCATTTAGGACTCACTATTCAGCTTCTCCTCTGTCCTCTCATCAAAGTCCTCAAAATCCTGAAAACGTAACACCTTTATACAATTAAAGTCGGTCTTCTGCAGCTTCAGTGGGTTTTGTGTTGTTTTTGCAGGAGTGGAGGCACGCTCATGGGATGCGCTGTCTGGGAATCCCCAACACGGCTCACTTCGCCAATGTCACACAGATCGAGGACGCCGTCTCTTGTAAGAGTCTCTTAAATGAGTTAGCAATTTTTTTTTTCAAATATTTCTAGCTGTGGTTTATTCATGGTTTTCTGTTTGTTCCTCCAGTGTGGGCAAAACTGAAGTCTCAGAAGGCGTTGGAGCGATGGCAGCCCGACACAGAGGTAAGAAATAGTGTTTCTCTGTGGCTGCAAAAATGTCAAACTGCGCTATTGACAGGCAAACCACAGTGATAAAAAACGACCATTGAAACCGCTATGTTCCTGTTTTTCTTTTTTTTCTCATTAGGTTTTGTTGCTCTAGATTTACACTCTAATAAGAAACTTTGAACTTGATTTCTTTCTGTCAACAAACTGTATGGTCACCAATCAAAAGGTTTTTACTAGTCCGGTTTTAAATCCTTACAATACTAATGCAGGTTTTGTTTCTGATAGAGAAATTTTAAAAGTCAACTGTGCAAAGGTCCAGAATAATTCATCAAAACACAACATAGACACATTCAGAAAGCAGCATAGAAACTGAACAAAGATGAAGCTCCACAAACCAGATCCATTCAGTTTAAACGAATTCTTAATTCAAAGGGAGGGTCAAAGACTGGAGGAAAGAGCTCTTTAGCTAGTTTTTTAGAGTTCAGTCTGTTTTTCTACTTTTATAAAAATGTTCCTCTTGAGGAATTTAGATAATATATTTGCTTACTGGCTCACTTTGTTGTTTTTTTTAGGAGGAGTATGAAGACTCGAGTGGAAACGTGGTCAACAAGAAGACTTACGAGGATCTGAAGAGACAGGGTCTGCTGTAGAGGAGAGAGAAAAACTGTCTCACAGAAGAAGAAAGAGTCTCCTTTAAAATTTGCTATATTTTTTATCACCCATATTTCTTTTTATTTGTATGTAGTAAAGTTTTACAGACTGTGTCCCGCTCCTCCATCCCTTCCTTAGATAACTTTGTAATGTGGCAACCATTGATCATTCAAATAAACTGAGTACTTTTGACACTGAACCGTCTGTGTGTGTGTCCTAGCTGACTTGTAACGCATTTAATCTCTTTGTACTGATCGAATTTACAACAGTAATTTTATGGCAGTAATAAAATCTTGACTAGTTAAACTTGTAAAGCTCGTCTGTTATTCCCTTTATGAGAAAACCTGCAGACGCAACACAAGAAAGTTAAAACTTCAGGAAAATGTCTGTTTTTTAAAGACAATGAATTCAAAATCAATTACAGTGAGAGAAAAAAAACTGCGATCCATTCAGGGGATCATTTCAGCAGCTATTAGTATTTATTAGTAATTTCTTGATTCAACAGTATATGAAAACAGGTGGAGTTTTCTCTGAAGTCCTTTACATCTCTGATTAGGAATATATTTTCTGATTAAACATGGACTGTGAGTATGTGATCAAATAAGGGGCAAAAAGATTCTGTGCTTGTACAACAATGTTCAAATGTGTAATAAAGTTTTGTGCTTGTAAAAATATTTTGTGTCCACGTAAAAACACTTGATGCTTTTGAAGATTTTGTGCATGTGTAACAAAGTTTTGAAGCCGGGTTATAAAGGCTGGTGAGCAAAAAGGGCAACTCTGAGGGCGGAAGAACTGTGGTTAAGAGGACTATGCATGAAGCCTTCTGAAGTTATAAAAAAATGAACATTTATGATCGTTTCTTTATCATTTCCTTGAAGTAATAATCACCATATTTATCATTTTGCACTGCAGACGCACCAGTTCTTCTGCCTTAGTGTCTTGGTCTGATTGCATTTCCAAAAAGAAATTATCATAAATGTTCTTCCTTGAGCTGCGTCATCCCGCTGTAGTCTGTAATGGATTGGCCCCAGGTCTCGCTACAAACAAGCAGCTGCTGGAAGAGAGTAGGTGAGTTGTGTTTAGTCTCTTTGCTGAAGAAATTAGACAAAGTTAAAAAGATGTTTGATGGTTATTACTATGGCTGGGACCCTATATGTACTGTTGATGAAGTTAGGTGCTGTTCTGAACATTATTTGTGGTTATAGAGTGGCTTCTTGGATGAGGTTTGTTTATGGCTCCTCAGACCGCTGTGTATTGCTATTGTTCGTTACTAAAGTTTGTATGACTAGAGAAGCAGGTGGTCGACAACATTCATCTCTCAAGGGGGTGTCTAACTTGGTGTTACGGTGTGTTTGACCTTAAATTAATTTTACACCAGAATATAGCTTCAATAATTTTACATTTGATATTCAAGTGTTGAAGAATTGAATATATGATCTGTTTGGACTGTGTTATCTATCCACAGTGTTTACAATGTGAGACAAGTCTGCTTAAAAGGCCACCACTCATTGAATTTCAGAAGAGGAGCACCTTGTGTAGTTTTTGTATTGATTCACTGTCTATAAAAAGATAGTACTTGATTTGTTTTATCACAATATTAATAAAATCTTAACCACTTCACTGCCGCCTAAAGCAGCTATTTCATTAGTGAATCATGTAGTTACAGTGGTATGGTTTATATTTTATTCACATCACTAAACTACGAAGCTCCTCTGAGTCCAGGGGTCAAATTTTGCAGAAATACCTTCATGAATGTCATCCATGTTTAATCAGTAGGATAATTAAGTGGGATCTCCAAAAAGTTGTTGATTTTTGTAGTTTATTTAACACATATCTGTGTAGCAGTCAGGGTTGATGGGACTACTCTTGTAGAAATGCAGGTTTTGATGCATTTGTTTCTTCTGTCAGCCTTCAGTTTGCAAAATCAAACAGCCTGACAAAGGAAACCCGGAAACCTGGTGACAGAGAGCATGCTGGTAAGAAAGAGAGAATGAGACGAACACATGCATTTTTTTTCTTTATGATAACAGTGTTTTATTTGCTTGGTTTAGCAACTGTACATGTGTCTCCTTCCTGAGAAAACCAACAAAGGGAGGAGAGGAAGAGGCTGCTGGAGGGAGGGATGGGAAAAGGAGGGCAGAGGTTTTTAGGAGTGTCTGTCCTTGCTCTTTATTACCCTGCAGCTTTTATTCACCTTCAGTTTTGTTTATTTTACTTTTACAGACTCTGGTGCTACTGAAAACTCGCAGGACATATTCTTCAAATGAGGAATAAATTAGAGGCAAGCAAACATGACAGATGCAAAGACTAAATATGGATCTAAAATAAAAACAAGCAAATTAATTCAGCTGGATTTCATTTTTGTAATTATTAACACCAAAATGAAAAGTGCACACAGGATGCGCACAGGATGTCCTAACCTGGAGTAAAACCAGCACCTCCTCCCTCCATCTCTGACCCCCTCCCTCTTCATCCCTCCCCCCTTACTCACAAACTCAGAAACATGTTAAAAATAGAGCTTCTTTTTATATGTACTATGCATGTTAACTTAAAAAAGTGGCCTGTGTCATTAAGTTTGTTCTTCAAAAGTCGACGTTTACACTTAAGTTTTTGCAATTTCTTGTAGCCTGAGATAGAGAAGATGAAGAAAAAATGTGAAATATGACATTAATGATTTTAAAATCAGAGACCTTTGCCTCTATAAAGAAAAGGATTAGAAACATGGCAGATAAACGGTAAGAGTCAAGGCTGAAAATGAAATAATTATAATAATGTAAAAGCGTTTTTAATCCTTTTTGTCTTCATTTTCCTCTTTGTCCTGGCTCTTCAGTTCCAGTTGTTGCATCCTGCAAACATGTAGTGTTAGTTCTGTTTATGTGGCGAATATCCGTCTGCGAAACGTCTCTGCAGTCCTTCATGTGGCCCCAGAAACTTTTCTTTGAGTCGTATAAAAACTGAAACACGGTAATGGATGCTTCTTTACAATTCTCATCTCTGGGGAATACATGATCATGGAGAGGAGAGTTTTCTCTGGATACAAAAGCAAATAATGTGACAAAATTACAAAAAAAAAACACTGAAACATGAGCGTCACCAGAGAGAACATCAACAATGAGTGTTTCAGGGAAGAGGAGTGGGAGCTGATTGTTGCAGTCTGTTCAGTTTGCTGTCCATCAGTCATTTTTTTCATCCGTCCATCTCTGATAATCCATCTAGACGTCCCCTCATTTCACCTACTGCATTCAAACTAATGTGGGCGGGGCTGAGTGATCATCTTGAGCCGCGATTGGTCAATGACATCCAGCAGGTTCTTGGCGTCGACTGCAAGAGCGTGAGCTGCCATGAGCATCTGTTTCTTGTAGTCCTTTTGTAAACTGTAACACAGAGAAGCAAACGTCATCAGTGAGGTGAAATACAGACTAAGAGGAGAACAGGCCAATCACATCTGCGTCTGTATCCACCTCGTCATGACGTATTGCTGGGCCAGTTTCATCTTTGATATTAGCTCAGCCAGATCTGAATTCAGCAACTTCTGAGCCATCTCAATCTGTAAAACCACAAAAAAGGAGTCAGTTAGTCAAATTTGGAACGCTAAAGCCTTTCCATCTGAGCTGGTTTAATAACAGAGACAAATGAACTGTCTCTCTTTGAAGGTTACAGCACTTAGACAGGGCAGAAACACTGTGGAAGAATTTCTAATTACACATTTCAAAATGAAAACCCGATGAGCTGAGGTTTTTTTCTGTTTGAGCAGACAAAGAGTTTTGATGACTTGAGTTGTGATTTTTTTTTGACATGCAGCAAAAGTAAAAATTATGATTGATTTTTGTTTGTTGGGATCCAAAAATGAAATTTTTGTTTTTCAAACCAGCAGGATTCTGTTTTTTTCCCCATTATAATCTATTTTTGTTTCTTTCTGTCCTGTTAGCCAAAACAAACAGGCGAAGGGTTCAATAAACAGGCTTCATCTGCTCTCTGTTGGTCATCCTGGTTACCTGGGTAACCAGACCTTTGACAATGTTCTCTAAGTCTCCCTTCCTCCTTGAGCTTCAGCACCAGTATTATGGTGGTTTTCTGTCCAGTTAGTTGGCTAGTTCAGGAGTTTACTCCCTCTTTGTGTGTGTTTACCTCTCTGTGTGTGCTGGCTGGCAGCACAGGAAGTGTCTCATCCACTGTTGCAAGCAGAGTCCTTAGCGCCAGACCCACCTCCTAAAATAAACACGGATATATGCATATTTTTACATCAGTTTTTTTTTTCTGCAGCTCTATCCAAGTTTAAAAATGTTCAAAACAAGAGAGAAAACTGCAGCATTCAGGTATTTCTCACTGAATCAGACCACTTGAACACATCAAAATCCCCTCATTAAAGGAACAGGTATTAAACCCACCTTCACCATCGGGACGTACTCCTCTGGGGCTGCTGGCTGAATCCTATTGGACATCTCAATTACAGCTTTAACCAATCCTGTCACATTCTCATAAACTTTGTCGTTAGAGCGATCCAAGTTGGCGGTGGGAGGTGGGCTGATCTCCTGAGGCTGCAACTGGACCAATGAGCAAAGAGTTATAAATGACTAAAAATGTTGAACATGGTCTTTTTAGTTCTTTGCTCTAAAAGAGGAGAAAATAAAAGACTAAAAAAGTCTATGAAAAGTTAAATGCTCTCAAAAATGCTCCTGGCTTAAAAACAGGGACTGTAGTTGGAGTGACTCAACACTGGGAGGCAGCGTTGCACCAAGTTTACCAAGTTATTTCTGTTTACATGCACATCTACCCTCCAATTCATTAATACATTTACTTTTCTACAATGGCAGGATGATGTTCAGAGTTAGTACAGTGTGATTAAAGCTCCTGTGAGGAGTTTTCATCTGGTTATAAAACAGAGCAAACTACACCATTAGTTCAATGTTAGCTGATTCCCATAATTATGTTGTTATTTGTACCCTGTGTAGGAGGAGGGTGTCAGAAGATCGGATAAAACGACCTTTTCCTCCGCTTAGAGTCTGAATATTAAGTATGACTGTTAAAGGACGCACACACACACACGCACACGCACGCACACACGCACACACACACACACACACACACACACACACACACACACACACACACACACACACACACACACACACACACACACACACAGAAGAAAAATATATATATATATATATATGTATATATATGTATACACACACAGTACAGGTCAAAAGTTTGGACACACCTTCTCATTCAATGCTTTTTCTTTATTCTCATTACTATTTAAATTATAGATTCACATTGAAGGCTTTAAAACTATGAATGAACTCATGTGGAGTCATGTGCTTAAGAAAAAAGTGTGAAATAACTGAAAACATGTTTTATATTTTAGATTCCTCAAAGTAGCCACCCTTTGCTTTTTTGATAGCGTGGCAAACTTTTGCTGTTCTCTCAATGAGCTTCATGAGGTAGTCACCTGAAAGGGTTTTTACTTCACAGGTGTGCCTCGTCAGGGTTACTTCGTGACTGATCGAGTCAGTCACCAAGTTCTTCTGTCATCAAGAGCAAAGGGTGGCTATTTTAAAGATACTAGAATATAAAACATGTTTTCAGTTATTTTTTTAAGTACAAAATTCCATGTGTGTTCATTCATAGTTTTGATGCCTTCAGTGATAATCTACAATGTAAATAGTCATATAAAAAATATAAAGAAAAGACATTGAATGAGAAGGTGTGTCCAAACTTTTGGCCTGTACTGTATATATATATATATGTATATAGTTTTTTCATTGAAACTACACTAACACAGTCTCACTTTGATCATAGACTGACTCAAAGTTCTTCACAGGAGCTTTAAGAGACAGACAGGGTCAGCTCTCTGACGACAGACTCAGCCTGTATGGAGCTGCAGATTTCAGGCTGACTTTAACCACATGATTTGGTTCGAAACTGAACTAATGCCAAACTAATCACCTGCAGCCTGCTGAAAGGTTACATCATCTGTATGTATGCATGTCTGTATGCGCGATAAGTAATCTGCAAGCTCAACAGTTTAAGAAGTCTGCCTCACAGTGGACAAAAATCTCTAAGTTATGTTTACAAATTGTTTTCTTCTGGTGTAATGCTGCTGTTTCTGAGCTGATTCGTGAGCTGGCTCTAAGAATGATTTGATAGCATGTGGCGAAGTAAGTACAACTAAACAACTACATTAGTCTACAGATGTGTGGAAGACATACTGTATGGTGATGAGTTTTCACTGCATCAGATTTTCGTCAAAAATTTGTTTTATTCTTCTTTACCAGAGATTTATTTTTTAAAGCACTCCTGCATTTTGAGTTTTCAGAAACATCTCATTAGCCTTTAGCTTTGGCCCATGAAATAAAATTCAAGTCAAGTTAAGATCTGTTTTGTCAGGTATTAGCTTTTCTGCACAAATGTTGGTGCTTTGTTGGATCTCTGGTAAAGAAAGAGAACAAGTTTAATCCGACAGCTAGAGAAAGCATCTGTACTATCAGCTACCTAACTCTACTACGAAAACAGACACAAAGATCGTCTTACCCTCCACGGCTATGGGGAGGTGAGATTGGGTGGATGGGGGTTTAACAGGATGAGGGTGAAAGGGATCAGGGTGTGCAGAGACAGGTCAGAAAAGATCATGAAGACAGCAGGATGTTAAAGAGAATAAAGCAGGAATAAAAGGGTTAATGTGGGTGTAGGAGGGAGTGAAGGGGGAGGAGGGTGAGAGAAGAGGGACAGCACATTAGGCCAAAGCCAAACATAAGGTGACACAACATGCAACCCATCAGCAAAATCATAAGAGTCAAAGTGAACCCAAAACAGAAATGCAGAGACGGAAACATCCAAACCAGGCGTGGAGGATTAACACGGAGCTGACAGACCTCACAGGTAAGGAAGCTGACGTGTGTGCACATATTTACCTTCACTCCCTCGTTATAGCTGTCAATAGGACCGAGGCTGGCCACGTTGCCTAGGTGACCAGGTGCTCCAGGGCGGGGTGGTTTTTTGGGAGGCGCCACGTGCTCTGATGAAACACCAAAAGGGTAAGGATACAGTAAGTATTCACAGACCTGTTGATGCTCCTGGTTTGGGTGGGAGTCTCCTACATTTGAACATTTTTCTAACTCCTCTAGATTATCTCCTTTTTTCTTCTGGGTGTTCCTCTACCTCAATGTGGAATATGTTCAAAGACCCAGCAACCAACCATGCAGAGACAGCCATGTTCAAGCCCCTCTACCTGTCGTACACCTGCGTCACTCCTTGTTGGAACAGCTCACTCTGCTTCGCTCTAGGTCTAAACCAGCAGAAAGAGGCCTAAAGACGAGGACACATGCCCCAAAACTTAACTCCACCGGTGGGAGTCATTTCCATTTCCTGCTGCTATCTGCCTTGACTTCCACAGTGTGTTTTTAAAATGAATATCTACTGATTTTGATCTCATGTATGAAAGTCCTCTCACCTGGTTTCCCCACAGGCTGGTAGATATGTTGGCTTCCTCCCTGTTCAAACACAAACACACAGAATGAGCATTTGAAGAAAGTCCTTTGATCGATTCATCACATAAATTAAAGATCAATCATTGATTAATTGTGCCCATTCCTAGATCAGCTTGGTCGAACACTCAGGCGTCCAAAATCATTGAAGAATTTCAATAACCGGCAAAACCTTTTCAAGGGGAAATTTGGCAGGAAGTTCTACAAACACATGATCATTGTTTCAAAGTGTGAATTCATCTGTAACTGATAGAATGTTTGGATGTGAAAAAAGCTTTTTGCATTTTTTTTCAGGTCATATAATCCACATTTACAGTAAAATGAGGCTTTGCAGTCTTTACTTCTGGTTTTAAAGTTCCCATGAGTCCTCTGTGGTCATGTGGTCTCTGTGTAGGCAGTACCCTCTCTGGCACTCGGATAGAAATACTTTCTCTCTTTCTCCCAGCCGCTGTGTTTCCTCTCTCTGTCTCTCTCTCTCTCTCTTTCTCCGTCAGTGGACTGAATACTTTCCCTCTGCCTCTCTCACTTAACAATTTCATTTGCTGCTCATAAAAATCGGTTTTCAAAGCTGCTCTTTTCCCTCTTTTGAATCTGTTATCTTTTTCTGCTTCTTTCATCAGTGTGTGGAGCCCAACAAAACCAAAAAGACCAACCTAAAAAAAACAGCATTTCACTGACACATTAACAAACACCAACACACAAAGTGACTGACCGGTGCTTGCACTGTGCCGTCCTCTCGGTCGATGCTCCCTCTGCTGTTCCTGGACTCTGTCTTCTGCAGGGACGAGACAGTAAGACACATTCTTTAGAAAACACTTTGTGATGGCAGCTCTGATTCAAAACCTGAAAGTTTTATCCAGATCTGACTGCAGCAAGCATGAGACATTCACAGCTGATAGCTTGACATCGAAAAGAGACACAAATCTGTCTAAAAAGCAGCTCCTGCAGACACAGAAAATGCAAACTCAACATTTAACCAACAGCTCAGACCCGCAGCAGTTGAGGTTTCATCTACACTGCCTCAGAAATCATTAGTAAACAGCAAAGTTACAGAAATTGGTCCACATGCACAGCCAAAAGCAAACTTCCTCTCTCTTTCCCTGAGCAGTACCGTATTGGTGAAGCACGCCTTGAAGAGATGCATCCTGGGAGAAGAGAGGCTCAAGAAGACAGGAGGAGGAGAGCAGAGAGTAGAGGCCATCGAAGGAGGGGCAAATATGGACAGAAAGTATGAAAGGCAGAGATGAAGGTGAAGAAAAACTCAAGACATCAGAGAGAGAGAGAGGACTGACTGCGAATGTAGAAGATGGTGCAGCCGTCAAAAGAAAAGAACTGAGAAAGGCAGAAAAACTGAGTCAGAGAAGAATGAAGGGGGAGGGAAGGACAGACAGAGAAAGAGAGAAAGTTTTTCCAGAGGAGGAAAAGCTCCACTCAGCCACAGAGACAAAATCCTGGAGTGAAAAAGATCCAACTGCCTCTCCGTTCACCCCCAGTCTGCTTCTCCCTCCCACTTTTTCCATCTCTCTGCATCTCCCTCTGTTTCCCTCCTTCTCTTCTCTCTCCCTCAGATGGGTGACTCCTTGTTCGATCCACCCTCTCCTCGGCTTTTGCCAATCCCACTTCCTTTCTCCCTCCTTCTGTCCCCAACTCCTCTCTTAATCCTCATCACCAACCTCCACCCCTCTCTTTTCATTTCCTCTCACGCTCTCAGTTTTAAGATCTATAATCTCGGAGTTATTAAAAGGTTCGTTTGCCTTCATTTTGTCTTCAATACGAACAGATCGACTACGAAGGTGAAGACATCAGAACCACAGTGAACATGCTGCACTAGAAGTTCATGATATCACAAGTAGGGATGTGAAATGACTCTGTGGTTATTTCCATCATAGCAGCAGCAAGAAGACGCCACAGCAGCTTAATTATAGTGCATGCATTTTAATTATAAGATCATTAAAATACAATTTAAAAAAAAATAAAAATCCCCGCTTAACTCTGGATCTGGTCTTATTTGCAGTTTGGTCTTTTATGCTGACTGCATGGATTGTTACATACACTGGTGCATCACAACGTGCACGTGCTGTTTTGACACCAGCTTAAACTACTTTTGGGTAGTTAGTTACAAGTAATGCGTCTGAAATGATCCAGGTTTATACTTCTTGATCATCACCTGTCTGTGTTAAATACTTGATTCTGATTGGTCAAAAACCCTCCTAACAACTCCCTTCATAACATTTATGAACTCTGTGTAACAGTACTTAAAGTCACCATGAGGAACTTTCGGTTTGAGTCGGTTCTGATGCCCTTTCTTGTTCACTTCAAAGTAGTTCTTCCGACAAAACTTCATCCTGTTGTCTTTCAAGAAGTCTATCATGTAATTAATTTTATATATACATAATTATACAGGGAATATTTGCCAAAGAAAAAGTTAAGAAGTCTGTCTCTTGAGCTTGCTGTCAAATATTTAGTCTGACACCTGCCCCCTCATAGTGGTTTTCAAGCCTTAAAAAACCACAACTGAGAAACTTTCCGCCTTGTTTCTGATGGTCTCACGCAGTTTTGAAAGTCATGAAGAGGGATCAGTGTCAGTTAGACTCCCACTCACAACTGTAACATGCAAATCTGACTGTCTGTTACACTGCATTAATCAAACCAGTCTGCAGGCTTGAAGCTTTATTTCTGTCTTTTCTGGAAGAATTACAAAACGGGAAAAGTGAAGATGCAACAAACTGAATTCTCCTGATTTATTTGTGTTTGTGTAGAATTCAAAAATTATTTACAGCACACAATGTTCATAAATGGCCTTTTTCTATTGCAAGATTTAATATCAAATACATGATAAATTCTGTTAAGACCGTTACTCTCTCATATTTGGGAGGCATTAAATGCCAAATTAGAGAAATAAATGGTAATTAAATAGCCTCAAAGTTCTTGCAATGTTATTGAGTATTTAAAGTATTTGTAGTGTTTATAGTGACACCACAACATACGACACGGTCTGGATCAAGTTGCAGATTTCATAAACCAAACAGCCAAAATCCTCTCACTGTTTGATGTGTGGTGAAATCAGTGGCACTGCTCACAGTTTGCTCTATTTTCAGTCACCAGAACTGTGACAAAAACCCGATTTTCTCCACATGGGCTTTCTTGTTTGAAAGAACCGTAAATCTCTTGATAGCAGTGCAGCAAAGATATAGCAGCAGAGGAAAATAGGTATTAGGTAGGGAGAAAAGTTATCATTGGTAACTTCATCTGGTGGTGACCAAAAAACCAAGATATCAGGGTTTCAATCAGGCAGGTCCGACCAGAAAGATTTCCTGTCCCATACAACAGTTAAGATGTTTCAGTTACGGTGATTTGACCAGATTAATAACTAGAAGCTCTAAGGGATCAAAAGTATGAAAATGACTCCTTATCACTCCACTTTTCTCTCCTTAGTCTTTCAGCACTCCAACACCTGACTCATAAATTAAAAACCTTCAAACAGAGAGGAGGGATCATCTGACCCGGAGAGAGAAGAAAAACAGACTTGTTTTGCTCAAGTTTTGGATTTGGCTTCTTTTGGGGAAAGTTTAAGTGACTGATGAAAGAAATTAAGCAACACAGACCAGGTTTAAAGAGGTTCTACTAATCTGGCAAAAACAACACATGCAAAGATGTTAGACGAAGTCAGACAGGGTGTTAAAAATGTGTTATTTACTTTAATCTGCACACTTTTGTAGCTTGTTAATCCAACCAAGATTGCCTTTATAACTTTAAGATGTTTTTCCATCTCAGGTCTATTTTTGTGTTCATATTTCAGCACAGATTGGGAACACCACCATGATTTAATGAAGAATAGATTACAAAAACAGTCTTCATTCTCTGTCATCTAAATACCTGCAATAAAATAAACCATTTCTTTGTACATGTGTAACTATTTCCAACATGCACCACTAATCTCAGACTGAATTACATGGAAAACTCAACATGAGCAGGTTTCCAGGCAGCTAATGCTGATGCTAAAGCAAGAAGACCGATTAGATGTCAGGTTGCCTTGAGAGAAGATCTCTTTTGACAACAGTTTACTTAAAGTCGGAAACAGTCAAATCTATATTTGCTGGGAGCTCTTGTCCTCAGTTACTCTGGTCAGTGTTCTCTGCAGTGTCATGTTGTTTTGACACAAATGATAGAAAGATGTGGTTTAAAAAAATTCCTGGAATTTCCCTTTAAAGAGGCAAATAATGTGGCAAAGGACGGATGATAAAAACAGACGGATGTTTCTGTATTTTATTACCATGAAGCTCTCCTCCTGCTCCAACCACCGCTGGTCGTCCTCCATCTGCTGCTGCTGCATCATCAGCCTCTCCTCCATCAGAGCCTGGCCGACACACCCGCCGTCCTGCAAGGAAACAAAGATCAACTTTTATTCTTGTTTTTCTTTTATTATTGTGTTTTCTTTAATCACACCAGCAGTCAAACTCAGGGCTTTTTTTTTGAAGGGTAGAGATTCGAAAAACAGGTTCAAGACAGCAACATGATCTCCATATGCTGAGCGGTGATTTATAGAACTGATCTGACATACATAATAAAAACGATTGCCAGGATAAAGTTGCCATTTTAAACATTTCCTGACTTTGATCCTCTGCCTGAAGAAACATCTTCACCATCTGGTTTAAGAGCCAGTATCCTGTTCCTGTATGCTCATTTGAAATGAAAAGCTTGTATGGAAAATAAAACCTTCTGTATGTTATCTTTCAAAGCCGGATCACCATTTTCTGCTATATTAACTTCCATATCCACATGAGACTTCATTGATGTACTTTCTGTCAGTTTGGGGAGTTGGCTTCAGTATCATGATGAATTAACAGAAAATGTCAGCACATTCTGGCACATACGCCTGGTTTTAGATCTAAACCTTATGAACCTGTCAGTGCACATAGTGTCAATGTAGAGCTGTGTTTAGGGTTGGGCGGTATCCAAATTTTGATACCGTCACACCATCTCCACATTTAACCACGGTATACGGTATTACTGTGACTAATTAAAGATTATGACTCAAGGCTGAGACAGCGTCACCAAACTGTTGGCTTGTGCCGACATCATTCAGAAACTGAATACCAAACACTAATAATGAAACAATAACGACATAATCTGCACAATATGAACAGCTTTCATTAGAAACAGCTTAAAAAGTGAACAACAGTCAAACCATTAAATTAACCTGACCATCCAGAGCAGTTTTCGTGCAGAATGTGCCACACACACATTCATTGAATTAAATCACAGCCTGAGCAACTTTGAATTACAAAAAAGAGGAGCTTATAAAAAAGTGCAAATACAACAGTGAAATAATTAACTTAACCTGACCATCCAGAACAGTTTTTGAGCAGAATGACGTATGGACAGAGACCATTTCCTTTGCTGAGTATTTTGTCACTGCATCAATGCAGGTTTTTCAATGGACACGGTCCCTTTTGTACTTAGTTGTTTTCCCAAAGGTCCCCATTATTGTGGACTGTGTATAAGTGGCGGTGGACTTGGTTGTTGTTGGTTCTGCATCGGGATCAGCGGGAGGCGCTGAAACTGCTGCACTGAGTGAACTCGGGGACAAATGCATCATCGCAGGAGTGAGTGGGTGGTTGATTCAGAGATTTGTCCTTAGGTTAGAAGTGTTTCCATCTCTCACGGTCACCTTTTTATTACGACTATTTACTTCTATTTATTACTATATTTCTAGAAAAACAAAACTAAAAACTCTTTTGCTTGTTCTGTCGTGCTTCACTCTCTTCCTCCACTCTCCTTTTCTCCCTTGACCCTGTCAAAGTTGTGGTGTTGGTGGTACCGTTCAAGATTACCGTAATATACCATACATCATTTATTGACAGAAAGCACAGATACTCAGCTGTCTGTCAGCGTTGACATTTTTCAGATGGAGCAAATTTTCAAGGAGTTACGGTATTGAGAAGCTGTGTAGCACACTGCCGATACTTCCTATGTATTGCAATGACGGCCTCCCTCATATGGTTAGGACTACTGTAGTAAATCATATATGTGCGCATGCCCACAACTCTCAGCTTTCCAACACCGTTGAAATTTTTCTGATCGGACAAACTTTAACTCATGCCGTTGCTTTTGAAAGACACCGCCGGTATACCTTATTCCATTATTACTGCCCAACCCTAGCTGTGCGTGCATGTGTGTGTGCATGTGTGTATATGTTTACCTCCATGTTAGGGCTCCACAGTGCAGTGTGTTCAGGTCTGTGTTGGTTCCAGGAATCAGAAGGATAGCTGCTTCCCACTCCACCAACACCACCATGTGCTGACGGCTGGAGGAGGACAAAAAGAGGAAAACATGGAGACAGGCAGATTAACACAGAAGTTTAAAGATGTTATCGACACTGAAAAAAGTCTCTTCAAACAACACCACTCAAGATCAAATTCTGGAGAAGTCTTTAAAGTTCATAAAATCAGAATCATTCAAACCCTGGCTCCAACTTTTTACCCTTATATGGAGTCAACTTTGAACACTTTGACTTCTTTGTAGTATCTTGTTTCATGTTGTCATTTATCAGATCCAGGAATGTTGTTGAGACACGAAAAACAAAGGGTCGAGTATCAGGAAAATAACTGCGACTGATGTCGGATAAAAACATCATCGAGACAGAACTCTGTTACACATAAACAACCAATTAATTGTATTTTTGATCCATCGTTGTCAGTCACTTCTGCATTGGAGCTGATTAAACTGGAGCTCACTTTAACAGAAAATGATGATGTTCCCTAAATTCAGTGGCGTCAAAAGTTCAATTTATAACCCTTAAAAAAAGTCAGTCAAAGCTTGCTTACTGCATCTTTGGCTAAATTATTTCTGTTGCAATATTTTATGAAGTCGTCCAGCAAAAGAAAATCACAACAATGTTCTTGTATGACCAGAGTGACAGAAAATATCTGGAATTTGGAGTTCCTAAAGTCCACAGCCAGAGCACACAACAGGGCAGTATGAAAATCCATCCAACTAAAGAGACTATCATGTCTTCTTTTCAGGCTTCTGACAAAATGACCAAACTGAAGAAGGCAGTCAAGTTTCAATCATCCGGTTACCGAGACATTTCCAGCTTCTGATGAGCATCTTTGTGTGAGAAGATTCAATGATATCTGATTTTTCTTCAGTGCAAAATAAAAAGAGACAAAAATAACAACAATAACAATAATAATAAAATAGAATAAAATATGGTTCCAAAACCTCCTTTAAATTTGCAAATGTCACAGGCCAGTTAGGCTCCACAGATGAAGCTGCAGGCCTGTCAAAGACTTTCAAAAACACTCCTCCAAACAGTCCTGATTTGTCCCAATGCCCCAAAGAATCATGGGAGTTCTCGCACAGCTCTGCAGTAATACATGTTACTAAAATACATGGACGTTATTATTCTTTGTGATATGATCAAGATTGACTTAAATAGAAGTTTATATTATATGCTCCTTATAAGGATGAAAAAGAGAGGGAGAGAGAGAGAGCTGAGAGAGAGATCTGCAGTGTGGCTGTGTGTGTGTGTGTGTGTGTGTGTGTGTGTGTGTGTGTGTGTGTGTGTGTGTGTGTGTGTGTGGCTTTCAGCACTACAGGAAATGCCTGCTGTCTGCTCGGTTTATGAGGAGAGGACTAAGAGCGCTCAGAGTCTCCCTCATGTTCTTTTCTTTCCCATTTCTCCCTCTGACTCTGACACGAGCTGCACGCGCCTGCTGTCCTCCAACACAGTCTGTCCTCTTTGTTCAACATTTAGATCAGCTCAGCCGCTGGGATTGTTGTTTTTACGACCAGACAAAAACTACTTCCAGTAATCTCAGACAAAAATATAAAAACATACTCTTTAAGATTTGTAATCTCTTAAAAACCATATCAGTATCAAGTTTTAAGTCAAAACTTTTTCACATTTTCGGACTTTAACTGAGTCCACTCTTAGTAAGCCTCTGCAAATGAGTCAAAAATAATCTCACTTTTCCAGACTTTAGTGAATTCCTAACATAACATAAAAATGTTTGCAGTCCTTCAGCAACAAAACTACGTAGAAAAAGATGAAAAAAAGATGAAGCCTTTGACAAAATGAAGCTCTTGTTAGTCTTTTAGATTACAAAGACAGAAAAAGCAGTTCAGAAAAACACTGTAGGAGAAGACTGTCCCTCTCAAAATGATGCATCCAAGCCGAGAGCAGAACTTTGACAGCCTTTGTGTTCAAGTGTGTGTAGTTTATATGTGTATGTGTGTGTTTGCAGTACCGGGAAATGGTTGAGTTGGGGGCTGGGGAAAAAGCCTTCACTGGACCGGGGACTGGGGTAACCTGGTCTGCTGGGCTGCAGACAGAAGATGAAGAAACATTTTGTCAAACGAAGAACAAAATAATGGGAACTCCACTATAAAATAATAACCAGTGCACAGAGTCATCAAGAGAATATTTCATCTTACTTTGGGTGGAGCTTCGTCAGACCCTCCAGAGTCCCAGGACACCGTGACTTGTCTCCTCATCTCCATCCGAAGTCTCTCTTCCTGCTGAAGCTTCTCCTCTTCCAGGATGGTGCTATAAAAGTGAGAGGTAAACAGCTCATCTTAATAAGAGCTCAACTCCTTTATCATAGTAGGTGCACAGTAGAGATGGAGGAATTCATCACAATCAAATCGACAGAAGAAACTCATCATCTTCATGAGCAAAGAAAATTACCTCTAACAAAACCAAGAAACGCACTCAAGCCCTTGAACCAGACTCCACGGAAACACTGACAGTACCTGAGCTGAGTTTTGAGCTCTGTGAATCTCGGCCTCTTGCTGGGGTCATACGACCAACATTTGGTCATCAAACTGTAGAGCGTGGGAGGGCACTGAGGGGGCATGGCCAACCGCTCGCCGTTCTCTATCCTGCCAATCACGTCATTGTTCTTCACCCCCTGGAAAGGCTTAATGCCGTACATCAAAATCTCCCACATACACACACCTGAGAGGAATACAGAGAAGTTGACACATAGACACATAAACAAATGGAAGAAAATCCTCAAAGAGTCGATAGCGGGTGGCAGGAAATGATGTTCAACACTCTTTGAACTCACCAAACATCCACACATCACTGGCAGATGTGAATCTCCGGAAGTTGATGGACTCTGGAGCCATCCACTTGATGGGAAGTTTTCCTTTAGAAGCTGAAACAAGGACACAAAGAATAAATCTGTAATTCTGCTATTTTAATTTTGCATTGCAAAGAGATGGCGACTAGAAGAAAACAGTGTTAAATCAGAATGTCTGCATGTGTATCAGGTAGTTTAAGCCAACTGCAGTACCCTGAAGTAACCTTTTGATGGTGGTAAAGCACTAGTAACAAGACGAGTCACTCACACACACACCAAACAAGAACAGACAAACCAGGACAGTGACACCAGTCTCTGGAGCGCATTTTAAAGAGAACCGTACATATTGCATGATGTGTCGCTAAGAGTGTGAAACTGGACCGTTCTTACCTTTGTAGTATGAGCTGTCCTCCATGTATCGGGATAGACCAAAGTCTCCCAGCATCACACAGTCCACTGATGAGACCAAAACGTTTCGAGCTGCTATGTCCCTGTGAGTCAACAAATCAGATCCATTTGAAGTTTTTATAACACTAAGAACTACAGATCCTTGATAAACAGTCACTTTAAACTTCAAAAATTAGATTAACCCATCACAGAAATGTTACAAATATTGTTTTCTTCATGAATCTAGGTGCCCCGTTAATCCTTCATCCTCTAAGCCTCTGTGTGTATGAGTGTGTGTGTGTGTCTGTGTGTGTGTGTGTGTGTACCTGTGCACAAAGCGTTTACTCTCCAGATATGCCAGAGCTGTGCTGAGCTGGTAGGCAAACAGGATGAGAGTGGCCAAATCCAAACTATACTTCCTGACCTGGAGGAAGGACCGCAGCTGCAGACGGAAACAAAGATGGATTAAAAAAAACAACAACGGTCAAGAAGAAATAAGGGTTTTATATTTTCTGGGCAACTTGACTGTTTTCATTGTAGATCTAATGCTGTGTATATTATCATAATAATATACCCTTTGTTTAAAGACTTAACTCTACACAGAGACTTACCTCTCCAAGAGTGCACAGCTCCATGATGATCCAAACAGGGTTTTCAGTGATCACTCCGATCAGCTTCACGATGTGAGGGTGGTCAAACTGACGCATGGTCACTGCAGGGGAACGAAACACACATTTATGAATAAACCCAGTGGATGTGAAATGAGACACACCTTAAAGATGATAAAGATTTTAAAAACATACATGCTTCTTGCAGGAACTTTTCTCTGACGCTGTCTGACGTGCAGTTCTTACACGTCTTAATGGCGACAGGTAGAGATGGTTTGTCCTGCAGAAAAACACATCATGATGAGTTTGAGACTGAAGAAAAGACAGTTTGGTTTTTGAAACATCCATTCAGCAAAAAGATTTAAACATATAAACTTCAGGCGCCATGGGAGGACAAACTAACAGCGTATGCAGATACAAAAGCCTGACTACAGTTACACTTGAACACCTAAATCATCTGTATAAGTTGAAAATCCACTTTTAATGCTTTTATGCAGTATGATCTTCATTAAAATACACTTAAAGATCCTTATTAACACCTTCAGTTGCAGGATGTTAAACACTACCATTCACTGTTAGTGTTTCAAAAGGACGTTTCACTATTAAGACTTACATGTATGTCCTTGCTCTGTGGATAGACTGTATGTATGTATGTGTATTTTTACATACCGGACTGTTATACACTCCTTGGTGCACATCTCCAAACTGACCCTCTCCTATGCAGCGGCCCAGCTCTATCCTGTCCCTCTGGATCTCATAATCCCGTGCTAGAAAAGGGGAAAAGACAGAAAAAAGGGTAAGAACTGAATGGATCCATTGACTTTCCATCTTTTGTACACTGGAAACACTAAAAAGACATATCCCATTTGACATGCTTCTTTCAAACCATATGGACAGAGCTTACCAGGACAGAACAATCTGGATGTTATCAAGACAACTGTTTCAAGTTGTCATGAAAATTGAGTTCAAGTGTTTTTTTTTTAACTTTATATAAATCAAGTAATTCTTCTGTTTGGTAAGCGCTGCCTTTTGAGAATCAGATTGGAGCAAAATTGACCATAATGTTGTAAATTCAGAACATTTTCCTCCCCACTGACACTTCTGATTGGACAACCCTGAAGTATACATGCACACTGACACACTTCAAACACAAAACAAACCAAAATACAGCAAATCCATTTTACAGGTACATTAAAGTCAATCTATTACTTTGAAAAAAACAGGTTCATAATTTTGTCTGTAAGTCTCCTTATATTCTCCTTTCTTTCCTGCACATATGCTGTTATGTATGGTTCAAGGGTTCCCTCTTGGGGTCAGAAATCCCAGAATTCTGAATCCAGAATGATCACATCGCTTTAAACTACAGCTCTAATCTCACAGTATTGATAAACTAAATGCCGGCCAGAGTCTAAATATTCGTGGAAACTGACGGTAAAAAGTGGGGTCTATGAGGAGCCGTATCATGAAGCTTTCAAACATAACACAACCTCCTTGGCGGAGGTAACAAAAGCAGGTTTCTGAAACCTTTAACAGGCAAGAATAGCCATAAAGGGATATTCCGGCGTAAAATTAAGTTAGGGTCAAACACACCGTAACACCTAGTTAGACACCCCCTCGAGACATGAATGTTGCCGACTGCTTGCTTCTCTGGTTATACCAACTTTAGCAACGACCGTAGGATAGAAATACACAGCAGACGAGTCGATCACAGAGTGGAGGGGATTATTTCCATGAAGTAATAATCATCATGCATTTCCATGAAGAAGTGATCGTAAATCTTCTTCCGCTGCACTTGGTGATCAACTCATCTGAGCTCTTCCTACAAACAAGTGGTTGCTGGAGGAGAGTGGGTGAGTTGTGTTTGGTCTCTTTGCTATAGAAAAAAGATGTTTGATGACCAGTACTATGGCTAGGATCCTATATGTACTGTTGATGAAGTGAGGTGCTGTTCTGAGCATTATTTGTGGCTATAGAGTGGCTTTTTGGTTTAGGTTTGTGCGAGGATCAATAGACTGCTGTGTATTGTTATCGTGCGGTCATTACTTAAGTTGGTATAACTAGAGAAGCAAGAGTTCGGGGTGTCTAGCTCGGTGTTACGGTGTGTCTGACCCTAACTTAATTTTACGCTGGAATATCCCTTTAAATGAATTGATTTAACTGAGTATTCAAATATTCAATATGGTGTGTGTCTGCAGCAGAGACCTCCTGAAAGTCAGTGAACACACCTCCAGGAACCTGAATAAATATGATTAAAAATGAAAGAGGGATAAATACTGACTGTAAGAGGTTTATACAGGACACTGACCATCCTGAACAAATCAACTTATCAAAGCTCTAATAACAGTAAAATACTGTATAACACAAAGATGATTACCACAACCAACTCCATTATAACAAAATTAACTGCAATAAATTTATACATGTAGGAAAGTAACAACTGCGTCAGAAACAGAAGCAGCCACTGATGACCGTGGAAAAGATCTAACCACTGTCATAAATCATGATGAAGAAACAGAGATGTCTAAACCGACATGATGGTGAAATGAGAGCCCAGCCCATAAACAATGGGATGACTGTGAGGTTGTTTAGATCCGGGGGTCTGGATGGACTCCATGTTGCCAAATCTTGACTTATGAAGTGACATCCTGCATTGTTTATAGATTGGTCATCCCTTTTATTTCCAACGCAAGAACTGGATACTATCGAACACCAACGACCACAAATCCACGTCTATCAGGGTGTTCAATACTTCGGGTCTTTACGTTTTCTTTGCCAGGAACTTTAAGTGACAGTAAATCATTAAAAGCCAAAATTGAACTGAAACAGATGCAAAGACAAAATGCTAAATGTTGAGACCAAAACATTTGACTTCATTGTGACAAATATGCTAACGCTCAACTCTACACAGTCCAGTTGCCTGATTTTGGAGTCTTCGAGATAACCATGACCTGGATGATTGAGAATCTACATGGACTCCTGAGGGAACATCTCCAACTGATGTCATTTATTTCCAACAGGTTAGTGACATGACTGGGTATAAAAAAAGACATTCAGAGAGGCTGAGTCTCTCAGGAGGAAAGATGGAAAGAGGTTCATCACTCTGTGAGAGACTATGTCAGTTAATAGTTCAACAGTTTCAGAATAATGTTCCTTAGTGTCAAATGTGAAAGAATGAGTGGATTTTATCATCTACAGAACATCATATCATTCAAAGATTCATAGAGCCTGGAGAAATCTCTGAACTAAAGGGACAAGGACCAAAACCAAGACTGGATGGTCCTGATCTTCAGGCCCTCAGGCAGCACTGCATTAAAAACAGACAGGAATCTGAAGTGGAAATCACTGCATGGACTCTAAATCACTTCAAAAACCATTTTCTGTGAACACAGTTCATCACTGTATCCATAAATACAGGTTTGAAATGAACCATGCAAAGGACAACTGAAAACTTCTCTGGACCTGAGTCTGGCTATGATGGACTGAAGTCACATGGAAAACAGACAAATCAAAGTATGGCTCTCTTTTTGGAAATCATGGATGCATCCTCTGCTTTCAAGAGGAAAGGGACCACCTGGCTTGTTCTCAGGTCCTGGTCCAAATCCAGCATCCCTGATGGTATGGGGATCATCAGAGTCCATGTCATGGGTATCTTACATATCTGTGAAGGCTCCATTAATTCTGAACAATATCTCCAGGTTTATGAGCAACATCTGCTGCCATCCAAACAAAGACTTTTTCAGTGAAGACCTTTATATTTCAGTAAGACAATGACAAACCACATCCTGACAACAGGGATTACAACAGCATGGCTCTGTAGTAGAAGAGTCCTGCTGAGAAACTGGTCTGTCTGCAGTCCTGAATTGTTGAAAACATTTGGAGCATCATGGTACACTATGACAAAGGAGACCCTTTACTGTTGAGCAGCTGAAATCCTCTATCAGACAAGAATGGGAAAACATTTCACTTTCAGACTCCAGAACCTGGTTTCCTGGGCTCACTAAGGTTAACAGAGTGTCTTTGAAAGAAAAGATGATGCAACACAAAGGAAAGCATGTTTCTGTCCCTGCTGTTGTTGCTGGTATCAACTTTGAAAGAAGATTTTTTAAAATACAATCAAATTTAGAGTTTCACCTTTTGATATGTTGTCTTTGCTCTGTTTTAAATCCAATATAGTGTTCGAATAATAAGGAAAGTTGTGGAATGACCCAGTTAGTTTCACTGATTAGTTTGATGGGGGGAAATCTACAAAGACAGTTTGTTCCTGGCAGAGAAAGATGTTATTATAATAGTAAAACCTCATTGTTGACTTAGAAAAGAGACAGTGAGTTTTACCTTCAACCACTCCATAGCAGACTGTGTTGGCGATGGGAGAAAGAGGAAGAAAGAAGAAGATGAAGAAGGGAGAGAGCCAGACAGGAGCTTTAAGATTGGAAAAAGCTCAGGAAATAAACACAAACGTGTATACAGACACATTTTAGCCAAGTGAATGAATGAAAAAGCCCCCAAAAGAGGAACGTTTTTACAGGTTGATTATTGTTTTACAACTTAACTTTAAACACAGACTACATACAGTCAGACACGGGAGGAAAATATGTCAAATGTCTGTTTAGAGGAAGTTGTGGACAGACAAAAAACAAAAAAAGTTAAGGGAAGGAGACAAAGAAGTGAAGCCAGACAGAGAGAGATAGAAAAAGACTGCGGGAAGAAGGAGTCTGTTCTCTAAGTTGACCACGCAATCAAACACGAGTCCACATGCCAAAGTTTTCTTACTTACGGAGCTGAACTTACCCACATATATTTGGGGATTTTGTTTAACATATGATTTAAACTGACGTATGTAAGGTGAGTCTGGAGTTATCCAGCATGAGTAACAGCCTCTCTGACCCCCAGCTGTTTACATTAGACGAGGATGATGGGCTGAAGTGAACGGCCACTACCTCACAAAATAGACTTTAGTGTTTTCTCTGCCTGAGTGTGTTTCTTGGAAGAGATTCACACGTCACTTTGCTCTTTGAAGAATAACAGTAGTATAGTGACTAACTTTACGCAAAAGAGAGGATTCAAGAGGTTACTTACTTGAGGGCATGGTGTATGTGTCCTCTTCATCCACTATTTCTGCATAGTCATCAGTCTCTGTAACATTACACACATGCAAAAGTGTCAAAATACAAAAGAGTAAAAACAGCCCACAACAACACAAGTCTAGAAGTAAGATCATGCACATTTGAGTTTTACCGTTGGATCACTCTGGTATGCAGCCCCAGCGATACAAACAAAACACCCGCACAATAAAACCAGACTAAAGTAAACGAAGAAAATAAAGCATGGAGCTAAGTCCTGATTCCTGTGAGAAGCAACACCCATGCAGCTCTTCTCATTCTGTCTCCGTCTCTCTCTGCACGCACAAACACACACTAACACACACTTGGAGAGTGTCAGCTGAGCATGTGTTGTGCATATCTGTCTGTGTGTGAGAGCAGCTGGCGGCAGGGAGTAACTGTGGCAGTGGAGGAGTGGAGGGACAGAAAATGAGAGGACAACAAAGAAAGAAAGAAAGAAACAAGAGAGAGAGAGAGAGAGAGAGAGAGAGAGAGAGAGAGAGAAATTAGAAAAAAAAGGAAAAGAAAAAAAAACAGAGCAGGAGAGAGAAACCAGTCAACAAAAGATGCACTATGAGGGGGAGTGAAGGAGAAATGAAGGGAGGTAATTGTAATGTAAGCAGATGGCAGTGTTTAGGCTGAAACCTGTGCAGAATCAGACAGATAGAGAGATGAAGGGGGGAGAGGAAAGAGCCAGCAGGAAAAAAAAGAAAAGGGAAAAGATGGACAGTCTTTCCTAACCAGATGGCGGTGTTTAAAATAAAATCAGTGTGCAGGCTCAGCTGTTGGAAACACGAGTCAAACATCTGCTGTCCGGCAATCTACCCTCTCTACTCCACTGATGATTCACTGAGCTCTGTGGGAACATGGCACTAAATTTATCTGAAAGGTTTTTTTTTTTTTTCTGAAGCCTGTGACGGATTTTTCTCAGGAGAGTTTAAGTCATAAAGAAAGTCAGTATAAGATGGACAAGAAACAACTGGTTAACTTTTTAAGGCAGGATAAATAAAACCAGGAGTGGAGGAAAGGGTCAGTGGAAATAGTGATGCAGAAATAAATGCCTCAAGTCCAGGGTAAATTATGCCAATCAGGCCAACGACATCCAGGATAGTTACTCAGTAAATGAAATTCTCTGCACAGATTTTTGTTTTCATCTCTGCTTCATTTTGTATGTTAATTATTCAATGACATCAGTTTATGGGATAATTCACTCCTGAGCTATCTCTCTTTGGTGCCTCTACCTCAAGCACCTGTTTTTATAGTGTTAAAAAACCTGTTTCATAATTAGACCAGATCCTAAAACTGTTATAACACACAGTAAATCTCCTGATGTGGAAAAAGTACATAAGATAAGTCATGTATTCACATTAGATTATTTTCAGTATAATCTGCTTTCCGTCCTTCTATCTCCATTTTGTATAAACCAAGGAACAATTTTTGCATATTAACAAGATCTTCTGACCACACCCACAAAACTCCTGGATTTTTGGAAAGTACAAACCCCTGTGCAGGGACTTCTCAAGGAGAAGAGCAGTTACCTCAAAACTAACTTTAGACCCTGGTTCCTGCTGAAACCCCCACAGTTCCTCAAAACTCCTGAGTTTCTGCTGCAGAAAATCACCTTTAAAAGAATCAACTAAGTCTCTATTCATGAGCAGCTCAAACTGGTTGTGGGGGTTTAATAATCTTGCATTAACACCACTGAGGCTTAACAAAATGTTACATCTGACATATTATCCCAGCTGAATCAGAGACTGGTGTCCACTTTTTATGTCAAGTTAAGCAAAGCAGCTGCTGACAGATGTATTATTGGCACCAATCTTCTATTCGAAACTTTCAGAAATAAAACTAAATGTAATCATAAAGAGTTATTCCACTTTCATCTCTAATCAAACATGATATATGTGTCTTACATGAGAAGAAAGAAAGGACTTTTATGCGCCTTTAAAAATATCCTATAATCTGGAATGAAAGCAGCAGCTCTGTTTACCACTGTAAAACTATTAAACTAAGTTTTAGTAGATTGGCTGTAACATAACTACTCTACATGCAAGCAAACAGTGACAGTTGTGAATGCATTAATATAACTTTAGCAACAAAACATCTTTAAGTCTATCATTTATTTTGTTTGTGTCCTGATTTACTTTTTGTTTTTGAGATCTTCTTTCTGTTTTTGTTAACTACACCGGACTTGAAGAATAATTGTTTCTGACTCTTTCTGCTTCTTCTGCAGGGATAGTGTGTGTGTGTGCGTGTGTGTGTGTGTCAGAAAGAGAGAGATCTAGTTAGCCCATTATAGCAAGGAATGCATCGCCTTTGAATCCAGCAAACCTCTCCCTGCTCGACTTAGTGTGTGCATGAGTTTAAGTACACGTCTGCATGATTTTGTGTGTGTGTGTTTGTGTGTGTGAGTGTGAGTACAGAGAGAGAGAGAGAGAGAGAGAGAGAGAGAGAGAAAGAGAGAGAGAGAGAGAGAGAGAGAGAGAGAGAGAGAGAGAGAGAGAGAGAGAGAGAAGGGTTTGGAGAAGTTCCCTTAAAGTGGAATACCACTTAATTTCCAAGCTGTGCTTATTTGTGTCGTTCTTGTGGTTTTAAAAAGACACATTTCAAAGGTTGTGGTGAATCCACTTTAAAAAATCACAGACACAAACACACAAACATCTTCAAACCAAAAACAGTAAACTACTGCAGCTTTGTACAGATCAAACTCATTAAAGTTACATGATTTATGTATCTGTCCAGTCTCCGAAACTTTGCAAACACATAAAGCTGAGACTAGTTTCATTTTCAAGTGCGTCAGAATCTCTTTATATGCGTTACATCTCACACACATACATGTACACACACGTAGCGTCATTTTAAAAGTCATGCATAAACATCCACCCACAAACCAACACATGCAACCCTTTCCCATGAGGCTGCAGTGTGTTGGGGACTGAGTGCTACGGAGACGAGACAACAGAGAGATTTATAAACAACAGCATCAACATTACCATCCCCGCTAAGATCTTCTGCAGGGTCCAGGAGAGCATGCAGGAAACAGGGCAGCGGAGGACGAGAGCGAGAGGAGAGAGAGAGAAAGCAGCAAAAAAGAGGGGGAGAGGAGCGAGAGAGGCAGAGCGGAGAGAAGAGGGAGAGAGAAGAGAGAGCGGTTAGAGCTTGAAAAGCCTTGAAACAACATGAGTGATGTTGCTCGATCTGCAAAGCCAAACATGCAGTGAGCAGTTAGTTTAGATCCCAAAATATCTCCAGAGAAAGGGCTGAGTTAACAACTTTTACTATGCAGAGGCATGAAGTCATGAAAGAAACAGCCGGCGATGTTTGAGCTTCAGGGATGACTCAGTGATGGATGGTGTTTGTATCAAGCTGTAAATATTTGTCAGTTTGGGATTAATGTAAGCACTCTGAGGATGCAGAAAAACGTCAAAGTGTGAGCTTGAGTAAAATCCAACACTGAAAAAGATATCCATTTTATCAAAGAAGAAGTGGAAATACAGAGCAGCTCCATTTGGATTTGATTTCCATAAAACCGCCTTGTGAATCAGAACCCCAAACAAAAGAGAAGCCAAGCCACTGTGGTCAAGAAAATGAGCTCAGTGTCTTCGTAGAGACGCTTATTTGACTTTTTTAAACCAGAAGAAAAGCGTTTCTAACACTTTGAAGGTCGTACAGATAAACCGCTGGCTGCTGCAGGTTAGCTCCGCAGAAAATCAAGACTGGCAGCTTGGCCAAAGGATGACATTTGCTTTTGTCTGAATCTATCTGGGTATTTGCCAAGCTAAGCTATGCGCCTAGCGTAAATGTAATTCAATCTAATATCTGTGATGGCTAGCTCTGACATTAACGTCTGAGGATTGTGATAGATGCAGTCTGTAGTTGTGTGAGTGTGCTTGAGTTTAAGTGAGCATGTCTACAACAGTGAATCAAGAAGCTCAAGTTGCAGGATGTATTACTGATAAACATGCAGACTTCTAACTATGCTAGGGCTGCACGATTTTGGCCAAAAATAAAATCCCAATTATTTTCACTGAAAACTTAATTTTTGATTTCAATTTTTTATTCAGCGATATCTTCACCAAACTTCATTAATTAATTCAAACTAATTAATCTATGTTTTTTTAAATGCCACATGCACCGTAGACTGTAATGTTATGAGTGGGCGAGCTCCCTGAAGCAAGATGGCTGCCATATGTGAACGTTGGTCTCCATTGGCTAACAGCGTGCGTAATCCATCTAGTTTTATATATATATATGTATATATATATATATATATATATATATATATATATATATATATATATATATATATATATATATATATATATATATATATATATATATATACATATACATATATATATGTATGTATGTATGTATGTATTGGACACACAAACAGGTGCCTAAAAAAAGTTACGCTGTGTGTCATAAAATCGTTTCGAGAGATACAGATAGGCATCCACACAGAGATGAAATTGTAGTTTATGGATTTAAGCACTTTACGATTTACCCACTTTAAAAAAGTACTGTTTTCAGTCACCCGAAACACCATTTCCATGTGGATGAAACGCCAATATGACATAAAACTTTTGCGTTTACTCCTGAGAGGCCCAGAATCCATTTGAATGGACTGGTTGATACCAACTTCAGACAGACTTTGCAGCAGGGAGTCTGTTGCTCTTCATCTAAAACTGTGAAGCCGTATCAATTCCACACGACCGACTTGCTTTTGCCCTATTTAGCCACAAAATGGTGTATACTGGTGTATGTGGGAACTGGGGAGCACTCCCGCAGGAAGAGGGAGCCTATGGTGGCCTGGAGGCGCAAGATATGATAGAGAGGAAAATAGATTTAAGAACTAATTTTTTTTAACATCGTCATCATCAAATAATCTGATTACAATTTAAAATCGATAAATCGTGCAGCCCTAACACACACACACACAGTATTGTGTTCTCAATCTACAATATCTAGCAGTTCAGGTTTATTAAAAACCTACAAGACTGTTTTCTGACTTAGATCATCTGATATGTTTGATGTAATAGAGGGAGTTCATACTGGAAAAAGTCTCATGATTGTGATAGAGGGGCTTTTTTATGAGCTGCAGACCAACATACATGAGCCAGAAATGATCTGCTGCTTGGACATACAAAAAGTTTATCTCACCATTTGACCACCCTGCCATGACTTAGGCTCAGCCCCTTTAATCAACTAAAATAAATAAAACTGACAATATCCATTAAAAATGACTCAGCTGTGATCTCAGCAGCAAGAAATGGTGTTAACAATTATTGCGAAAACCGATATTTTTGCATGCATCAGGTTTGCCTCTGTAAAAAAAACAACAACAGAGCAATCAGAGGGCATTTGCTTGGTTAGAAGAAGCATAAACACACACACACACAGATTGTAGTGTTTTAAGAAAGTACATGTAAAAGTAGGGCATTAGTTGAGTAAAACAGACAGTTGAGTGAGAGAGAGATCCTTTTAAGTGCAAAACATTTGAGATGCAGCAGATAAAAGCCCCAAAATGCACCAAAACTTTCAAATTTTACATGATCAAGGTGCAAAAATTTGCAAAATCTGTGTCAGTATTTTCACCTTTCAGCTTTTTCAGGGTTATCCTGACAGACTACAAATACTTAAACTATTTTAATGTGCTTTAATTTATTTTTTTTTCCCTATAGTTTTATAATGTGCATCCTTTAATTGGGACTTTAATTTGACCATCAGAACTGGCGTTTTATCCCTCTGCATCACAAAGCTGTTGGCGCGCTCTCACACTAACTGTCCAATGAGAGCCGAGGATACCATTGGGCGGCGAATCTGAACAGAAGACAAAGGGGAGGAGGAAACGCCGCGCCTTGGTTGGCTTAGGAGGTGCTGGTGTCACAAAGTCTGCAGCCAATCAGGCGAGAAAAGAGCAAAGTGCGGAAAAATCAGAGTGAATGGACGTGAGTGCAGAGAGGAGGATGGATGGAGGAGGAAGTAAACAAAAGAAGGGAGGAACTGAGAGGACAGGAGGAGGCAGACCCTACAGAGAGGAAAACAATGAAGGAAAATGAAAGAGAGGGAGACGGACAGACGTCTGAGCCACAGCAGCTGTCAGACTTCACCATCTGAAACCGAGTGAGAGGGAGTGATTTCTCCCTTACCTGAGACAGAGATGGCCCTCACTCCACTCCTGACGGCTTCTAACTTCTTCTCATTGTTGGAAACTCTGAGGAAAGTAAAAAAAAAAACATCAAGGAGACAGTCAAACAACAGCGGCATTACAAAACAAACACACCTCCGTTTAAATCAGAGCCTCTTTAACGGCATGCCAGTCATTTTTCAGCCTTCCTCTGCAAACCAACCCTCACTGTTTCAATTACCTCTCTGCTTTTGCTGCGGTCTCTTTGTCTGTTTCATTTGGACTCTACAGCGATCCTCACATCAGAAACCACACACCAGCAGCAGAGGGGAAAGAAACTTTTAACAGACTGAAGACCGAGAGAAAGAGGAGGGGTTGACTCGAGTGTTTGAAAAACTTGAAGTGGAAAATATTTGGCTTCTAAACTTATCTCCTTATTTGACCAGAGACTCACGAGTAGAGGGAAGAAAAAAGAGGGAGAAGTTTGAGTCTAAATTATTTTAAAAAAGAGGGAAAGGTCTGTTTCAATCAAAGAAACTGGGAGTGAAAGGTGAAATCTCAGTGTTTGAGCTTCTGAAGTTAAAAAATAAAAGACTGGAGCTTTGATTCTTTGGTTCCAGTAAAATACTAAATTAGGTTTTTCATTTCAGTTGAAGAAAACGCAGCAAGAATACTGGGATCAACTATTCAGTTATAAGCCAGTAAGTAAACAAAGAAGGAAACAGAGACTTACTTTGGGATGGAAGGCAGAGCTCTCTCTCCCTCTAGAGGATTAAAACAGACATGATCAGGATTACAATGAGAAAACTGAGACGTAACTTCAAACAGTATCCCATAGTCCAGACAGCAAGTCCTCCTGCTTACAAAGTATATCCCAGGCAGACCATCAAAAAAGATGACAACAAACAGGGTCCTTACATTACAGGTGCAGCTTAAAAAGTTCAGAATGTCCCAAAAAAGTTCATTTTTTTCCCCCCACGTATGATCCCAAAATTGCTTTTTAACATGTGACTATTTTACTTAATTATATTTATTTATTTTATTTTATTGCTATATTCAAATTGTGTGCTTTATGTAAAGTGTCTTTAAGTACCTTGAAAATCGCTATACAAATAAAATAAATTATTATTATTATTATTATTATTATTATAAAAGTGAAACTTCCAGATTTTTTTGTTTGAGTCTTGATTCGTAATGGCTTACAAATCAAGAAAAACATAAATCCACTATCTCAAACATTTGAATATTGTGGAAAAGTCCAATTATTTCAGTCCTGGAGAAATCTCTCATCATCTGACTTACTCAGAACTCCTGCAAAGGTTTACTGAGCTTAGACTCTCTAGTTCAGGATACACAACCACACTCATGGGAAAATCAAGGTGTCAGAGAGAAAGAAGACAAGAGAGAGGCCCAGAATCCAAGGTACTTGAAGTCCAGAGTGAAGTTTCCACAGTCTGTGATGGTTTCTGTTATTGGCTGCTGTTGGTCCACTGTGTTTTGTCAAGTCCAGAACCAATGCACCCAAAAGTCCACCAAGAGATTCTCAAGACTTTCATGCTTCATCTGCTGAGAAGCTCTATGGAGATACAGATCTCCTTTTCCAGGTGGACTTGGTACCTAAAAACTACCTGAAACTGATCTGCTGACCATGCTGTGCTAGATTGGACTTGAACCTCCACTTGAGATAGTGGATTTCTGATTTTCATGAGCTATGAGCCGCAATTCTCAAGATTTAAAGAAAAAAGTTCATTGTTCAACAGTTAAAAACGACTTCAATGAAGACTTTTTTGGGAGGGAAGTGAGAGGGTGAATGTCAGGATATGAGGTTTCATACCTTTCTGCACTCTGACGATGAACGAGTGTGTTTCCATGGAGATGAGCCGACAGTAGCCATCAATCAAGTCAGCCAAGTTCTCTGCCATGGTCAGTGATGCTGTCGTAACAGTGAGAGGCTACACACACACACACACACACACACACACACACACACACACACACACACACACACACACACACACACACACACACACACACACACACACACACACACACACAAAGGAAGGCCTGTTATGAAGAGCCACACACCCTCATACTCTCTTACACATACCACTACAGTGGAGGTTTCCAGCTGGCCCTCATGTCAGTGTGTGTGTGTGTGTGAATCTAATACTATGAATGTCAGTATAACTGAAGGACTCCATTCATGCAGGAGCAGAAGTTACAGAACCATTAAGTAAAATAAAACATGGAGTGCCATCAGTGAATCTCAGCTGACACCATCACGGTCACACACAGAAGGATAAGAATAACTGAGATCTGATGGTTACAGCTTAAGGTCCCTTTCTATAGTTTTCACCTGGAGTATCAGGGGGCATTATGACTGAAGGAAAAGGAGTCTTATACACAAGACATGACAGAGACCAGGGGGCATTGAGACGTCAAAGCATCAACACTGAGTCAAGACCAAAACCAAGACAGTTTGAGACCGAGACATGCCTTTGATCTAAAGATCGTCATCATCATCTTCTTCTTTTTTGAAATATTTTGAATTCAAACAGGTTCACAAGCACCAAAAATAGAGCCACTTTAAAATTAAAATAAAGTGGATAAAACTAAATTCAGAGGTTATTTTTGTTTTTATTTTGGTGTGTGTTGGATGAGCTGATTCCTTTAACTGGAGAAAAAGGCGCCGAGAGGACAAATAAGGACACAGTACCTCAGCAGCTCCAGCGACATTGAGCTGCAGTATCCCCTTCCTGTCCTTCTCCTCCACCGCTGAGTACTGGATGGACTGAACCTGGTTAAAGTTGGCTAGATGTGTTGGCTGGAGACAGAAAGAGAGGTTAAACTTATGTTAGCTTTGTTTATGTCTCAGTTATAACAATATTCATCTGATGAGGTCAACTTGTCTTATTGTGCAGATTTCTTATCAAAGTTAGCAGCTTTGGACACTCACTGTGGATCCTTTGTCAGTAAGGTAGCTGATCCCTTCCTCTGGACCAATCGCTAACTCTACCTGAATCACCCAGCTGGACTGTTGGAGGGGAGATGTGCACACAAATCAAAACGGGAAGACAGCAGTAGACAAAACGGCAAGACAGGGAAGAAAAAGAGGGATATAGGTACTGTCTAAATCCCATAACCTGTACCCACAAACTCCTAAACTTCTAATGTAAATGTTTTTCTGTGTTAATTTTAGTTGAAAGGTTAGTGAAAAAAATGATAAAAGAAACTACTCTAAATATAAAAACAGAGGGGGAAAGGCAGAGGAGCCAGCAGTTTGAGACCCCTCCTGCAAGTCCTGCTGCCACCAAAAGGGGTCGACCTAACACAGTTAACCAGAACTCCCAGACTACATCAGGACACAGCAGAGGTGAGGAGAAGTGGAGGTGAGAAAGGAAAGCAACCTACCCCCAGGGCGCATTTGAAGCACTCCTTGTCGTAGCGGTAGATCGGTGCCAGAATTTCCAAGAACTTGAGGATGCACTGCTCGTCATTGAGGTTGGCTACCTGCTTGAACGTCTGCTGGATCAACTTGCGAAGGGTTTTGGCCTGGACAGAGAAGAAGACTGGTCGTGAAAAGAGTGAGCTGAGATGGACATGTGGGTGCAAACTGACTTAAAGGGATGACTGCATTGATTGATGAACTGTAGTCTCAATCAAATTGACCCCAACGCTTCATTCCAGGGGGCCACTGGGACCAGATCAATAACTAAACAGAGACGTATTGATAGTTAACACTCAATTACACATTAAAGACTGCAGAGTTATCTGCAGAGTAGCTTAAATGTCACTGTGTGTAGTGCATTCAGGTTTATACTGTCAGAATCACAATTACACTTTTCAGATCTGTTTTTTTTTAATCAAGTCTCTTATGTCACTAGAGAGTTGACAGATGGGACTGAAAGAAAGAAAATCCGTCTGGGGAATGTTCTTCATGCAGATATGCAACACACATACACACTTACACAGTGGTTTATATAATCGTTTCATCTGGTATATATGTAATAACATTAAAAGTCGGATTAAGAGAAAGATAACCTGAGCAAAAATGACCTTTTTAACCCCTTACATGCATATCCAAGCTGGAATCTGCAGTATCAAATGTAACAAAAGATACACAGACACACAACTACATGTAGTGAAGCACACATCCACACTCTAAGCATACATACAGTGAAATACAGACAATCCCAGTTTATAAATAGCTCCACATATATAGATTAAGATCAAGATTACAGGAGATTAAGTTCAGTACAGACTAGGCTTGTGGATTTGCAGCAGACATGGAGGTCAATCTACATAAAATAAATGAACATTAGTACAGTTGGAGTTAGAAGAACAGAGAAATCAGTTTGCATAGATTTACGGGTTTAATTTGAATACACTGCATCTACCAAGATACATGAGGTGCAAATTCTGTACAGTATGTTTAAGTGCACACATCATAGTCTGGTTAAGGCAGCATTAAAAAAGGTGTTTACATGCACAACAGAGTGTTAAGATGCAGCAATATTTCTGTTTGCATGTTTCAGATCTGTACATTTCGAGTAAACCAACAGCAGAAGTCGTAGTACTAGTTGCACAGTCATGTCATTGAATATAATTAATGTAAAATGCATATATAACATTTACTTACGTAGCATTTTGCAACCGTGTTTTCAAGACTTTATATTCTTCTTAATACAGGCATATGCCAGGGTGCCATTGTTCTGATTAATGCTGGATTATATTGTGCATGTGAAGTAGTAAATTATGATAGGATGAACATGAAACGTAACATTTTGGAGGCAGGAGTGGTCAGTTACTTAAGATTACAGTTCCTGTGAGAAACGTAATATTTGTGTGGATTTTGGTGCCCCCTGTGGACAAAGTAGTGTCAAAAATCAGAACATGGAAAATGTCATCTTGTGGTCGGTGGTCTCATTTGCTTTTGTACATCACAGAGATGCAGCTCTGTTTATTCAGTCTGTTTTATGACCCTCAAAGAACTCCTCATGGAAGCTTTAAGCATGATTGTGTTATAACACACCACTTTTTTAGCTGCTATTGTCAGTCCATTATTCATTATTTCAGAATCACAGCACTTTGCTGCAATCCCAATAAATCTGAGGGAATCAAGAATCCTGAACAGTGTACACACAAACACACACATATCTATAATGTGCATGTCTGATATACTGTATATGCGCATGTATATTACAACAGATGTCCGCACTCGCATGATTACAGAAAAATGTGTATGTGCTCATGTTGTTCACTTTCTGCTCTTTAAAGGATCAGAGTTTTAATTCCTGGAATTCCAGGACTGTCATTATCTCTCTCTCACACACACACTCGCACTCGTACAGGGATATTGCTCATCCACCCTTCCTGAAAGGAAGTTCTGAGAGTACTTATCGCCCCACACATCACTATGTTGACTGTTTCTATAGCAACAAAGCCAGCCAATTATGCAACTCTACAACTCAGGGACAGGATTTAAACTGGAAACTTTGGGTGGACATCACCTCATTTAGTTTCTTTAAATTCAAAGTTTTCAGTCTAATGGGAAGAAGAAAGACTTCTCAGTTCAGCTCAAGCTGCTTCAGTCCAACTCTGATCTCTGAGCCAACAAAGGTCAATGTTAGTAAACCTGCTGTCCAGCCTGTCAATACAAATGAACAGACTCGGCTCTTTATTAGGCTTTCAACACAGCACACATCACTCACTGTTTACTACCACAGCCATCTGCTCTGCCGTGTGTGTGTGTGTGTGTGTGTGTGTGTGTGGAAGTAGAGTCCATTGAGGTAGAATAATCCCATTAAATGACTACCATTCTCTTTCACCAGAGCAAACGGCACCAACCTCAATGACAGCTGCTCCCTCTCTCACTTTAACATGGATTTATATATGTTAGAGCAGATGTGGCACTTTGTCATTGATTTCACATTTACATAATTTCTTTAACTGCGTATATATGATGTAATTATGCATAAACAAAAACTCAGCAACAGCGAGACCACTTGAGAACATTATTTCTAAACAGTTCTTGGAGTTTTTTTCCCCCGTCAAATAGCCAAAAATTGGAGTAATAACTCCAATGTGATCAGATCACACTATCAAAAATGTTCAGTGCTTGTGGTACCAAAAATACTTGCTTACTCTTAACAGGCTATGGTAAAAGAAACTAACTTGCACCTTCAATCTTCCTTGTGTCTGTTTTTGAATTGGTGAAGCTACTTTTATGTTAAAATAAATTTAAAATAACCCACTCTGAAACCTACACAAGTCAAATTTGCCCATTTGTGAATATCTGGCTGCACATGTGTTACTCTGCATTTCTCTGTGGCCTATAAAAACAGGCCTCCAGGGAGCATGTGATGTCATGTCCGTCACAAAGCAGAAAACAAGAGGAAAAGGAAGAAAAGGAGGTAAAGGAGATACGTGGGCAGCTGATGAGGAGGGAGTCAGCAGGGTCTGACAGATTGGGGGGGACATGAGGAGGCAAACAATGACGCCTCCCCCTCCCTCCTCATTGTTGGGAAGAGAAAGTGGGTTTAAACAGGACCTGAGGGTCACACACACACACACACACGCAGTCGGCTTCGTTCCCTCTGCTGAGCATCTGTCTGCCCGCCTGCTGACATCAAGACCTCTCGGGTCACTGGGCCGTCCTCCGTGCAGACACACACACACACACACACACACACACACACACACACACACACACACACACACACACACACACACACACACACTTATATAAAGGCCCTCCCCATAAACACGTGCCGTAAATTTATCACTGACACAGACACTCCTCATTATGCGAGCAAACACAGCCGCCTCATATAAACGCACAAAAACCAAAGTCAGACATCAGCCAGACAAATAAAAAACTCACTTTTACCAAAACAGGAATTCAGATGAAACTACGTGAAAATATCACTAAAGACATTTAAATAATAAGGGCCAGATTATATTATGTTTTTGACATCAGGGCCGGGCCACAGGAAGAAGGATAAGGGGCCTGAAAAGGCAGTTTGAGACCCCTGGACTCAAGCCCCTACATGTGGAGCGATTGTGCAGCTCGGCCATCAGAGTCCCAGAATGTCAGTTTTATAAGTGCCTGATCATCTTTCAGAGAGCTGCTACAGCCAGCTCACCTGCAGCTGCTGCTTCTTCTTCTTCTTCATCTCTTCTCTGTTTTAAGGCACCACAGCTATGAACCCTGGGATTGATCGTCTGCTTATTTCATTTAGCAAAATTTCATGTTTCACTTTTTAAAAAAGATAATACCACACATTCGTCTTCTCAACTCAACACACACTTTCTTCTATTTTTGGTTAGTAAGATACTTACTAACACAGGCCCCTTTTTTGGATGTTTCCCTGCTCCAACACACCTGATTCAAATGATTAGCTCGTTATTAAGCCATTACAGAGCTTGATAACGAGCTGATCATTTGAATCAGGTGTGTCGGAGCAGGGAAACATCCAAAACATGCAGGACAGTGGGCCTCGAGGACTGGACTTGAGATCCAGTGTTCTAGACGATTCTTGAGAGCCGCCTGTTTTAGTCAAATAATCAAATAAAACTGTCCCAGAAATGTCCAGATTTAAACAAACAAACAAAAAAATCCTGATCTCTATTGAACTTTAAAGTCCCACCTTCACTGAATCCATCAGCTCTTTTGGGAAAAACCGCCTCAGCCCGACATCCTTCCTGGAAAGAGAGACACAGAGGCGTGTTTATGATGTTGTAATTACACTGAGGAATGCTAATTGACAAACATTTCTGTGTTTATCTGATCCCAGCAGATTATTTTTTCCTCTGCAGAGAGATTAACAACAGCACAAACACATCAGGTCAGGCCGCTGAAACCAAGGAACAGAAAACAGAGAGCAGAAAGTGTTGACTAAGTGTTGACTGCAATGAGCTACTCATGATTTCCTCTGAGACTCAGCAGAGGGGGAGACAGAGGGAGCAGAAAGAGACTAGGGCCCCGTTGGGGCACTGGCGGGCCCGAGCCGCGTTGCGCCGCCCCCAGTGCGACCGCCTCCCCCTCCTGATCGCGTCACACTCAAGGTCCAAAGATGGTGTGCGCACTTGTCTGTGGTCATTTCCCATTATAATAAATGGGAGGCGCAGTTTCTACCAAAACACTCGCTGCAGACAAACTACATGTCCTATTTGAAAAAAGTCTGGACCATGAGTGAGGGCACAAACACAGCTAGGATATATCCAAACGGCAAGTTGCTCCTCGTTACGGTGTTGCCGGGAGAGCGATGCGATTGAGCCATTGAGTGATGGGCAGGAAAAACTTGACTGTTTCTCCTGCCATGGGGGATGGGGGATGGGGGGGGGGGGTGGATTCTTTTAAGAATGTGGATATTTGGGTCATCTTTGGCGCCCCCTAGAACGTAAACCGTGGGGTGCAGCGTCATGATTTTTAAAACTTTGAATGGCCATGGGGTGTAGATTGGCCTGAGCAAATTTGGTGTCAGTGGGACGAAAGCCTTAGGAGGAGTTAGCCACATTCCAATGTGTGCTAATCGGCAAAAAATGCAAAATAGCCCTTTAACTGTACATTTTACAGATACGCGCACATTGACTTTTTCGTAGATCTTATTGAGATACATGTGTGTGTCAAATTTTGTGTCAATATGACAAAGCATACAGGTATGACAGTCAACAATGTGTATTTTCACCTCATGGGACAAGAAAAAATGGACTTTTTTCTCCTGCCATGGGGGGGCGCTCTTTTGGGGAGTAAAAATTCCTTCACAAATGTGTTGATGGCTGGACATTGCATCATCCTAGAAAACTTGGAGGCCAGAGAGGACAAAAATAAAAAGTTATAAGACTTTTAAATATGTGGATTTTAGGGTTATCTTTGGCGCCCCCTAGAACCTAAACCGTGGGGTGCAGCGTCATGATTTGAATAACTTTTAATGGCCATGGGGTGTAGATTGGCCTGAGCAAATGTGGTGCCGGTGGAACGAAAGCCTTCGGAGGAGTTAGCGAAATTCCAATGTGTGCGGATCGGCAAAAAATGTGCAATAACCCTTTAACCGTACATTTGACAGATATGCCCGCACTGACTTTTTTGTAGATCTTATTGAGATACATGTGTGTGTCAATTTTTGTGTCATTTTGACAAAGCGTACAGGCGTCAGGTGAATTTTTCACCTTAGGGGGCGCTATGGAGCCATTTTGCATTGTATTGTTTGGGCGACTTCAGAATATCAAATTTTTCACCAGGCCCGGTCGTCCTGCCAAATTTCATGAGTTTTCGCCAGTGGGAAGTGGGCCATTTTCCAGTTCAAAGGGGAGGAAAAAGAAAAAAGAAACAAAGAAAAACCACTTGGGGAATAATAGGGCTCTCGCAGCTGCTTCGCAGCTACGCTCGGGCCCTAAAGACAGAGAGAAGACAGAGAGAGAGAGGCAGGGAGGAGTACAAAGAGGGTGACCACTGAGGCAAAGACAGACGTGCTGATCTAAAACAGGGAGCAGTTAATGACTCAAACTTCTCTGGAGGAAAGATGGATACAGAAGGGGGGGAGAGAACAGAGAGAGGAGATAGATTACATCATCCTCTCATCCTCATTGCTGCCCCCTATGACAGATAGATACATTATAATGCTGATAATCTGATCAAGAGGATGCTGATCCAGGTGTATAGTGTCATTCGCAGATGGCTGCTGTTAGAGTCCCACTCTGATCTTTTTTTTTTCCTACTTGAAGTGTTGTCACTGGTCTTTAAATTGTCATTATGACGTTTTTACCAAAAATCGCTTTACTTGTGTCATTTTCAAGGACTTTTCTTCTGCAGAGCTCCTGTAGATCATTAGTAATTCGCCTCTGAGCCGTGGGCGGAGACAGCACTGCTCTGCACACTCATCCTCACGCTAGTTTACAGCCTAATATTGCCGTTGTTGTAGTAGTTGCAGGTTACATAGGAGCTATTCAGCTTTCGGACACTAATGTCTTTAGGGACACGATGAAAGCTAATAATATAGCATCAGAAAAATGCCATATGAACATATAAAAAAATTTATAAAACGTATAAAAAATAAGAAAAACATGATTTTCAACCCAGTGGGTCTTAATGTGGCAAAGAGAGGAGATTAAAATCACACATCAGCCTGTTTAAAAGTCAGTCCTTGTAAGCTGTTAAGTGGGTTTTTTTGTTGGTATTGTTTTTGTTCAATAACCGTTACTAGATCTGTGTGTAATGTACACAATGATTACACACAGATTTATCTCCTATATTTGTAGCCATGTGATACTTGAAATTCACAGCCTCTGAAGCCTAAAAAAACTTAAAATCGACATTCATCTAATCAAACTCTCCTGTTCGCCAATGACGTGAGATAGAGAGGGGAGGGTAAGAATGAAGGGAAAACTGACAAAAATATGAGGATGAGAGCACAGAGGAGAAGCAAGAGCACATAGTTTGAAGACAAAGAGATACTGGGGAAAGACAGAGGGCTTTCTTTTGAGATAATTGGAGAGCTCGTTAGGCTGACGGGCAAAAAGAAAGCCAGTATTGGAAGAGGGCAGCTCATTAGGATCGGTCCAAGTGTGAGCGAGCTCTTGTTAGGGCCAGAGTTGGTTAACGCTCCTCATCGGCATTCATCCAGCTGGGAGAAAACCAGAGACAGCCAACAGAAAGGGGCTTCTCTCCCAAGAGGAAATGCAAGGAAAATGTAATCTGCATGTTTTTGTGGATTTTTTTTAATTGTATCCACTTCTACAGTGAGAGTAAAATGAATCCTGTACCAAGAGCAGAGGCACTTATGTGTCTTTCTGCTCAGTTACAAAACACATTTTGACTTTAAGAACAGATGTCATGCTCCAATAAAATCGTTAGCTGGACTGATAGTGTGCTACTGCATCTCTGTGTTCATGAAGAAAATACTTACTCCAGTAGCTCATAGTTGGATTTCTTGTCCAGGGCGTTCCCTCTCATCTCTTTGAAGAACCTCCTGGAGGGAAAAACCAGCGGGACACACAGAGAGAACAAGATCAGATCTTCTCACAGCAGCGATACCAAGGGGACTACCAGTTCAAAGTGTTCGAGCTTATTACTTATCTCAGTTTTCTGCACAAAAATGCATGTTCAGACATGGGAGGTGAGTAAGTTTTATGATAATAAAAGTAAAGGTTTTGCTTTAAATGAGAGCAAAATGGTTTCAAAGTGCAAAACTTTTAATCTCTGCAGGGAGCAATTTTTGCTCTTGATCCAAAAGAAAAAAACCCAACCAAAGATGAATTCTGGCAAGTGTGTCATTTTAAGTTTTCATGAACTAAGTCCTGAATTAGAGCCGCTGTTACGTGGCCAAAGCATGTCCAACCTGATTTCTAGACAGCCAAGTTTGAGAGCTACATCTTGTTCCACTTGATCCCCGATCTCTGTCATGTAGTCATTCTTCACCTGGAAGATACAAATACACAAGAATATGATGATTAAATTATGTACCTCTATATGCAACAAATGGCACACGTACAAACACTCTGACCTAAATTACCAAAAGCCAAACACAGTCTGTCTTCAAGCGGTGCCATATGTCTTGGCACTGTGTAGCTGCTAGCAGAAAATTAAATCTGTTGTTGTCTGGCTGCCGTCAAGTGTTTGTGTGTCTCTTTTGGAAGTACCTGATGGTAGAAGTAGCTGAGCGTGGGTTTATCCTCTGTAAACTGTTGAACAAAGCCCTTTGGAAGATACCGGATCCTCAACTCATACCTGTGGTCAAACAACAAGAGTAAGCTTTCCTATAAAGAGCTGCACAAACAGTACATTTTTTAATCAAAAAGCAGAAACAAACTGTTATAAAACTGTTTAATCTGGCATCCCACAAGGCTCTATATGAGGTCCCCATTAATTTCAAATTTCAGTAATTATCTTGCACTGATTTGTTCAAACTGTCACATTAATCTCTTTGCTGATGATACTTTAATTCATCTGACTCAAACACATCATAAATTCAGTTTTCTCTACAGTTCAAATTGAATCTAAGATAATCGTGAGCTTACATTGTCTAAAAGCCTAAGTCTAATTTACTCGCTTGGAAATCAGCTGATGCATCTTCAGGGGCTATCCTCTAATAAATTTTAGTCTTTATGCCGTTCACACTTACTGCTCTCATGTTCCCAGTAAAGAAACTCCAGAGTAATGCTGGGCTTTTTTCTGTACTGTAAAAGCACCATAATAAATTGCAGTGAAAGTGAGGGAAATAGGGAAAAGGTTTAATTATACCAACTACAGACACAAGATAACCCAGGAGATACAGAGGACAGAAAAAAGTCTGAAAATTGATATGCAAAAATGCAAATGAAGACATGATTGAACCGTCAAGACAGACAGAAGCAGAGTGAGTTGTTGACTTAGTCAAACAAAGCAGGCATCTGGTTCTCTTTCTCACAGTGCAAAAGGTCTGCACTTTACAAAAGGTCTCCACCAAGACTGCTACAATAAATGTAACAAACGCCAGATCATTAGCATCCAAACTGCCAAAACTGCCAAAGCAAACATGAGCACGGCCTCAAATCTCCAGACAGCAGACGAGCGGCTCCTGTTTTGTTTCCTGTTGTTGGTTGCGACAAATCACTTTCTGCTACTTTGGTTATACAATAGGGCAGACTGCTGTGGGAGGCTGACTAGATTTACTAAGTAAAATAAGTCATGTTTGTGCTGAGGAAACTAGTTCCCCCTAATTTCCCCAATGGACTTGCATGCACCTGCTGCAAAATCCGACAATATTTCACTCTCACTAAATAAGCTGATTAAGTATCTGCCTTCTAAGTTTAAAACGTCAAAAGATATGGGAATCATCGGCAAACAAGACAAAAACACCTTAGATTAGGTTGTGTACAAGTTGTTCACATATAACAAAAAAGTTATAGGTCCCAGAATTGAGCCTTGTGGCACCCCACAAGAAATCAGTTTATGAAATAAAGTCAGATACAGAGTTGTTCTCTGCAGCATGTTGATATCTTGTTGTTAAGTAGCTTCTGATCCATGATTACCTCCATGTTAAATTAGTTTAAAAAAAAAAGTTTCTGCAGTAAAATATCATAACTGACAAAAATTTTGGTCCCCAGTTTTTCCGAAATAAGATTGTAAGATTTCACTTCCATTTTTTCAGGAATTTCACTCAGATGAATTTGCCTCTGGTCAAATATTTGACAATGCACAGGGTAACTTAGATTCATATCTGAGGAGATCACAAGCCTAAAACTTGTAACATAACAAGCAGCAGAATGAGATGGTAGATAATGGCAAAAATAATACTGACACTGACACTAACCTGCTATTGCCTTAACAGTATGCTAAAACCACAAATCAAAAACTCCTTAATATGTACATCAGGAAAAACCCCTGCAAACTCTAAGTCAATCAAAAAAACACAAAAACAGCAGCAAAGTGTACGATTCGCTTTCTTTCCAACCATTTCCCTTTAACTCACCTCCACTCCTCGTTTGGTTGTGCCTGTTCGTATTTCTCTCTGACGTGGGAAACACCCATATCAGGGTGGAGCCAGTGCACCTGGTCCCTGGACTGGCTGTTGGTGAGACGGAGACCAAAACAAGATGTCCAGCGCACTTTGTGGATGTCCAGAATCTTCTGGATGATTCCCTGGAGGAAGGGCAGAAAACAATTTTATGGGGATGTATTTCTAATTAACTTCTCTTGTATAGCAGCAAATAATCTCACCAATAAAAATGGAGTTAAATTAATTTATGGCTTAAGAAAACATCAGCCTAATAAAGTATTTCACCTTCATATTTACACTGATACTCTCCCAGATATACGTAAGTGTGCAGACTCGGCCAAAGTTTATTCACAGCATTTTGCATCAGGTTCATAAGGACATCAGTCTATGTGAGCGTGTAGGTAACTTGAAGCAATTAAATCTGACGTCCCTACCCAAACAAGATGACGGACATTACACACAGACCCGCACTCATGCTCAAAGAAGCATGTGTGTTGTTGTATAAAATGCTGGAGGGTCTGACCTAGAAACTGAAGGAGAAAGAGGGGAGAGGATATTTGCAGTGATGTTTCTGCACTACCCCTAAAGTTTGAGCTGTGCTACGTAGAGCAGTCTCTGCGTCACAGGAGGGTTTTTAAAAGCATAAGTAAGCTGACAGGAGTGCACAAACACTGAGTGAAGCCTGAGGTATAATGTCCTTTACTCAGAAAATGTCCTTGTGTTGCAGAGGGCAGAAACAGGGCATTGAGCTCAGATGTGATTGAGAGTGAAATTGAGATTTTTCTTTTAATCAAGTGTCCCAGACATTTCAAAATAACAGGTTTCAAAGTTGATTTTTGTCTAAGGTAATCATTATCTCATACTGGACCATGCCTACGTCTAATTTTCAGGACTTTCTTGTAACAAAAACAACTCCAGTCAGTCAAACAGAAACTGGTTTCGCTTGTGTCGTCTTACCCTGACATCAGTCGCGTCTCCATATCTGATATTGGAGGACCAGCAGCTGTGTTCAGTGTTGGTTTCAAAGTGATGGAAGACCTTCAGAACTCGGTCCACGGATCCTGCCATGGTTCGGTCTGACCCCCCTGTGCTAAGACGGGATTTGGCTCCTCCTAGGAGGGCATGGTTCAGGTTGGGGTCCATGTAGGCCGTCGCCATGGTTTTCCCTGCTGACACTGCTGCTGCTAGGTGTCTGTCATATTCTGGGGAAGGAAAACAAGCAAACCAGCAAAAATCAGTGAGGATTTGATTGATCATTCAGTCCATGAATATTTAGAGGGATGGAGTCAGGATAATGTTAGTTTTTGCGCTTGCGTCGATCGAAAAGTTTAGTCTTTGTCAATAAAAACAACTGATTCATTTTCTATCATCTGCCAGTTTTAGCTGTTGGTTCCATCCAATGAACACTCCAGTTCATCCCTGTTCCAGGATACTTATGATAGAGTAGAGTAAAACCTACTAAAACAACAGCAAAAGTTTTCATCCAACTCTCCTTAGCTGGCTAAAAAACAAGCTGAGTGCCGCCACACAATGATCCACCAGAGAGAGGATTAGAAAGAGAATGAGGAGCACTCAGGGTCAAGGCTCAATGTGAGCACCTGCGTCTAAAACACAAAGAAGACAATGCGCCTCAGGCTGACGTTTTTCCTGAGTAAGAAGCCGTGACATTGACACACATCCGGTGATTTCTTGGTAACTTCAAGTGGGAATGCTCCCCCTCAAAAAAAAACGACCTCCTGAGAGACTTTGAGTGTTTTTTTATCATGGTTATAATGTAGGAAAAAGACACAAAAATCTCTGTCACTACAGTTATCTGTTTCCTTTTTGGTCCTCTTTCAGCATTAAAAGGAAGGAAATGGATATGTGCAGGCAGGTAATTACACCTGAGAGAAGAGCGGATACACACACACACACACACACTCATCTGTACACACACTTTATGATGCATGCTAAACTCAGAGAAAATACTGATAAACTGTAGTTCAGTTTTAAATAATGAAGCCTTTTTTCAAGATGAATCCCTCTGCTGGTTCTCAGAATTGGGACCTGAGTCTCTCTCTTGCAAACACACACACACAGACACACACAGACACACAATACTTCTGCTGAGCAACAGTAGCTTTGGCTGCACACCAGCTCAGTTCCCATGGAGTCAGATGTCACACTGTGGAAAAGCTTCATGCTCCTTTACTGAGTGTGTAGTTGTGTTTGTGCAAAGTTTTCATTCATACCTCTGTCCCAGCACATGGGGAAGGGGCTACAGCCACTCATTGCCATGGAAACGCATGTCTGTCCCTCCCGGTGTCTGTCTGCACCGAGGGCAGAGAGGCAGCTCGCGGTCTCGCAACCACGCATCACGCACGGTGAACTTCTTGTGTGCAGGACTTGCATAAATAAACACACACACGCCAAGGTCCAGACACAACTGCAAGAACAGGCTCATGTAAACCAAACACTAACACACACAAACACACACACTCAGTCTCTAAGGAAGAAATCTTTGTCTCCAGCTTTTGTCAACAGCTTCATTAGCCAAGTGTTGTTTCCAAGCAGAGAGGCAGATTTTCTGGTCTGCTGCGAGGCTTCAAACAACACATCCACAAAGAAAGTGCAAAAATCAAGTCCTTTGAGTGGTTTCTCCTCTGCTGGCCTTATCTTCTGAACTTCTTTCTCTTTGCAACAGTTGCACAAGCCAAACAAGTTCCCCAGAGATGCAAACTTTCATCCTCCACTTCCAAATGACTTCTCAGCGGCTCCTCTCTGATGTCAACAATCCTTTAGTTTTTCTCCTACACTCCATACCCACAGTGTTTGGTTGGAGCAGTCCGTTTCTTTCACTTGGTTAAGTCCATGTGATGGGAAAACAGCTCCTTCATCAAAACCTCTCAAACAAATCCAGCTTATACAGGGTCGATCTGAAGGAGATCCAGTCGGTCAGTTCGTTAGTGGTCACAGGAATGGAGAGAGACAATTACTGCGTGCACTGACACACAGACAGAAAGTTATCTTCATCCCTCGCAAAGAGAAAGTGAGAGGGAAGAGTGAGCCAGATAAAAACAAAAGACAGAGGGAGAGAGAGAAATAGAGGGACTGAGAGAGAGAGAAAGAGAAGTGCAGTGATAGTTTCAGTATGAAAGAGGAAAAAGAGGACAGAGCAGAGAGAAAGTTGAGTGCAGACTGGGAGAAACTGAGAGAGGGAGAGCTCTGCTGGAGGAGCAGGAGGAGCTAGAAACTATTAATATGCTAATCACACTCGCCTCTTGTGTTGGATGAATAAAAAAAACCCTCCCACTTCTGTTTATGAAGCTGACCTCGGCCACAGCAGCTCTTACGCTGGACAAAGATGGCCAGCAATGCAAAACTTAAAGAAGTCAAGAAGACGTGAAAAATCCTCTTATGCAACAAGTCAATGTTTTAACCAGAGTACTGAGGAGAAATTCATTCACTGAAGATTAAAGACAAAGAAATAAAGTTATGAGGAAAGCGAGGACAGGGTATTTATTTACAACTGATCAGAAGAGGAACACTCTAATCTCTGCTGAAATATCCTCGATAAGACAAACCAGATATTAAAGCTGCTATTAGCAACTTTCTGTGTTGACTTTGGCGCCCCCTGTAGACAAAGTGGTAACCTTGATTTAATCTTGCTGTCCTGACATCCTTCTATTGTCATTTTACAGTAAATCTTTTGGAATAAAATAACATGCATGTACATATTTTATAGCACAAACTCATGATTCAATTAAAATGTCCTACAAAAGAGGAAAGGAGAGGAGAGGAAAGGAGAGGAGAGGAGGGCATTTTCTCCTTATGCTGGCGTTGCCCTGGCTGTGCCAAGCATGATAACAAGCATCTGTTAGCAACATGCCAACCAATCCACTTCCAAACCACAAATCAATCACCCTTCAGACAGCACATTCAAAGTCAGTCAGCCTGTACTTTGAGAGGAGGCACTCTCGATGTCCCAGAGTACTTGAGGCGCCGCCCTGAAGGCTCATCTCCATGGCAACATGCCTCCAATGAACCTGTGAGCGAGTGGCACCTATCTATCTATCAATGGGAGTGTTACTGCTGACCAGATGCCAGCTTCCATGAATCAAGTGGACATTTATACGACAGAGCACAGCCTGGACTGGAGGACTGAGCGGACATTGATGGTTACTTAAAGGAAAAGAGCAGAATGTGCACACAGCAAAGTCATACAATCTGTAGGAGACTTTATGGTGCAGTCAGAGTGTGTGTGTGTCTGTGTGAGTGTGTTTCCTATAATTTGTGCATGGTAATTGTTCTTTGAGGAGCAGGAGGTTTGGTGTATGTGTGTGTGTGTGTGTGTCCTTTTGAAAGCCTTTTGTCAGGGGTCCGGATGTTGCCATGAATGGGAAGCGCTCTTTTGGGACTATGCCAAAGTATCTCTCTCTCTCTCTCTCTCTCTCTCTCATCATTAACTCATAATTATCTTCAAAGGAGATAGAAACACAACACTAAACTACTAAATGTGAACAAAATAAATAATTAAGAAGAAGGTAAACCTCGGGTTTGTAATAACTCCTTTGAATTTTCTCAGATCATATTTTTTACAATCTCAAGCCTTTAAGTCAAAATCAAAGACTATTAAAAATTACTGTTATTTTTTTTCTACTACTTCTACTCTACCTTTGTTAACATTTCATCCACTTAAAAACAACCAAAGGGCACTTTGTTTACATTTACTAATTGTCTGTAAACCTTTAATCTACAGTAAGCGCATTCAGAGAGCACTTTGTTTAAATATTCTTATTGAAAAAAAAAACAGGGGTAACTATGTTTACATTTCACCCACTTAAAAAACAACCAGAGGGCACTTTGTTTACATTAACGCACCTAAAAACAACCAAAGGAAACTTTATTTACACTTACTAATTTTGAACAACCAGAGGCCCCTTCACTCAAACAGCAACAACGGGACCACTTGTTTACATTTTAACCACAAGAAGAGTAACAAGAGGTTAGGGGGTGGACATTGTATTCGTGTAAAACTGCGAGCACTTTGTTTACACTGTACCCATAAAAAGACTTTGTATACCCTTACACATTTTAAACTAACAAAGGGTCCTTTTTTACATTTCTATAGTGAAGCAGCTGCTAGAATGCAAAGACATACAGAGCTATACAGCTATAAAAAGCATGGCTGACTAAACCGTGGATTTGCTATCTCCTGGCACATCAATATATTTAATAAAACTGGCCAATGAGGTCTGCTTTCAGGGAATGATGCCACAGCACATCAATATGCTTTTAATTTCAGAAATAGAAAGGAAAATTACAGCCTCAGGTCATGCAGAGATAAACTTGGATCATTTCTTTTTCTGGTTTTAGTTTGACATTTACAATGATCCACATGCTGCAGATGATAAACAGTACTTTTTCTTTTTATCATGTAATTATTCCAAGAAGAAAAATTGGTATGAGATAAACATTTCTTGCTTCTCATTTCTGTAATAACTTCACTTCATTCCCTCCTTTATGATCTTCATCATCCCATTAGCAGTAAGCTCCATTGTCATAGAGTTGGCTCAGATGTCATCACATTATTCAAGTGTTATTATTAGAGGTCATATGATGACAGCTGGGACAACTGTCTGACTACAGAGCCAACATCTACTCTCTCATTAACACTTTGACACATGCTCAGTAAAGCTCCAGAGAGAGCATGAATGGAGTTTCAGTCTGCAGCTCCTCATCAGAGACACCTTGTGGTGGTTAGAGTACAAATAAGCTGCTAATGCTGTGATTGAGTGAGTGAAGCAGCTGAATGAGCAGTGTGAAGGTGGGGTCAAAGGTCAGTCACTCACCTGTGTAGTAGGCAATCCTGGAAATATCTGTAAGACACAAAGAGACACAAATTGAGTTAGCTGGTTTGATGAGTTATTACCCGCTGAATAAGAAATCAAAGCGGTCCGAACAGTAATGAGGTTTATTCAGCTGCACAGCAGGAGTTCACAGATCTGTCACAGGAGGTGCCAATACTTGTCAAATAAAGAACTTTGATCAATAGCTCCTTGACTTTTCAGCATGATATTGATCTATTTTTTAAGAATCAATATCCCATTGTTGCCTTTTTAAGCCAAACCCAGAAATCACTGGTTTAAAGACCCAACTGCTCTAAAACAGTGTCTTCTTCAACCCAACCTCACACTACACCCTCCTACATATATTAACCCTGTAATGACATGCACCCCCAGAGAATCATCACACTAGCCTTGAACGAATCAAGCAGAGCCCTCTTCTTTAATATTTAACCACTGCACTCACTTATATATGCTCACATCATGAAGATACCACTTTTGTATGATAGCACAAAAATACACACATATTATAAAAAAGGGTAGTGATATCGTGTGGGACTGTGCATTGCAAAGTATTATCACATTGATTGATCGTGCACATACTCCTGACCAGGAACATAAGCCTGTAGTTCACATTGTACATAGAGATCAACAGCTCACATTTACTGAGGTATTGAGAGTTACCGAGCAGTTACTGAGCTCTGTATTTCATAGCACCCATCACAAGATGCCATTTATTTGCCTAAATAACTGGCTGACCAGTTAATTGGTCTTTCTCTTTTTAGAGGTACTGTATTGATCAAACAATTTGAGTATTTTTCCTTGAAATAAATCTGGAAGCAGTGGGATTGTTTGGATTGAGGAATTGACTCTTTGCTGTAACACTGTCATATGAACATACTACTGTTGTGTACTAGCTCCAATAATAGAGCTGTTTAATGCAGCAACTAAGCTAAAAAAACTCACTTCTACAGTGGAGTATTTGGACAAAAAATAGATATTTTGATAATAATGTCATTATGTTAAAAGGATAAAGTCGTAAGATACTCAAGTTGCTGGTTTACAAAATAAAGTCATAGTGTTATGAGGATGAAATTACATGTTTTCAAGAATTTACTCCTAACACTGACACAGTCAGGTTAATGATTTACCTTTTTATAAAGGGACAGGCAATACAAAAAGCAGCCAGCTGCTTGAGCTGAAATGAGAACCATGGAGTGTTCTGTCATATTAAAGTAGTAAACCGTTTTATTTTGTTTGTTTGTTTACAAGCTGCTGGTCTGATATCCTCTTCTGCAATAAACACACTATCTATTAACTAAAATAAAGACAGTATGTTCTCCTGACATAGCAAATTTATTCACTAGTATGAACATAAACCAGTTCACTTGAATCTGTGTGAGCTGAACCTTGAGTCCTGACGTTATTATTGAGCTGCCCAGGATACATCAAGGCTGCAGCACCCAAACCCCCACAGGAAGCCTACTGAAAACCTGACACCCAGTTATAGCTGTGATGGGTCTGTGTGCAGGCGGGGGTCAGGAGAGTCTAAGTGCTTTAGACACCCTGATGCACATATACACACACACACTGGTGCAGGATGAAATGACAGTAGAGGTCGTCAACAATAATGATGTAATGGTGAGGAGAAAAACCACAAACCATAAAGGAAATACCAAAAAGGTGACTCATGGGTGTGTGTGTGTGTGTTATCGACAGAGTCTTTGTAATACTAAACCAGGCCCTTACAGTTACTGTGTGTGTGAGTTAGAGAGTCCAGGTCAGGTGGTGAAACAGATTAGACAACATTACAGTAATAATAATAATAATACATTTTATTTATAAAGCGCTTTTCAAAAACACAAAGACGCTGTACAGAGTTAAGCAATAACAATAAAACCCAGTGAAAATAAACTAAAAATAAAACTAAATGCACTCCTAAAAGATGTGAACTCTGTAAAAACAACGTTCAAATGTGGTTGATAAGTTGTGAATGCAGCCTGGCAGACGGAGCATTTTTTCTTGAATTGAAACATCTCTAAATGACTGAACCACATCACACACAGCTGTAATGGACCAGGGTAAAAAGATCTGGGGCTTCTTATGCCTCAAAGTGCCTAAAATGACATCTACCATAGATGAACCTCACACACACCATCTGTCCCACTTCTGCTCCCACTCACTGTCTCTCTCCCTGTCAGAGTTTGATGAGAGTTAAGTGTTATGTAGCCTGAATATGCAGCCACACAGGCGGTGTTACAGTCTAGACGACGAAGCAGAGGAGACTGTGGCCTCCTCACGTCTGAGGAACAAGACCAGACAGCACCTTTACAGTCAGGAGTACATCTCCCTGAGTTTACTCTTTGGAATATAATACAAAATAGTTTAACTCTTGAAACTAAGCTGCAGGTTTAGCCCTCTGCTCTTACATATAATTGACCTCAGCCGTAAAGAAGATAGGTATCATTTTTGATACCAGGATGCTGTGACAGCTCTATGTGCAATAACATAACTAACACCCTGTTGACTTTTCCCTCTGTTGAGTCTCCTGTAGAGCTGCTAGCACCATGCTAATTACAAACCAGCTTGTTTAACAGCCTCCACTGCTCATATATCAAAGACAGCCCAGAGTCATTTTTCTCTCTCACACACACACACACTTCCCTGCAGAGTGGCAGACAGCCCAAAACACCTGCTCCTCAAGCTGTTCACCACTACAAGACGTGCAGGAGAGGGGTGAGGATCTCCTCAGTCTATGAAGACAGTGAATGGTTAAGCATCTCTTTCAAAATTTATTCTGTGTTGTTACAGTTGAGTTTCTTGCACAATACTTCCACATGACTTTGTGATGACTTCCAAACATGTTATCCTGGAGGAGTAAAGAGCAAAACTACATCTCCATTACGCCAGAACATGAACAGTTTCTCTCAGGGCTGCACCTCCTTTGGCTGAGGGAGAAAATAACTACTTCATGAAGGCTTTCAGTCGCTTAAATGTTCATGATCAAAAATGATATTTGCATTTTCTACAGCTGCATGGTGGTCCTGCTCCTCATTTCCATGTCAGTATCATGAGGCAGCATAAGTTAAGGAGGGGAAACTTTTGCTCAGTTTTGGCTCCGGCCCACTTTAAAGTCTGTGATCATGGGCAGAGAGCGGATTAGCAGTCATAACTCAAACATGTCTGACAGATAACCTACCCGCCACTCACACATACAATGTGAGAAGTCTGTTTGTCTATACAACATGTATAATTACACGTTAATTACAGCTCTTTTGAAACTGTAATTAGACAGAAAAACCAAAGGAGACTCTGCTATGATACGATGTCTGACTGCAGGTCTAAGATCAGAGGGAAATCTGTGAGAGTTCAAAGGGTCAGACTATTTTTCATCTATGTGACCCAGACTAAAGCCTCTTAAGCTCAGATACTTAAAAGCAGAGATAGGACCCTGCAGTTTGAGCGTGAACCCCGTGTACTGAGGCGAACGTCACTGCAGCAGCTGCTCTTCTAGAGACCCTTTGCTGCATGTTGTCTCCCACTTTCTGCTCCTTACATGTCCTCTCTCTTTGGCTGTGATAATGACTATTGTAAGAAGAAGAAATATTTAGTGAGACACCACCAGCTGATCTCTCTCTCAGTAACTTAAAGGCATGGATGACAATTGGAGAGATTGATGATTATTATGAATCTCGTTTCTATGGCGATCATAGTCCTATAGTGCGATCTCCACAAAGTGAAGAGAAAAAAGAATGGAAAAAAATCTGTTCACCCTAGAAGGCGCAGGGCTGCAAAACCATTGACCAATGGGAGCCGACCGTCCCGGACAGCTCCTATTGGTCAATATCCTGCTCCACTATGCATCAACTATGCCCTTAAGTATTGGCTTTCTATATCTGTGGTTATTGATCTCTTTGCTATTGCATGTTAAGTCCAAACGGCCCACTCAGATTGAGTTTGTGCCTCTGGGTTTCCATGCAGAAAAGAGAGCTGAAGCTCCTGCAAACATCATATGTGGATCATTTCAGCTGCAGTGGATCAAGCTGACTGAGGGAGAAAAGAGGCAGATGTTCCTTTTATCCTTGTTTCAAAAAAGACCCTCTTCTATTTAATATAAACTGAATTCATTCATGGGGAGCGGCCGGACGCTCTGCCTCGTTGCTCTTAGCCTAATGGTTAAACTTCAAGCTGAGCTGGCACACGCCTGAATGTTTGTGTGTGTGTGACCCTCTGGACAATAGGGTGTTAGTGAAGCGTGCAGCCTTACGATGCTGCAACACAACCCCTGAGGCACCAATCACACCTGCCACTTACACTAGAGCTCTAATGCAAAGAGCAACAAACACAAACTTGTAATGCTTGTGTCCTTGAAATACATCTGATCAGCAAGGAGGGAGCAGATAAAGCATAAGTGCTCTTTTCCTGTTATTCAACCTTATAAAATTATTAGAAAGCTGCAAGGATTGCACTGAATTTAATATCTCTGACACACACACACACACACACACACACACACACACACACACACACACACACACACACACACACACACACACACACACACACACACACACACACACAATCCCTCAGATGATACACACTGCAGATAAATCAAACACCCGTGCAATATAATAAGGTCACGTAAACGCATGACTGCTCATTCACACTTATCTGCAAAAGGGCACACACAGTGATACACACATTCACTCAAGTGTGTTGAGTTCAGGTACAGCGATAAAGCTAACAGGCTAACTGGAGCGGCACGCATGTTAATGTATCACCCTCAGACCAGATAAAGCATGTATAATTCATCATAGCAGATTGAGGACGAATGAACTGCTAAGATCCTATGAAACTGTTTTTTTTTTTTTCCTGAAACAATGACACTTTTGAATAAATCAAAACACATTTGGCATAAAGTCGTATTTGTGTACCATCCCAGTGGGAGGGTCAAACAAATATTTACGCTCACTTAACCAACAAGAAAAAAAAAAACAGTTGGATTAAATATTAAATTCTTCCACGACTCTTTTTAGTGAGCAAACTCAGGGGAACAGTTTACAAAGCGAAAAATGAATACTCGATTCTGATTGGCTAATGAAAGCAAATCCTTTCTAGGTCTGTTTCATGCTTTATAGATAAGAGCAGCACTAGACCGAAATAACAGATGTATAATTAATCAAACGAACATGGCTAGTGGTGCAGTCAAGTGGAGTTCCTGGTATAGTCAAACGCATTTGTCCTTTAAAAAAACATTTTATTTATCAATTCATCAATTTACACGACAACAAGTGTGGCTACATGATGCTGAGACTGAAGATGGAGGTGAAGCAAAATGCAGTATAGTGTATGATAAAAAATGATTTCTTGCCAAGAGGAAACCCTCAACCTCAACAACCAAGCACCTCTTCACCAAAAGCAGTCTGGGTAAACTCAGCCAGGCATTAAAGCAAGTCCAGTAAGTTAAAAATCAGAATCCAGAGTGGAAATCAGAGGGATGTAAGCTAATTAGTTAACTAACAGAGGTGACAGACGAGTTCATTGTGAGGTGTTCAGGGTCTGGTCAGTAAAACGAGAATGAAGTCAAAGTAAGAAATATGTTATCATGATGTGTTCAAATGTCACGTCCAGAAAAAGAGAGAATAATCTTTTGGTTAAAAAAAAAAAAATCTTTCCAAAGGCAAAATATTTGATTGGAAAAAATAATAGAACTGACTCAAGAGCGGTATGTATAAGAACTCGACTCATTATGGTTTCAGTATCAATAACAGAAAGGCAAACAGCACTTACATAAGGCAAGTGAAAAGCAGGGTGTAAGTCTTTATCCGTCTATAAGTATGTATGGACGTGTGTGTGTGTTCATGTGTGTGTGTGTGTGTGTGTGTAAGACAGGGGGCGAGTTATTCTTCCTGTTTAGCATTGCACATCAATTATGAACCACGAGAGCAATATTAAATCTTACTGAAATATACATGACGTAACCTAGAAACAAAAGCACCGCCGGGGGATTGTTCCCTCATGTCTACACTTACAACACACATGCACACTAACACACCTACACAAACACACACAAGAGCACACGAAACAGAAATACTCCACAACGCCTACACACAGTGCCAAGTGGGAAATGCTCTGCATAAAGAGGAATGCTTGATTCATCAGACACAACCCACTAATCTGACACACCTCTCACACACTGCCTCAAAAAACACACACATGTGCACACACATGTGCACACAAGCAGCGCTGACCTCCTTTACTACACGTGCACACTTGAGTTGAAGCCTCCTACATGAATACAGCCAAATACTTCGATATGCTTTTTTTCCATGTTCACCATCAATGCTGAGGTTTGCAGATGGTAAACAAAGCAGAAGAGGACAGGATCACACTCAAATATGTCCAAAAAATACAAAATCAGCACTTCATTTTTTTAATTTAAGTGTGGTTAAAATTTCTCAGTTACTTGATTAATTTGGCTTTGATGATAAAGTTAACAGATCTCATGTTTTCCTCAATCAACAGCCCAGAATCTCAAAGACATATAGTCAAAAATAACAAAAAAAAGAGAAATGCTCAAAATGACTTTTGGCGTTTCGTATTTTGCATGCATTTCTTCAATAATTAAATTTCTATGAATTGAAATAGCATTTCAATCTGCTTGCAATTGAGTTTATCTCACAGCTTTGACTCAGTTTTACTCCTCCTACTTCAGGGCATCATCATCATCACTATTTCAACAACTGCATTAAGAAACAATGTGTTTAAATTCAAACTTCATCCACAGCTTATATTTGCAGGAACATAAGGACATCCAAACTCCAACAATCTGCACTTCCTCTCAGCACTTTGACTCCCATGGTCAACATGAAGTATATTCAGATACTGTTAGTTTAGATGCAACAGGATAAAAACATAACTGCTGGTACATGATGTATAATTAAACACGAGCATAAATATACATGGGTTCACGCAAACATGCAAGCACCCACTCACATGTGCACACACACTGCTGCATAATGAAACTCTTACCGTGGTATAATCCCTCCATTGAAAGTCCAAAAAGGGGAGAAAAGAAGAAGAAGAAGAGAAGAGAAGAGAAGAGAAGAGAAGAGAAGTGAAGAGAAGAGTAATCCCCCCTTTGACAAACAGCTTAATTGGGAAAAAGCCAAAATCCTGACCCCCTCTCTCTCTCTCTCTCTCTCTCTTTCTCTGTGGTCTTTGGGCTAGCGTTCTGATGTGCTAGCCAGCTAACTCAGTAATGATGGCTAATGTCGGATTAAACCTACAAGCCGGCCTCATCCTCCTCCTCCTCCTCCCACTACTACTACTACTACAACTGCCGCTACACTGACACACAAACACACAGCATCACCAGCGGGAGTCGAGGAGGGGAAGGGCTGACTGTGAAATAGGGGGAGGGAAGAAGAGGAAGGAACAGGGGGCAAGGAAGGAGGGGGGTCTTTGTCTCCCAGGAGAGGATGGAGGGGGGAGAGTGAGAGCCAGATGTACAGAAGACAAGCAGGTCAGAAAAGAGAGAGAAGAGAAGGGATGAAATAATAACTCTATGAAAAGTGGAAAAAGAGTGATAAAATGGAGAAAAGTGATAGAAGTGAAGCAGAAGTAACAAAGAGGGAAAATTCAGATCTGGAGCTTGTGGTAGACTTAAAAGAGAGGAGAAGCGTGGGCTTCTTTAAAATTTCTGTTGTGTTAGAGTTGTTGCCTTTGGCTATCCTCTCTCCCTGAAGACAAATTCACCCTGAGGAACTTCTCAATTAGTCATAATGCAACGTCTGTCCAACACAAATAATCCATCTTCACCAAACAAAAAAAATGACAGAAAATTAGAAACACGGGGGACAGCAGACAATTGGTTCATTGATCTTTTTTATACAGGCTGTATATATAATCAAATTACACTGTAATCACATCACACGCAGGGATATGGGGAAGTGCATCATGCTAAATTTGCGCTGATATTTAACAGGCTTTTAACATGGTTGAAAATGAGTAACAACCACGTGATATTTGTAAAACTTTAATCATAAACTCGAGAGAAGAATATCAAATGGAAAAAAAAACATGATTTATAGAGACGAGTCAGAGGTGAAGTAACACATTACTTTACAAACTTCACAAATAAACACAATTAACTCACATTCACTTTCCAAGTTTTCACCGGCCAGAATAATAAAACTGTGTTTCTGTGTAACAGTTTTATGATGGTACATTTTAATAGGACCATAACTTTCTGAATATAAACTGACAGAGTGGGCTGCAGACAGGAAACCTGGTGTTAATTTTGGTCCCTGTTTACATCATCATCCATTTTTGAGGGTGCTCAAACTTATTATTCACATCAGCAGCCCTGTGACTGAAACTTGTTTGAAAAAGACACAGCCTAATAAGAGGACAGTTTGTCATTCTTTTAGTTTGAAAAATATCTGTCTTTTTAAGGTTGCTCTACTGTCTGCATTGTAAAACCAAACTTTTATTTTAAAATCAAAGCTATCTGTCTACTATTTTGTGTTCTGTTCTATGGAAATTGTATCATCATCATTTGAAGGGGTTTTTCAGCTTTTCAGGACACTTGAGCAGCATTTTAGGCCATACATTTTCATGTCCTAAAGGCAGAAATCTGTTGTCAATAGATCTCTTCCTCCTTTCCTCCATGTGCCCACAGTTATGGACCACAAAATGTTCCCTAAGTGCCTCTAAATCTCTCGGCTATCACTGACTATTACTATTGAGATTTTACTCTAATTTACAACTGCATACTCGACACTAAATCTTTGGTAATGAGCCGGGACAGAGTCAAGCTCTCTGTTTCATTCACAAGTAAGCAAACAGACCAACAGACGAGCCCAGAGTTGCACAGGGGTAAAGCAGATTAATGGGCCACTGGATTAGTAGAGCAAGATGGCACACAAACACACACACAGACACACTCACACACAGCTGCTGGCATTTTGGACTCTCATTCAGAAGGGTTTAAACTCCGTCCTTCTGTCTCTATCTCCCACTCTTCTGTGAATCCACGCTGGTAGGTTAGTATGTTAACATGGCCCTCTAGTGGTGATGTATATATGGGTAACACAAAGTTAATCATGCGGCAGTCACTCTGCATACAGAAGCGTGTCCTACTATTAGGTTAGCTGTTTTTTTAAGGAAAATGTAAGAATGTATAAGAAATAAATAATATATAATAAATAATAAATATAATGATGTCATGAAACAGCAGAACCTTCAGCTCTATTCCTGTTCAGTGCTAAGAGCACAAACCCAGTATCATCACAGTATCATAAGGCCATTGCAAACAACCTGCAGTTTTCTCATTCTTGAAATCAGCTGCTGCAAAAGAGCAAAAACTGCAGCAGAAATGAAACTGTTTACAGCCTGACACAAAATCATTCAGTATAGGGAGGGATTTTTTTCAAAGAATTCATCTAGGTGAAGATATTAAAGCTTTTGTAAGTAACTCTCCATCTGTGTTGATTTAGTGCCCCCAGTGGATACCGTAATAACCTTTTTTGGGGCTGATTTTGTTTTGTTCTTTCAAAAGTGATAGTGTTGTTACGTTTGCAAATGATTTGTTCAAAAGAACCAAATCTTTTAAGTGAACGTGCTGAACCGAATGACTTTCTTGAGTGATTTGTTTGTTTCTCACTTCAGTTTAGCTGCCAACAGCACAGCTGCCATAGCACGCAGCATTGCCGAGCGAGGGACTGCACGCTCCGATGCCTGAATCAAACAGTGAACTACACTCTCTGGAATCATTTTTGTCTGAGGAATACACCTTCATGGCGACCGTTGTTCCCTGTTGTTTTAATAGCAGTACTGAGAAGAGAGTGAGACTCACCAGCTGTAGCAAGCTCTTGGCAGGAGCGATGGAGGGAGATAGGGATGTGTTGTGTTCAAGTGTACCTCGGACAAAACTAACTTTTTCTTTTTTAACTCTGCTAAATTGCCACCACAACAACTTGCAAACAGCAGGGCACAGCATTTATACAAGTAGTGTGTAAAACCCACAGTTTGAGAAATGCGCGACTGTCTGAGCCCATCCTTGCGGCGATTTGCGAGGGAATGTTCAGTGTGAATTCTTCACTGATTGTACTGTGGGGTAAACATTCAGTGAATGAATCACTCACTGAGCCCAATTTACCAAGTAGACCAGATAAGTAGCACATCATTGGACAGTACACTTACAAACTCATGATTTATAAACAAGTTCATTTTTACAAACCTACACACAGCCACAATACTCTTGTCTCCCGGTCCCAGAAGCTATAAATCGGTGAACGAATCTTTTTAGTGAACTGATTCTTGTGATTTAGTACATCTAAGAGAACTGCCGCACCCATCACTAAAAAGTTATGTTGATTTAAAAAAGCTGTCTCTGTTGTTTTTTTTATAGGGAAATATGACTGATCATCATATTTGTTTACCATGTCTGCTGCAAATCAAAGATATCCTCCAGTTCAGCCTTCTTGTGAGGGTTTATTTTTATAGCCTCAAGTATCAGGCTTATACTGTATATTCATATGAAACAGACTTATCATAGACGTAGCTCCTTCATATTTACTCACAGCCTCTCTGCCGTGGTACTTACACTGTCCCTTGGCTTTTCAGGCGCACACACACACACACACACACACACACACACACACACACACACACACACACACACACACACACACACACACACACACACACACACACACACACACACACACACACCTGCCTCCTGACTGATATTTTTTGGCTCTTCAGAAAACAAAGGGTGAAACTGAGAAGACATCAAAGTTTTATACAGTCTGTGACTCCAACACTTTCAAACCTTTACTTCACCAGCCACTCAAAAGTTAATATGGAAACCCCTCTATGACACATGGATAGGATCACTGCACTGAGGCTACAAGATTTTACAAACAGAAAAGCACTTGGCAAGACAAAAGAGAGAGAGAAAGAGAGAGAGAGAGACTACTCTTGAATGAAATGAATCTTTGTTACAGGAGTGTGAGTGTGTGTGTGTGTGTGTGTGTGTGTGTGTGTGTGTGTGTGTGTGTGTGTGTGTGTGTGTGTGTGTGTGTGTGCTGGTGACTAATTACACATACAGACACATTTACACAGAGGCAGACAGACACTGTAGCTCTATACCACATCTGACCTCAGCTACACGAGTTAATAGAAGCACAGTAGTCTGAGTCTGCGTGATGTCATACCTCAGGCTCGTACCCAGGTGTTTCACTGCTGATCTGTGTGTGTGGGTCCATGTGATCTACGATGACTGTGTGTTTTTGTCAGTGTGTGGTTGTGCATGAACCTAGAGATGAGATGAAGTCATATGATTGACCGAGCAGACGTTGATGTCAGCCTTGGTAGTAGAGGAGTCCTGCTGCTAAACCGGCCTGTTCACAGCTCTAACTCCTGACTGTATAATCGTGATACAAACTCTAGAAACACAATGCTGGCATCAAGTTTAAAATGACAGTAAAAAAACAAAAATATTCTCATTTAGGAATAGGTCACAAATTTGCAAGTAAGGATGGGTAATAAATTATCGTTCACGGTATGTCGTCAGGAGAAATCCCCCATGATAAATATTTGCCATCACATGATAAATACGACAAATGCAAGTTGACGATATAAGCACGAGCGACGGACTCGCAGCCATAGCCCACACAGAGTAGAATAACAAACAAACATGGCCGAAGGTAATGAAGAAGACGTTTCTGAGCAGCTCGTTACTGAATGAGGCTTCACATGAGGGAGTTCCTTCAAGATTGGGGTTAGATGAGTACAATATAGTATGTATGACATCGGACAGAGAATCTGCTGCTGTTCACTCTGTGCAGTGAGAGCTTTCAAGTATGTAGAAAATTTTTTCACATTTGAGGCTTGTTTGATGTCTCTAGTTTCCTCCATAACCTACCTCTCAAACTTGTGGTTAAGTATCTTATTTGACTTATTCAACTGGTGTTCTCAAGACAAAATGAGTCAAAAATATACATTGGAATTCTAAAATCTTTTATCGAGACTTGTATCGTTATCGCCAGAGTGGCCAAACTTACCGTGATACATTTTTTAGCCCATATCGCCCATCCCTATTTGCAAGCCATCATATTTTAACATAAACATTTCACACAGCATCACAACATTTTGTGGGGGTTGTATGATTAAAAAAATATCTAACCAGATATTTTGTCAGTCAGCACAGCCATGAGATATTCAGCCAGGAGCTTTAATTAAAGTGCTGGTGGCTGGATTTTGCTGTTTCCCCATTTCCAGACTTTATCCTGAGCTAAACTAATCAGCTTATGGGAACAGCTTTACATGAAGCATACACACCCCAGAGACTTTTATCGAACCTTTGAGGGTGGGAGAAGCAAATAAGTGTTTACTTAAATTTTACATGATTCTGTTTACTTATTTTTCAGCATTTCCATAAGTGTGCTTTAAAGTGTATTTGGTGTCTGAGACTTACCCTTAGATCTTGAATGTTGGACCAAATAGACTGAAAAATAAGAGATCTACTTCTAAAGATGATTTTGAAGCTGTACGCGCTCCAAGTTTACTACACATCTTCTCTGTTAGGTACATAAACTTTTTTCATCTTGGGATCATTCCTGCTAAACAACATCGTCATGTTTCATCTTTTTGTTTGAGTTTATCTCTACGCTGAGCTTTCTCCTCCTCCCAACTATCTTCCTTCTGTGTTGCTATATGACAAAACCCAACAATTACTCCTTTCTGTCTCCCTCTCTGACTCACTGCTGTATAATTACACTGACTGCAGTGCACACTCAGGCACCAAATACACACAAATGCATTCTGCAGGAGAGAGACAACTTATTATATCTGAGGCTGTAACAGTTCATATCTCAGCTGTTACATAGTCAGTGTTACACTCAGTGAGAGTGCTGAGAGAGACAGCTTTAAGCATGTGTCGTCATTTTTTCTTCAGGTCAAGGGGTCAGTCTTTTACACACACGTGCACTCACACTCACGCACAAATTTCATATCCACCAGTGGGAATCACAGTGTCCCACTTCCATTCATCATGAGCTGACATTCTTGCACCAATAACCAGTGCAGCTCTCTGTGAGTGTGTAGGGCTGTGTGTGCGAGTGTGTGTCCTTGTGTGTGCATGCCCCAAGGAGGAACAAGTCATTAACAATGATGTCATATCCTGCCATTGTAGCAGATTTCAGTGCACACAGTTAGAGTGCTTTACTGCATAGTTGTCCCTCTCTATGTACTGAGACAAGTCTGTTGAGATGGGGTTAGAAAACCTGCTTATTTGTTACTCTATTAAAAATGAAAGAGCAATACCTGTCTGATGTAGATGGAAGCAAGGTGATCACCTGCTGCAGACCGGGCCAAGTGTATCCCATCATTTATTCATGCTTTGTTGAGAAATCTGTCAAAAATCTATTATATCATCTGTCTGCATACAGATGATAGGCAACATTAAAACTCCTTATAATCTGTCCTAAAGGCAGCAGGTTGAGAGAGAATAGTAGAGGCCCTGGGAATGAGCCCTGTGGTACACCACAACAAAGGAGAAGAGTCTGACATCAAACCAACACTAAAAATACTGAAGCTTTTGTCACGTAAGCATGAAGAACTTTAGCTCTGTTAAATAGTAGTCTCGAAAGCATCATTTGAGTTTGTGTGTGTGTGTGTGTGTTTTTTGTTTGTTTGTTTGTTTGGTTTTTTTTTTTTGGGGGGGGGTATATTGTAACTTTTTACATGTCTTTTGGCACATAAACTTTGCTTCTGCTGATTTAGTCATGAAGAAGTGTTAATGAATGTATGTTCTTTGTAATGGCTATTCAATTAATAAGTTCTTTTTTTCAATTTTAATAAAGAAATGATAGAGGATAAATAAAAAATAAAAAAAAGTGTTCTAAATACTCCCTGACCAATCACACGCAGTGCTAATGAGGATGGTGGTAAGCCGCTGGGTTCAAGGAGAACTGACACTTTTTCACAACTTAAGACAGCCTAACGCACCGATAAACTGAGTATTTAACAGTTTAAATATGAACCTCTATCCCCCAAATAGAGACTCTGGTCTTGAATGATTGTGGGCTGACTGACATCAAAATTGCTATAAATATGTCTGGAGTTTCCCTAAGGTTTTAAATTTCATGAAAAAAAGACCTTGTTTGATATCAGAACTACACCTCTTTCATGGTATACATGTCCAGGTCTCATATAAATAGTGGAATCATAGCTGAAACAACAAATACACACAGCTGTTCACCTTCCTGGTATTATTGTCTCCTATTAAGTCCCTCTTCAATAGGAAAGCGCACAAACACAACTACAAGAAAGCAAACACGTATAAACACACACATTTCCCTTAATGAGTGCAAAGATATTCTCCTCTGACAACATCAAGGCAATGTTTACAGATCTGGGGTAAATGCAGGCGTTATCAACGCAACACACAAACAAGCATACACTCAAACACACAGGTACACACTGACACGGCAGCACACACATTACCACTCAGAGAAATGTTCTCAGTGTTGGTGCTGCTGGGAGGAAGAAGGCGTTTTCCTCTCAGCTCCTGGGGGACGCAGCATGCTTTAGGATGTACAGTAAGTTACTTTGTGAGTGTGTGTGTGTGTGAGAGAGAGTCTATGCTTGTCTGTGTGTTTGTGTGTACACACAGGGGTGTGTGTGAGCAAGGGGGAGGGGGGCAACTGCTTCCTGAGTGCAGTCAATCCAGAAGTCAAAGGAATGAACATTCATTTAGCGTCCAAAATACACACACAACACACACACACACACACAAACACACACACACACACACACACACACACACACACACACACAAACACGCTGCTTTTCCGTCACAGCTGAAACCACACGCAGGAGGATGCTGAGGAATAAGTCCTGAGGAAGATAGACTCAGTCAGGACACAAAGATACTCACACAGGAAAACACACACGCTTACTTAGTCATACTTCCAGATTTAATTACAGGTGCGAAACAAAGAGCACCACATCCCTCCTGTCTGTCTCTGTTTAATCGTTCCTCTCTACCCTTCTATCTGATTGGTTTGGCCCATTCCAACATACAGTAGAAAATACTTGCCCACAAACGCCTCTGGATCTACCCGAGGTTTCTGTGATTCTGAGATTTATCCCCCTGCTTCCTCCGTATTTATTCAATAACATTTCACTAACTGTTTAGGGTATTGATAAATCATGATCTTCTCTTTAAAAAAAGAAAAACAAAATAAAAATAAAAATAATAATAAATAAATAAATTCCCTTTTGCACTTTTTTCATCTGTTACTGATTTATTTTGTCTGTTTATTACATAATCGTCAGCATACAATAAGTTAATGGTGTAGATTTGTAAACTATTTTAAAAAAACATGGTAAAATTAGTTTGTTTTTGTTTGCATACCAGGGAAGGGAATCACCAGTGGCCCCATGATATGATATTACCACGATATTTGGGCCACAATGTGATACAATATAATTTATTTAATATATTCAATATATTATTTATTTTCAAAATTTTACAATACAGTGAGTATTGGGATACAATTTATTGTGATTTATACCATTTTTTCAACTGTTTAGCTACACAGTATTTTATTCTCATGTAGCAGATCTTACAAACTGTGTGTCAGGTCCATCTCATCTGTGCCCTGCTTGCATTCCTAATGTCTTTCCCCAGGTGCTGCTATATTTGTTTGTCTATGATGTCACCTATGCCAACCTCACTGGACAAACAGTTGTTCTTATTATTCCATTATCATAGATTTGACTTCATATTAACAATTAATTTGAAAAAAATCGATACTTGGTCAGTGAGACAATATCATATATCACCAGACAAAATAGACTATGCTGTTTCCATTTTTTCTCCCATCCCTATTGCAAACATATGTGTAAATGTGGAAACTGGAAAAAAGCACAATTATATGGATGAGGAGGAGTGCATTAGCTTCATTACTGCAACTATAGCAACCAAAAACCATATCTTAGTAATAAAGGGAGAAGGAAAAAATCTAAGAGAATATTGTTGGTTATAAAATTATGACCTCTTTTAACTGATCAACTGTGCAACTGATTTTGATAAACTGGAGAGTAGCAAGAAAAATTCAGTGACAAATTCTTATGCTGTTATGCCGTTGTGTATGATTCAGGGTCAGAAAATCTGGAACTCTTGATTAAATCAGAAGAATCACATCCTCAATTACTTGTCATGATTTGTCGCTGTATAAATACAAAAAAAAGAAAAGACATTTTGGAGAATTTAATTTACTTTAATTGGTAACTGCTGTCTTTTTCATTTTTGCACATTATTAGAAAACATCTCACTCCAGTCCACACCTGCAAGTATGATGCTTCAAAGCAAACAATCATACATAAAAAAAGCCGCTGAATGTGCTCAAAAAACAGCAGACAAATTCTTCTTATTAATTCTAAAACTAGAAGCAGCGTTGCTTTTTTCCCTTTCACACGAACATCCTGAAACTCTCCTGACACACATATAACAGACACACATGCTCTTGTTCAGGACCTCGGCATACCTCCACATACACAATATGTGTCTGCACTTACTGCCATCACTAGTTATGAGTCACACCACATACTGCAACTAGACTGCTTGCTTTGTTATTCTCTTTTATTCCTCAGCAGTTTTTCCATCTCTGTCCGTCTGTCTGTCTGTCTGCCCGTCTGAGTAAATCTGCATACACAGGAGCTGACTGCAAAGACCAGAAGAGTTTAATAAACAGACCACAACACAGCAAACTCTTGTAGGAAAGACCAGAAAAACAGACGACACGCAGCAGAGCTCTTTGCACTCTACTGTAAAGGATTGCTCCTGTAAGATCTGAGTGTAGTCAAGTGTTTCTATAAATATAGGCCTCCTGCACAGCTCTGCAATTTACACGAACACACACACACACACACACACACACACACACACACACACACACACACACACACACACACACACACACACACTCAGAAACGCACACACACACAACCACCACGCCTGTATTAGCCTGCTGTATACCAGCCACAAGAAGGACCATGGTAAAAGTGTATTATTTTTCCTTTCAAAATAAGTGCATGTTAGCATTTTTACAGTGAGGTAATTAGACGGGAACTACAGTACTTGGATTATCTATGCACGTTTTGCTCGCTGCAGCCTTTTCACACATAAAATCCTGACTTTTTCTGGACATTTCCAAGACATGAGGTCCTGAAATGTTTCCAAAATTGCCTCTAACATTCAATGTCTGGGTGGGGAATTAAAAAGAAGAGGAGGAGTGTAAAAGAATGGCAACCAGGGTCTGAAATTTATATATACCACATGCCACATGCAGGAGAATCTTGCCATTGGTGGGTAATTCTCAGACATCTATGCATCATGTAATGAGTGTATGCTTGCACTACAATAGTTGGGTGATTAAAAAAAAAAAAAACTTACAGAAAGTGATAAACCATGGGATTCATAATGAATGTGTGAATTTAAAAAAGCAGAGGATGCAAGGATGTGATAGTTATGATGAGTGTACACACATACCCTTCCCAAGATTTTCTCGATAGAGTGAAGCTGTATTACCACTTTTATTTAGATCTAGTAATGCCAAATTGTTTAATGTAGTACTTTAACACATGGTTTAAACACATGGATGCTGTCAGCTGTATAAAAGGGAAAAACAACCACAGCATGTTGTAGCTTGCCAACACAAGTTTATCATCAAAGACCACTCGAAAGTAGCTCTGCATGTGGTGCAGCGTTTGGTCATGGTAAGTGAACTGAGAGCATGCAGCCAGAACAGACCTAAATATGGGCCGGGTAGGCCAATTAGCCTTGTGAGCTACATTGGAAATACTAATTCAGACCTGAAGAAAGCTCCATGAATGTGACTTGCAAGCAATTTATATCTGAAGCAAAGCTCAGTTAAGAAGATTTTGTTGTTCGACATTAGAATGGCGTCATTTTTGATCACGCAAAATGAGACACACTGTTCAAACTGTCTGATTGCGGTTTATTTTCATAATGCAACAACCTAACTCTGATTATTTCATTGCAGGTTCCATGAATAAACCAAATGGTGGCCTTTATGAATAACATCAGTCCTGAGGTTGTCCGCAGAATTGCAAATATTAGTGTGCAGAATATCCGTCCTGTTAATATGCACTGGGTCTGAAGCTTTGGTGGCCTCAGGATACTGCAGTTCATTAGCATTTTCTCACATGCAGAATATGAAGTGGTGGCAAATTAGTCTCCAGCAACCTCAAACTGCTGAGAAAATGCAGAGCACATAGCGAAAGCTTTCTGAAACGTTCCACTTGGATTCAGTGACATTAAACTTTTCAGTGTCTTTTAATGCTCCTATGACTAAAAAGAGGATAAGGTAAAACCAGTGCTTGGAAATTTGAGCCACATTATCATCTTCTGGTGACAATTCTTGTCCTGCTGATTTTTACAGTCATTCATTGTAAATGTTTTATGTATCATAAAAACAGAACAGAACAGTACCTGATACATTAAAGCTTCTATTAGGAACTTTCTGTTTGTGTTGACTTTGGCGCCCCATGTGGACAAATCTATTTTGCTTATCTCATTCAGTTTATGTGTATGTTGTATTTTCTATCAAAATATCCTGTCCTTTATTTAACAGTGACTGTATCTCTAACTGCGAGTATTCGCTGTCCAAAAACTAAACATAAGGACAAAGTTAACTTACCATCTTACTTCTACCCATTCACAACAGCTACAGACATAAAAAATTACTGTAAATTATAAGCCAATATTCATATCAGTGGTTATTTTAATGCATTTGTGGATCATAAAAAGTCCCCACTGTTAATTTAGATGTGTTTTATGATCACTTAAAAACTCCTCATGAAAGCTTTTTAAGTTCCTTTGAGGAGCTTTTGGCTTGGTGTTAATTTTGGCGCTATTTGTGGACAAAGCAGCACTTCCTGTTTTGTCTTCCACATGCTTAAACATTGACTTTTAATGCAAAATCTCATCCTGCTTACTTTGATTTGTCAAATTTATGATTGATTGAGAATATTTTACATAGAAATTATAAAAGCATGCTTGTTTCTTCAGCCACTCAGCTGACACCTACCCCCCAAGCACCAGTTTCAGGCTTTAAATATTCGGATATGCGACCTGTCAATCTTCTCTTTAATGGTCTTGTTTGCCTTTAGGTATCATAAAAAAGTATAATAATGGATTTCAGTTTGTTTCATCAACATGACAATTACCTCTATAAGAGCTTTAAGATTGAAAAGGGAGTTAAGCACGTTTGAATGGTTCGGACACCAAATAATGCGAGCTAAACAACCTCAAATTTGTCATAAAAGTAAAAATATTCAATAGAAAATCAGAATATTTGTGGGCTGATGTGGACAAAGTGATAAAGGTAAGTTAGAGTTGACGTTATCCTTCATTTACTCCATGTGACTGTGGCGACGACTTTGGTGGCAGTAGCTTTGGTTGAACTGCTTTTTAAGTTACCGAAAGACAAACATTCGCCACAGGTATTGAGTTATAAAGAAGACTACTAGTTGTTTCCTGTATCATTTAAGTGATTCGATATTTTCAGATGTTCAGAAACTGTGCGAGGAAACAGCTTACACCAAACAGTAGGGAAGGACGTTATACCAACCGCATCCCAGACTTTCTTTTAGCACTTCAAATAATCCCCAAAACACAACATCACTCACGGTGACTTGTTCCAGGGGACGTCCGAAGGGTTTTGGTCGACTTTCCCGGTGGTAGAAGCTGCTAACAAATGGTGAATAATCCGTTATTTAACTTGAAGATCCAGGGGTAGTTCCAGTTTGTGTTCTTCGCTCCTGCCTATCACCCCCTCTCCCTTTCGCCTCGTCGCCTGTTCCTGCTTCCCCTCTCCACATCCAGCATTCCAATATGGCTGCTGCAGGGAGCGACACGGAGAGGGAGAGGGAGCCAACTACACCCTGGAAGGAAAGCCTCGCCTCGGGCCCAGTAAACAGCGAGCCATGAATGAATGAAAGAATGAATGAATGTACAGTTACTTTACACACCGTCATTGAAAAGTTAATCTTTAGTCACCAAAGTCACTTTTAGCTGGATTTGATGCACTTAGACCTCTTACTTTTGTGCAGTAAGTTATACAGTTAAGTGTACATGGATAGGCTGTGCAACCATAGGAATTGGGACTCTGTTTAAAATACTAATAAAAACACTATTTAAAAGCTCTGAAATGGTTTAAAGCCTGTGTTTTACTTAAGTTTGAGCAAAAACAACATAGGAAAAGTTAAAACTATAGGTGGATTTCTAAAAGTATAGGCTCATTTTAAATTCTTTAAAACAATGGAGCCCCTTAAGTTAAAAACAACTGCTTAATAATATTAATTGAATAAATATATAATGGTCTTGTGTTTACATTTTGATACCTTTTGCCATAAGATAATCATATTATGATCACTTAAGAATAATTATTTGTATTTTGCCCGCACAAGATAATTATGGTCTAGATAAAGGGCATGTTGTCAGGTTTCAAAACTCAAATAATAATAATGATAAAGCTAATACTACAACTATTACGACTACAACAACAACAACTACTACTACTACTACTACTACTACTACTACTACTAGTAATAATAATAATAAATATTATTATTATTATTATTATTATTATTATTATTATTATAGTTCTCTCAACAACTAGAATTAATTGTAAAATGTTTCTCCAGTTGATTTTGGTCTAATTTAAGTAATAATTTCTATGGTGTACTGTATTATGAGAGTTGTTAAATGCCAATGGGATAGTTATGCGTCGTTAAGAGGATCATAACTGAATCACAGCTACCTCTGTATGTAACCTTTTTTAAAACTGTCCTATCGTGCTTCATTTCTCTCTTCACTGCCTCTATTTGACCAGCAGACTCTTTTTGAAGAAGCTTAGCGCCATCTGCTGGACATCCACTATAAGCGTTATGAAAAAAGTTTTTTTTTTTTTTTTCTGCAGGAATGAACAGTTGTACTATTCCTATGTGGCGTGCACATCGTTTTCAAGAAAGTTAATAAACCATTGTTTGAACTTAAATTGACACATGAACGTTAATAATTTAAGTTATTATCATGCATTTACACTCTGCTGATGCTGACATGATGAGGGACATCAAGAAACGTCAATGTTAATATTGTTCTGTTTAACGGTCTGCCTAAAACTCTCGACAAAGCTTCGAGAACAGATATAACAGTTATCTGTTTGCTGCAGCTGTTAAAATTAGAATATAGTTTCAGACATAAAAAATGACAGTATGGAAAACTACCAATCTTATCCCTGCCGGCCTCGTTTCCCCTTGGATATCACAAAAAAGCATCTGTATCAAGTTCAGTCCTTTTATAAATGAAAGGAAAAAACTCCTTGTTGGAGCTTTAAAGATGGGTATGTGAGTGTGTATTTTTATGACGCCTTAATTCCTTTGTTAAGCTATCTGCCTTCTTGTCACACTTTGGAACTCAGTGAGTGAATAACAAAGGTAAAGTTTGAAATAGGCTTCATGTGAAGAAAATAATGATATTTATGAAAAAGTCAAATCTTAGTGTAACGTTGACATATAGCAGTACACAAACCATGCAGGAGGTGGCACCAACCCCATAAAGATTATCTTGGAGAAGGGGCATTTATTTTGAAATTTCTTATGCAGGAAGTTCAACGTGACGTTGGAGTTTGAGTTTGACAGACAGCGGTAACTTTAGAAGTGTCTCTCGCGCGCGCGTGTGAATGTGTGTCACTTAACTGTTGAATCACGGTTCAGTCCGGGAAGCTTAGCCTGTCCAGAGGTCACTATTCCGGCGTTAAGACTGACAAACTGATTCATGAGATTGCAGAAGTGTCGTCTTTGTGGTGTGTGAAAGTGGAGATGGTCGAAAAAATATAAGGTAAGTTTTTTTAAGATCGTTAAAATAACAGTAATCTTGCTCAACTGAGTCTCACGCCCTGAGACCCTCTTTACGGTAACGGCAGCTGTTGAAACAAACATGTCTGACTATTTCTGAACTTAATTTTTCCTATTTTGCAACACTACAGACATTTTCCGAGAAGATACCAAAAATGAATGAATAATTATCCCATTTGAAATCCTCAAGGGGCCTGGTCCTCTGGAAAGCAGTTAACATGAGTATCCAGAATGGATTTCATCAGAGATATCTAACTAATGCAGTTCTTCTGGGTATAATGAGCACTTTAGATAAACACTGACACTCTAAAAATGTACAGGTGTAATTTTAGATAATCTAAACATTATTCTTAAAATTTTTAACGTTTTGGGCTTTTATTTAAGTCATCCATGTGATCGTTCCTCCTCTGTGTATCTGCAAAAACATCTTTCTGAGGAATGATGCTGTGGATATCCTGAATCACAACTTTGGACAGAAATAAAGTCATTTTGTGTTTATTCTTGTTTAAACTTATTAATGAGATCAGGCAAAATACAAGAATGACTTTCCAAACATATTTTCCTAGTTAATGTTGCCATATACACCAATTACATTAATCCTTATTACTTGATAGATCAGAGGGCAAATAAACACTTATATGATTTAGCAACTTTTCTCTTTGAAATAAATTAAAGTCACTATGAGGAGCTTTTGGACATTCATGAAATGGACTGAAATTTATGTTGATGCCTTTTCCTGATATCTAAAAACAAACAAGATCATTTAGGACAAGGTAGACCATTTGTATGTCATCATTTTATTTTTTTTCCTTTTTTTACTATTTAAAGTGTCACAGTAGTTTTTAAATTGTGATAATGAAGTTTTGAGCATTAAAAAACTGTCATTCTCAGAGGCTTTTCTTCTGCAGAGTTCCAGTATCTCATTAGCAATTCACCCTTTAGTTTTGGCATCACTGCTCTGCACCCTCCTCATCAGGCTAGCTAGCAACCCAACATTGCAAGTACACTCATGTCTTGAGGGGCATGATGATAGCTAGTATCATAGTTAGCTTTCTTACGAGCTTTTCAATCTGCTACTGCACACACTTGTTCCGCCATCGTTCTCTTCACTTCTTATGGTTTAGCCTGCAGAGTGGGGCGCCGTGGGCGGAGCATGGACTTGTGACGTAGAAAATCCCATTGTGTCTGAACCTGACGTTTGGGACTGCCAGAGGTTCACTGTGATTTGAACTGTGGACAACTGTGATATGTCCTCTAGCATCAGAAAAATGCTATTATTCCATAACATATAGACAACAAGAAAAACACGATTTACATCGGAGTGGGTCTTTAAGCTTGTAGAGGACAAGATAAGCAAAGACTTATTTGTCCATGGGGAGGCACAAAAATAGACCTGAGCTATCACAAGAGCTTTAACTAATAGAAAAGAGTCAAACTACATGTGGCACTGATTTAATATAAAAGGTTGTTTCGTGTGCACGGTGTGAGAGACACAGCTGCTTCATGCATACTTTCCTTTACTTTGTCTGCCAGGTTAGATCATAAATGATGAGCTTTACTTTTTTCCTAAGCCAGCATAAAACCTGTGTTGAAATTCACTGATCTGTTTGTGAATCTGTAGTAAAAATAAGGATGCGTGAGTTCATGCATTGCAAAAAAGAGTGATTTGAATGACCAGTTTAACATCCTGTGACCTGTTAAAGCCAGAAAGTATCATAAAAACATTCTTAATTTAATACCCTGAATTTAGAAAGCTGGCAAACACTACCCTGGTGCAACAAAATGCATGTGGACTCCTTAAATTCCCTGATTTCTTGGTAAAAAAACGTGATGCTCTTGATTCAACTTGAACCCCTTGTTGTTTTGTCGCTTGTCTTTCAGTCTCAAAGCTTGACATCTGCACTCTATTAAGTGCTGGTGTGTGCTAAAGAGAGAGACTGTCCTGTTTGTATCATGGGGTTATAAAGCAGCAATGATGGTGGACACATGTTCAGTTAATGAGCGCTATAAATACACATATACTCCCACACAGGACAAAATAAGGAGTTCGTCGGGAGATAAATGACTTAAGACTGTGTGTGTGTGTTTTCATGACACAGCAGGGCAGTTTGTCAGAGGCTTGACTGGCCTGTAGACTTAAAAAGAAAGGAACCAAGTGAGTCAGAGAGAGAGAAGAGAAAAGGCGAAACAGAGAAAGGGGTGAAATAAGGAACAATCACGAGAATTTAAAAGAAGAAAAGCAGATAAAACTGTAAAAGAATAGAGCCATGAAGGAGTGAGGTTCAAATTTCTTCACTAGGCTTTTAATGTGCAAAATATAACTTTCATAGTTAAAACTCTTGTTGAAAAATAAACCTCAGTGGGGACGGGAGAGTGGAGGAGGACAAAATCCGGATTTCATTAAAGCCAGCAGGACTCACCACTCCCACTCCACAGTGGGGAATCACAACCTTGCAAAAGCAGGCATGGCTCCAGGATGGGCTAGTTAATTGGTATCAGCTGTTGCACGTCTAAAAGACGAGATAAAGTGAGGCTGCATGAGATTCAGTTTGCAAGTGAGCAGAGAATTCAAGATAGATCATTAGAAAAAGAGCAGCAACAGAAAAAAAAGTTTCAATAAATAGTTTAAACATCAAACTTGTCTCACTCAAAGTTCGATGAATGTCAAACTACAGAACTGTTTTGTAAAAGGCCCAACTTTTTGAAACATTAACAGTACCAATACCACTCTATCTCTTCAGGCAAATACAACAATATATACTTTCTCTACAACTTATACTGCTAAACACATTCAGCTCTAAGTTTCAAATATGTGCTGGAGAAAATTGTTCATCAGATAGTGTTTAGTCATTCTTTCTTTTTTCCACTTGCCTAATTAGTCTGTACAATCGGACCCGTTTCCATTACTCAAGTTGTTGTTCTGTCATTTGGTAAATGTGTGCCATCATTTTGGTCA